AGCAGGTCCGTCGTCTGTGGTGATGGTGATCGAGGAGTTGCCGGTGCTCAGAGCGTATCTTCCTGCAAAACGCTTGTGCGCTTGGTTCTTGGCAGCTTGTTCAAGTGCGGGAAGCAGGCTTGCAGAAACGAGATCCGAGGCGAGGGCAATAGACACGTGGGTGTTGCTACCAGCCCCGAGGATTATAAAGCCAGCGCCGTGATCTGGGTCCAGAGCTAGCGCAGATGAGAATGTGCCGATGTCTCCTGACTTGGTGTAGAGATCAATCGGGCGTTCGTCGCCGAATGACAGGATCTCCCATGGCGCGCCAACAGCGTAACCCAGGGATGATGTGTGAGTGAGCGGTTTCATCCACCGTCTTGTGATTGACCGGGGAAGAAGAGTGCTGTTGAGAATGGCGCGACCAAAGATTGACATGTCCTTTGCGGATGAGTAGATTCCACCAGCACTAGAACTATGTAAATCTTCTATCTAGGGATCGGTGGGTGAGGTGAAGCTACTTACGGTGCCTCTTCGCCAAGATTGAAATCCCACCAGTATTCGCCCTGCGAAATAGGGATAACACCGAGCGATGTGCTGGGCGTGTTATAGAATGTGTGAGTCAGATTCAGTGGCTTGATAAGATCCTTCTTTAATACTTTCTCGAAGTCTTTGCCAGCTATCGCCTCTAGGACATATCCGAGGATCTGAAAGCCAGCATTGGAGTAGATTGGTGTCGAGGATGTAGGGACAATAGGATGGGCCTGGAGTAACCCATTGAAGAACTCTTTTATCAGACAATCTGTCAGCGAGAATCGAACAAATGTAAAACACGCTTATCAACATACGCTTTCTGCTGCAGGGATTCGGCACACCGCAGGGCGGAATCTGCGCCGGGGGCAGGGCAGGAAATCCTAATGACTCAAGCAAAGGAGCTTGCTCAGTGAGGTCAAGGATACCATCTAGAAATTGGCAGTTGAGTCGTCTCGCGCGCGCGTAGGGAGTCCAAGGGATACTCAACAAGAACTAAAGCAATACTCACAGTCTCTTGCTATACCAGCCAAGTAGCTCGCCAGCTCTCCAACCGTCACTTCATTCCACTTGGTAAAGTTGATCCCGTCACGACTTTTGGTGGAATTTCGTCGAAGATCAACAACGGCCGCCTGAATTTCAGGGATGTACTTAGCAACCGGGTCTTGCAAGATATTGAAACCGTCTTCAATCAGAAGCAGAAGCATAGTGAAAATCTTGGAGGCGCTGCCAATGCGGAAAACTGTGTTCTCGTCAACCTCGCTCACGCCAATGGTGGTATTGATAGCATCAGCCGTGTGGGACAAAGTAAGCAATGAACGGGAACCGCTTGTGTCAAATATCTGTAAAGACAGGGAATTTCCAGAAAGGTTTCCAGCGTTGATAGCATCCTGAATAGTCGTGGTAATGTTCTGCAGCGCCGATTGGACCGTAGGATCATCGGGGAGATGTGTTGGAGCAGGCCAGCTAGGTCCAAGGAGGGGACAGAGGTGGACAGCGTTTGTGAGGGTAGCGCAAAGCACCAGCAACAGCGGGCAAAGTGCCATGGTGAGAGAAGCTATGCTGGTCAGGCCACAGTTGTCGTCTGTTGTTCAGAGTAATGTGAATGAGATGATTGTCAAGCTCAATGGTGACCAGACTTGATATTTATAGGGCGCGCCAATATGACAAGTCCATTACCAGTTAGAATACTCAATCAAGCTTGATGCATGCGGAAGTCCACCTTAGCAATTCTATCTACCTAGCTGGGTTGTGCACGGACTGAAAATAGGAAGCATACCAGTGCAGGCAGCCCCCTATCAAGGGAGGCAGGCTTATACATTCTACTGTACCTAGAACCTTCATTTCATTCCCACGCCTTGGTAGAAGGGCACCCGCCCTTGGATGCACGCATGGAGTCAGGTGGATAAGCTTATTTGCTCTCCCGTAATGAACACGTCAGATCGACTTATTTTGCTTGATTGGTTCTAGGGTTAGTGACTTTGCTACATTGAATTAGCTAGCCCCGGCACGACGGTTCGTCTCATACTATAGGGGCGTTCTGTAGCACAGGATGTAGAACTCAAAGTGACGAGCATGGATCATACCTGCTGGCCCATGATCATGAGTTCGTCTTCGCCCTCGATCGTAGAGTCTAAACCGAAGTATTAGGCTATTAGCCTTTTTCGAAAACGAATTATAGTTGATCAGCTGCACAGGCCTTGAAATATCGCGCAACAAAGGGAACGCACGTGTATCAGTTTGGTCGTAGCTGAATGCGCTAGAATGCTGGCTTGAGCAACTGTCACTATCAGCCTTTCGATCGCCTCAGGTTGTTTAGATAACAGGGATTACTGTTTAGACTCGCTAAAGTTGCGGAAGAGCCAACGAAGGCTGTTGTCGCTACAACGATGTCCTTAAAACTCAAGATCTCAGAATCCAGTAGCACAGCCCTGTTGTGTTCAGATTGGGCTCGGGTAGAAGTATTGTCGTTTTCCTCACCGAAGTCTGCGGCTGCGGCGCATCCGCTGATGGAATTCCCGGCTATCTCAGGTGGGCGTGATTTACTTTATGCACGGTAATTTTTGCCGGCGTCTGTGTACGCGGAACTTAGGCACATACGAAGCTGTCACTCGGACTATGTGTCAGGCAAGCATCTAGACATGGGCCCTATGACGATAAGCTAAGCAAACACATTCAATTCCCAGAAGATTAAAGGCGCAAAGGGTATTGGCAGGTATATGAAAGACTTTTCTGACATTGGTGTGGACCTAGGCACCGTGTGGTACGTCAAAGACTTTTAGGCATTAGTTACTTTGAGATCCAATGACGGCATAGCAGAACTTAGAAGAACGGTCAATGTAACAGTCGAGGGTGATCCTGACCCAGATTCTACCGAGACTTTTGTACACCCTTGTAGTTGGCTACTGGGTTACCCCGCCAGTTATGATGTACCAATCAAAGGACTGCGACCAGAATCACTATCCGGTCACTTGCAAAACTGTTCAGTCTATCCCCTTGGGGTTCTTGGAGCGCGGTGTACTCGATTTTAACAGGTCCCTATCATAAACTTAATACGGACCTCGCTATGCGAGTGTCCTACGCAATGCCTAACATTCGCGTATATCGATATTTATTAGAAATGCTTGTGTGGCGATAAAAACGCTGCGTATTGTGCTCGCCCAGTATAATCAAAATCGATGCATGATTCCACTAATTAGCATATTACTCGTCCCAATTTGTATACCGTGATTCTCCCTAAAAAACCTTCAATTCGGTTCAGGTTCGGCGGATAGGGTGCTAGATAGGTCTGAGCCCAGTGTCACACACTGTCTATTACAATCGGGCCTGAACTCCGATTTTTGGTCCGGTAAAACAAACATTCCCGTAGCTGAATAAATTGCGAGTTGTAAAAATTCGTCCGAACCGGTTTGCCTTTTGGGTTCTCTATCGAGGGTCTTGCCGACTATGGAAGTGTATTTAGGAGGCTAGCCCCCCTGGCGGGATGTATAGATGGCTCTGTTGCTAAGAAGTACCTTCAAGTTGGCTAGCCTTAGTGGAACAGCTCGAGAGCTTTAGAGGTTTCAAGGGGTCAGCAATTAGTAACGATTCAGATGTTCCGGGAGCGTTGGTGAGGAGAGCGCATTCGCTTCGTACAAGACATACTTTGATTTTCATCAGTGTGGCTGCGGGTGCTGTGAACGACCGACGATGCCATACGCCAACACATGGCGCTTCATTCCCCAGGTCCGCCGAATTGCATCCGCTGGGAAATGAACAATTTGGACTTCCCGATGGCCTGTTTGATTGGGTTGGTTCCTTGTTTGTCTTTGCAGTTTTTTTCGTTGCAGACCGTTGAACGGCACCTCGGAATTGGCGTCGAGCACTGAGATCCAACTCCGTCATGAGAAAGGTGAAAGGAGGGATTCCATCAGACATTCTTTGCACGTCCCACAACAATTCAGTGGCTCAACAGTCAGTCCTATCCAGTCCCCGACGGTCTTTGCATGTCTCACTAACCAAACAACAGATCAAGCTCTTTCTCGGCCGTTTCTTACTCTGTGCAAGCCGTGGGCCAGTCAATCTCGACTAAGGCTGAGCAGATTTCGCTACTTTCCGCTAATATACATCAAAAGACGAGAAGTCACTCGATAAAGAAACCGTGAAAGTGAACGCCGCGCGCCGCCGCCACCCAAAGCTTCGCTCCTGGTCAGTTAATGGCCAGTCATCGACGACAGGAATGGAGTTTACAGGAGAGAACAAGGCTTCAGAAGACACGGCCCTTCTTTGGCCGGAGAACCCCGGATTGTCGGAATCTGATTTAGAAGAAGAGACACCCCAAGGTCTCTCCTAGGAACATGATATGCGAGCTAGTGTATTACGGTGCTTATTTATCATAAGTACCCAATCCTTCTCGAAGCATGCCGCCGCGCCTATAGGCTAATTGTGGATACAATACGGTCAAGCTATACGTGATCAGTCCCAAAAAGAACTCTAGGAGCGAGACACTTGCTCAGTTATCAGTCAACTACCAGAGAAGCCCGCCTAGGTACTCTCTACTGGAACATCGTTCGCATGGCTTAGGGTTTAGGGTATAATAAGACTCCTCTAGCGGAATTGAAGTCGCACGGATTCGAAAGGAAACCGAGCGGATTCATGTCCGCCCTTGCGTGCAATCAATGCCTTGCGCAAGCGAAGAGGAATGCCTAAATTGCACAATTGTCGACTTTCTGGTCAGTCGTCCAGTAAATCAACATAGATGGCAAACGACAAACCCTACCAGTCTTGCCGGAATCCACCCAAAACATGGATCAACTTGTTTGGGAAATCAGCGTGTTAATAGGGTGATGTGGCTTCCTACCTTCTGCCCCAACCCTGGACGACTGGGTCAGGCCTGTTCTGGGCGTGGTTTATGCTCAGAAAGGAGGACAGGTACCAACAATGCCATCTCGACTTTGACGCCGTGGAAAAGTCCCCGCTGGTCGGTCCCTCACAGGCCAGGACCACACTTCCTAGTGAGCAATCAAGCTGACTTCTGTGTCATGGGCGGCACCTACATGGGGAGTTGTCGTTATATTATAGGTCAGTGTTGATCTATACATCAATATACCAGCGCCTGTCTGGCGAGGCAGCAAATTGTCGAACCCTTTCAAGGGAGCACGCTGGATGTTCTCTAAATACTCACCTGTCGTTACTACGCAATTCCCCCATGTGCCCGCTATCGCTCAGTATATTCTCAAACTGGTGGTGCTGGGTTTTCTGGCAGGTTGGTCTAACAATGTTCTTCAAATTTTTGGTACTTTTCGCAACACCAACAATGAATACACCACGGACGGGACCTGCTCACAATCCTGTAAGCCTGTCATTACAGAGTGCACGAAATGGAATCCATCTTCTTCTTAGCTCCCCCATAGATGAGTACCTGTGGTCATCCGGTTACCTTGCCGAGACTTTCCTATCTGAGTTGCCTGCAGCTTTTCATGGGATTACTTAGGATCTGGCTCACTTAGACATTCTCAAATGGCCTCAATTCACGGACTATGCTCTCCTCGTTACTTAAGATTGATCACACAGCAAAGCCTAGAATAACAGGCCTTCCGGAGATTGCCTAGAAACCTACTCCTACTCTACTTACCCTCGACCAGATCCTTGATTGAGGGATCAGCATCGTGAGCAAGAGACATCAGGATACATGGCCGCGGAGCCACAATCCTTACGGCCAAAGTGCTTCTAGTCCTAGACTGGATTCTAGATCAATACGCCAAGCCATAAATGCAGACTTCGAATGCTACGGCTACCTTTGAGGTCACTTGGCCATATTGAAAGCCACATTGAAAGCCACATTGAAAGCCACATTGAAAGCCACATTGAAAGCCATATTGGAAGCCATCAGGCCATAGCGATGAAAATGGAATGAACAACCGAAGCCGACACTCAATACGATCAAGTCAGTATACGAATGAAGCCTCTGGTGCCCTGACCGAACCCGTGTGACAACGCAAAATACCAAAAACTCGTGTCTGCACTGCAAGCTGCACGTAAGACCCCTCCCCTGAACCCAACAGGCGCCTATTCGCCATGTTCCTGAATCAGCGAGACACCACTCTGACATCTACCCAATAAGAGGACAAAATAGACCAGAAAACTCCTTCACATCCCCTCCCCCGAGCTTGGCTACCGGACGAGCCGCACCGAGCAAACCCTGAGAGTTTTTGACACGATCGCGTTCGCCCAATGACGGGCTAAGTATAGCTTTTTTTCCCCGACGCCAAGAGAGTATGCAAGAGACTGCTTTTTGCTTTTTCAGTTCTCTTTTCAGCTGGAAAAGAAGCCTATGGAGGTATGATTTGGGGACTCCGCTTTGCAGCAGGTTTGGACTAAAATAGTCTGACCAGGACTGGAGCTATAAGAAGAATCTATTCCCATCTTTCAATCTTTTTATTCGAGCCTGTACCCGCACGCCAGTCTCAGTCCCTAATTTTACTCTAATTTTTTATCGGACTAACCACCGATCACGGCCATTTCTACACCTTTACATGATGATGTTCCTCACTCTATACCTGACACTCGTCAGTGTCTTTTCCTGCACAGTTGCCGCCCTGCCCAGCCTTCAAACCCGGGCAATCCTCGCCTACAGAAGCGTACGAGCAACCCCTTTTCTTTTTGCCACTGGAAACACCCCCAGCCCGGGTCAAACCGCTAATGTTTCATAGTGGGACCTCCGCTTCCTGAGCGTAGCACCCCCGACCTGCGACCCCAGCCAATCTAACTTGGATTATTCGATTTTCCACCGCTACGGCGCGAGCCCCCGCTCATGTGAGGCACTAGATACAAATTCCTTCAACGCGACCAATCTCAAGAGCATCTCATGGAAAAGCCCTGAGCCTTCCGACCAGCAGGATATTTGCATGTTTAGCACTGCTGATTGCTCGGGCGGCAGTAATGCTTTCCTTGGGACTATTACCTCTGGTTGGGATGTGTGCTATCTGTACAATGGTTTCTTGGGATGGACCGTTGTTGAACATGGGAATGCTTGTGTTTGAGGCGTTGGATTGAAGAAAACGGTGTCTGCTATAGATCTATGGATTTGGTAATTGAGGTAATCATCTATGTCTATATCCCCTTGATAAATAGTTTATGTCCTTGTTCCTCGTCTTACTCGCAGATGATGTTTGGCCGAGGCGGAATATGAATTGCACAGTATTGCCTGGCACCCAAAGTTGCGTTCTTCGCCCCTACTCTCTAGTTAGTAAATGTGAGCAAGCACTACCTATAGTAGGTGAGCTGCCAACATAATACAACATTCCACACTGGGATTATCGCATAGATCAGCAAATTTTGATACTGAGATAATATCATAACTATAAATCAACTTAATCAAGTATTCAAATGCTGCGTTAACTATTGCAAGCAGACAAAGAGGGAGAGAGAGAGAGGACCAGAAGGGTAGTTTGCTATATTACCGAATACCCAAGAGATTCAAAGTAATAGGATTGTCCGTTTGACGGCTATCTCATGCCGTAAGAATAAGTGTGCCCTTGGGAGGCGGTATACATATTTTCGGATAATTACCTGGAGTCTCTTGCATTGTTAGGTAGCTATAGAATTTTGAGATTTTAGTCTTCTAGTCTGACCATGGCTCTATAAGGGAGAGCGATGCCGTCATTTATCATATGCTCAAGCACGGGAAAGGTAGCTAGGTGACAAGAACAAACAACTAGAAATACAATTCGGTTTTAAGCCTGGCCACGAGGTTATCCACACAGACTATAATATGTGCTGCCAATGCCCTCTCTTTGTATTATGGTACGGCAAATACAAGGGAAAAGGCTGCAAAGAAGGCCGTTTATTTGCAAAATATTGGCTTGTATAAGCCATTATTAGATGGGCAAATCAGACCATAATAATGATACGATGTCTGGAGTACGGTGTGTCACTACACCGGTATTCTGAGGGTAACCCTGTTTACCCCACAGATGTGCTGGCTCAACTATAGCAACAACCAAATCGTCAACTTGTACTGCTTATACTGTGCACTTGAGACAGCTGGCAGCAGTAGGCTCTTACAGTGCTCTGAAGTGATACTATCAAAGCGTTCTCTTATCTGAAGGGATCTGGCTGGTTATCGCGTGCTGCGTGCTGCGCTTGATCTGGGTTTTCTGGCTCAGGTCGATCTGATTTCTGGGTGGATGGTAATCCCGCCTCACATAGGACCAACCGAATGCTCAATGTGGTCTTTCCGCCAACCTGATTCCTTGTACTAGCGCGGCGGAGTGAACCTGAGGGGGTGCGCTATGAATGATGGTCTCTTGGGTTGCATCACCACGGGGTTTGGGGAAGATATCAATGAAGCGATCTACACTCAGCATCAAGAGGCTGCAAAGATGGGAAGTATTAGTATGCGCAGGCATACAGATAGGTATGATGTTGTTTGGAGCGCAAATTTGATCAAATTAGGGCGTGAGATGGCTTTTGTATCCATTCAAGCCCAAGAGACGATATTTTACTTTGGTCTGGCTTTCCCTATGTGGATTGAAGTGTTTCTGGAGCCAATTAATGCCTATTTCATCACTTGCCCATCCATTTGGACTATGATTAATATCCCTGTGTTTTCGAAGGCCATCAAACCATCGTAACATGAGGTTCGTCCCCTTGAAGACTATATATGGCGGAAGAGCTTGTCCAGAGGCACCAATTGATTCAACCACAGTCCCCATTCACGATTTTCAGTTTGTAATCTGTTCTCGGAGAGCATGTGCTGGAGGCTATTGTGATTCAGCTCCGACTCCCTTTTAATATTGTGGGATACCCATTCAACCTAGTCCACTCCAAGCCTCAAAAATTGGAGACCCCGTCCACCAAGACACACCGCCGGTACTTTCGCGGTACGGTCAGTGACTTCTCAGCAAGATTTACAGTAGAGGGCTTGCCCAGTGATGTTAAAGTATTACTTACTCTGGATTGTTGGACGACTCTGTTTCAGCAAACACAAAATTTTATTTATAGATTCCACAAACATAATTAGAAACCGAAACGATTTATCACTTTAACTTAATTTCTGTGCACCGCCACCGATAATGTAATCTAAGCGCGGATCCTGGCGTAAGGTACCTCCTTCAGGCACAGTGGGTATCGCACCGGACATAATCAAATTCGGGGGTTCGTGATATCCCACAGCCGGGGAGGGCAATGGAAAACAGTCAGGCGTGGCTTGGACTCTCTGGGTAGCAGGTAAATTGAAATAATCAGTAGGAGAGTCGCCAGAGTTCTCCTCAATGATATGTTGATGAGGCGTGCTGCCACTTGAGAATCCCATGTACTTTCGCAGTAAAGGGAAAAACATGGTAATCAGAGCCTTGAATGAAGGAATACAGGCTATGAATATGGCAGTGCAGACCTCCACAGCTGACCAATTTAACGCATGTACGAGATCCCCTGTTGAAAAGCAGTTAGAAAAGGCTATAAAACATAATGGACAGTATCAACAAACATGTGTAGTCAACTTGGAAGTGTTTCAAGTATGTGGCTCGGATGATGCTGGTAGCACAAACTCTAGGATGTGTAATGTCAGTCCGAGACACAAAATTGAGATACAGCTCGAACTTGTAGCAGGGAAGACTTACAATAACCCAAGTCCAAAAAATAAGACAACGCCCACCTTTGCTCCACGCTTCATCTGAAGTTTCAGTAATTTTGGGATTGGCAGTGTAAAGATAGCAATATTTGTAACCAGCCTCGTGGCGAAAGAAATAATGTAGAAGACGTAAAGATCCAAACATCTCCCTTGTACTAAGCCAGTGGCGTCCACAAGCTTTCGAACTGGCGAGCATTGGAAAACAAATACGAGCAGTTCTTCAATAAACTGCAATACAACAATGGTTATAAGAAGCCAGTAAGCCCAGCCGACATGGGTTACTGCAAACAATCGTTTATATAGTAAGCAGAATGAAACCTGGATTGCAGATATCGCAATGAGATAGGAAATAGCAGTCACGACGACAAGCTATCGTGTTTGTAAGCACTAATGAACGTTTTAAAGGTATTAACGGATTCACACCTTCAAAAACATAGACATCGCAGGTATGTCTGCTTCAACTGCTTCGATGTGTTTGCCGTATCCATATCTAGTCACTGCTAGCGTGTCAGAGCTTGCAAATGGATGACATGTGAGATGGGAGACGATACTCCACATAGAAGTAAAGCATAACACGAAGGCAAAAATCTATATGCACAATCAGCAAGCCCAAAGAGGTCACCTATTATGTAGAAAGATGACATACCCAACTTATAACGCAAAGGACTTAAAAAGAATCGTTTCTTCAGCGTTGAAATTCAGAACTTTTTTTGATAATGGGCCACGTACCACCGTCGGTGCCAAGATTTCGAGGATGGCCCAGCATTAGAAGCTTGACAAAAACTCCAGTCGAGGCCAGCACTAGCATAATCGTGTTGCAGATTATAATGCTTGGCACCATAGTTTCTTCCATTTGGCCTTCATGCAAGCCAGCAGCTTGCAGTAAGTGTAGGTAGGCTAAGAGGGGTTTTTGCGGCATAGTTGCATATCAAATGCGACCCTCGCAATCTTCCTGTGTCAGTTGAGAAAAAGAAACATATTATCACGCGTAGCACAGGTTGGCTATGGCATGACGAGAGAAAAGACAGGGATGGATTTATATGCCACAGCCTCAGAAAAGGAATCAGGTCACATATATGTAATGTCACTTTTTTTCTTTTTAACCATGGAACATGGGGGATCATACGAGGCAGGGTTGTTCATCTGGGGCAGACTAGCGAATGGGTCGCCTCGTTCCGCTTAGTCACCGTAACGGGCGTTGACAAGCGAAGTTGTATTGAGTTCAACCCAGTCCGAGTTTAAAGTCTCATCATCAGCGGCGTAGTATTCCCCTCAGGTAATTTAAGTTTAGCTAACTGTTTAGGGATAAATTCCTTCCCAATCAAAATTTTCGTCATCTTTATCTTTTGGTTTCTTGCGGTCCATCAAATCTTAATGTGTCAACTCCTCTTTAGTATCTAGACATTGTATTTCAGAGGAATGATTGATTGTTATTTCAGAGGGAATAAGTAAGGCTATATATACAGCACGAACTCCAAGTTGATGTTCTTTTGTATAAATACCTCAGGAATTATTTCCGATGGTGTGCGGCTTTGTTCCTATCTGCAGTCAATATGTCTACCTGCACAACTCAATCTACTATAACCGACATAGCACGGTCAACATCGAGAAGGTGGAGGAGGGCCGGTCTATTATACTCAACAAAGCAGCCTCTCTTCTAGCAGCGCTTTACGGTAGGCTTATTGAAATGTGGGTATCACACATCGACTCGAGCCTAATGGTCATGACTGATACCTACACTCCCGACGAAATTGAGGCATGATACTAGATGGTATCTACATTTGGTACCTTACTGTTCCACTGTGGAGCATGTAAACCTATAACAGCCAAAATTCTAACTACACATTGGAAGGCACAGCTTATCTCTCCTAGGCGTCGACTTATTTCCGGCTACCTTTCCTCGGTCGCGATTCTACTATGCCATGGGCGAGCTCAGAACTCTATAGCCAGGCTGCCCTCCCAACCGAGAGAGTTTCCGACACGTGGTGCACTAATTAACCGCAGCAGTTTTATGGATTTGAACCTAACGGGCCACCCCACAGTTGTTCTCTCGTGGCTCCACAGTTAGCGATATGCGCATCAAAATTACCTTGGAGACAAGATGTAGCTCTATAAAGTGTCTACGCTCGGTCCATGCTGCAGTATACCCAGCAGCAGATAGCGTCTATCGTAGATATTTGCGAAGATAACGGAGCCAATTGTCAACGGGTGGCACAAAATCAATGGGGACAGAAAGAGCGACTGCAGGAAAATTGGTAGAGAATGCAAAACTGCTCCGTAATCCACGCGAAGTAGTCGTCTCGCGGGAAATTAAATTCGAAGAGTGCCACACCACGGGAAAAGGCCTCTCTCGCATGTTATAAGATAATTCTCAAACGTGAAACTGTGAAGATTTTTCTATTGGATATTAAGGACAGTTGGATAGCACACCCCCTATTCGTGGAGTTATGGCGCTAGCTCATGATATGCTCAAACATACACTGTGGTGTTTATTCCCGGTAACGTACCTTGGCGCTTGACTCGAAGGCGCATATCTTATATCTGTATTGATACCACCTCAATTTACAAACTCTCGATTGTGGTGCAACGAGGCTTTGCTTCCAGTGAACCATCGACTACACCTTCCTGAAGACCAGTCAAGAAAAGCTGGTTTCCGCTTGGGTAATCTTATCTACTGGACACAAACCTTCCAATTGAGAGATATCGGATCCGTTGGGAACTACTGTGCTTCTTGAATACCAGCCATCTAGGAGGAGCATCGACATATACCGTCAGGCAATTTCCCTACTCGCTTCTTGTTTGCGGTGGGAACTACGTGCATTGCAAGGATTCCAACGTTTTGCTGCTAAGCATAGGCTTATCTTGTCCAATTTTCTTTCGCTGTCTAATTTAAACGCCGTTAATAAACTGACGACTTCCTCATAAACTAACATAGTGGTCATCTAGGCAGGCACAGCTGTTATCACGCTCGTTCTCATAATAGCATAGAAACCACGCCACCTCGCCTTTTGCCAGACTGTACTAGCGGTCAATATGCCACTGTACATTTACTGGATCCAAACATATAGCTTTCGAGTATCGAGTAGCCCAGTCAACAGCCAGATTCATACGTTATCTAATGCGCGAGAAACCAAGATTGACTCATAATCCTAACAAGAAAATGCCACAAAAGACGCCTTCCATAATTGACTCCAGGGTGATATTCATATTGCCTTTATCCATATTCACGAACCCTGAAAGGCGCTAGCTTCTTGACCACCTGGGATCCCAGGGTATGGAATTGCCGAGGCAGTCGATTCGACATCTTCAAGAAACATTTCTCAGTGCTGAATCTCGATGGGGACAACAGGGCTTAAGGTACCGCTGGAATGCAATTTTCGCCGCAGAGACATTAGCAAGATGGATCCAATCGAACAAGTTAGTTTGCTCTTGATCATATAACTTCCAGCCTTATGATCTTTGAGCCTCCACTTAGTGACTATAAGGATTGCATAGCCCCATGGCATTATATTCTGCCATTCTTGCCCATAGTGGTCGAAGGCAACCAACCAGGTTTGAGCATCCGTGCCAGATCTACTCTGTCGTCGGTATCATTTAGCTTTGTCGCCGGGGAAGCTCCGCCTCTGCATTTGCTACTGTTCTGATACTGTGACTGCTGATTTCGCGTAATAAGAATATCTGAAATTATTCATAATCCTGAGTGCTCTTGGGTACGGTTCATTAGAAATGAGCTGGTGATGATCAGAGGAGTGGAACGGATATTTTCTTCCGGGTAGCTGATTCTTCCCTAGTAGCAGCTATGAAGCAATTCAGTTCCAACGAGAGTAGGCTTTCGCGTGTTTTTGAGATCTTTTTTGGAGTTGTTGCAGTAGAGGTTTCTTCTTTTGGCTTGTAGCCCCAGGAAAGTTAAGAAAAGAACATGATCCTCGCAAAGTGGCAGAGGTGTATCTTTCAAATTCTCAGAAGTTCACTGGCAGCCCAGCTGTATCATTCAGATTACGCAAATATGCCTGAAATATGCGAATAGGTGGAAAGAAAGGAAAAACAACAAAGTAAGTATACAACCGTAGGGCGGAAGTGTGGGGAACGCCCCGCCGATTGTGTTATCAATTTTTCTTCAGGTTCACCAGCTCACCAAGACAACAGCTACACGGTCAACGCTCAAACACAATGAGCCAAACCCACACAGACTCAAGCTCCGCCCGATCCGCATCTCCCTCCCCAGCAACAACAATGTCCTCAACACATACTGACAACGCCGCCGACAACTCACTGGACGACATTTTCGGCTCCTCCCCACCGCGCAACGAAAGAGAACTCCACGCGCCACAACACGCAGCAAACACAACTACAGCTTCAGCCTCAGCCTCTGGATCTACAACCGAGCCATCCGACCTCCCCTCTCTACGCCGCCAACACGTCACAGCCGGATACCGCGATGGCGTATCGATGGCGAAGGGCCAATACGTCCAAGACGGCTTTGATGCAGGCTTTCCCGTCGGCGCGCAGATGGGTATGAGAGCCGGTACAATTCTTGGAATTATGGAAGGATTGCTACGTGGTTTCGAGGAGCGGAGTGGACCGGGTGTTGTGAAGAAGCCGGTGGTGCGGGGTGGCACTGCTACGTCTGGTGGTTCGACATCTACGCAAGAAGGGAAAGGGAATATGGATGAAGTGGCCGAATTGCACCGCCAAAAGAGGGAGCAGGTCCGCTCGCTTTACCAGGCTGCGTTGAAGGAGCTTGATGTGCAGGCTGTGTTCGCTGGTGCCGGGAGTGAAGGGGCTGCTGCGCCGGAAATGCCGGCGGAGGTTGTTCCCGGGAGTAAGAGTAAGGAAGGGGAGTCGGCAGAGGCGCAGCTAGCGAGGAAGGGGGATGTGGTTATTTCGAAGTGGGAGGGGAGGGTTGCAGTTCACCGGTGGGAGGAGAATATGGAAGCCTTGGAGATGAAGGAGAAGGAGAAAGAGAAAGAGAAGGAGAACAAGGGCGAGAATGCGGACTCGGCGTCGGCCACGGCCTCCGGTGCAGGCGCCAGTGCAGCGCAGGCTGTGGAGCAGAGTTGAAGCTGTTCCTAGACATGCGCCGAGCAAAACACGGCCTAGGTCAATGTCTTTGTCATGGATACGACGACAGGCCCGTATTTTGGTTGAAGATCAACACAATAAAGGCCCAGGGCGAAGAGACGAAAAGTTTGTTCTTTGGTTTGCACTCAGGACTTTCTGCACGACGGGTCAACTGTGTCTCTGTCTCTCGGGCCTTCCGCCGCCGTCCCGTGCTGCACGATTCCCCCTAGGCAATGCAAGTCCCAAACACCTGGGTTGGGTACCCGCTGTCCTGCAAGGATGCGGACGGGGCGGGGCGGAAGCCCGGTCCGGGCTGTATGCCCTGAGTTGTCTGGGACTAAACAGTTTTGCTTCTCTGAGACATTGACACTAGGAGTCGATGATGTTTCTGCAGACTCCTGTAGGAACGGGTGTTGCCAGGGGTATGCAGCAGGATCGAGATCTGATTTTTTGCGAGTGAGACATTTATTCAGACTCCAGAGAAAAGACCAGGAAGCAATGGGCCACATCACGATATGATCTTGCAAATAGAACCACAGCTAGAAGGCAACCAGCAAGAAGAGGAAATCTATTGACAAACACGAGGCAAATTCGACTCACCGTATGTCATTTTTGCTACGTAGGCCTAGGCATCTCCGAAAGAACAAAAGAAATCGAACCAAAGTACCAATCCCCACCAAACGCCCGATCGAGAGCCTTGCAGCTTCACAAGCTCCGATCTATCTGAAACCCGAGCTGCGTCTCGGGGGAGGAAACAGTGCATCCGATGGACCGGGACACCTTACTTGTGATATAGAGTCCCGACAAAGGGGATGGAAATTTGTTTGGCCGGGGAAACCAAGATCCCTGTCTAGCGTTACCTGTCAAAATGACATTTGGAAGGTCTTTGGTCTTTCGTTCGATTCGACAGAGGCGGCTTATAGATTGTGATATCAAAATGCTATTTTAAGTCAGGGAGGAAGCCGTTTGGTAGGATGGAAATACAACTGTACTTTGCATACATTCCTACCAACCAAATCCACTGTCAGAATAAAATAAGTTTGTGGGTGCTTTCAGCCGAGGGAGCTCAGAAGTACGCGGGTGGAAGTTGAGGGGCCGAAGCAAGGGATGGCGGATGATGCGTTCCATCCCCACACAACGGTTTACCTGTACACTCAGGGAGCAGAGGGTTGAATGCTGCTGAGTTGAGAGCCATTGGATGGCGATATCTAGATAGAAGAAATGACTTGATAAAGATCAACAGCTCCGGAATGACCGGTTTCCAACCATCAAACCCGTCGTACAATACCCCCCAAACCCTAACAACCCTGGACATACCGATCCAAGAACAAAACCCCAGCTCCACGAGCGGATCCAAGTCCGCGTCCCCGGTGTATTAGGGCGGATTCAGCACTGTACATATACTTCGTAATCATGGATCATGATGTGGGACCTGGGCCTTCGTGGTTGGGTGGACTACTGGAGAGCAGCGGATCGAAAATTGACAGGTAAGGATGGACTAGTGGGTAATTCTGCCGGGAGACCCAGTATCCAGGATTGCACCCTTGTCGCGTACATTAAGTAGTTCCGAGACAGCTGCAGATTGGGGTGATCGTTGTGGGTCTGGTGGGTTTGGAGGATCATCTAGTGAAGTGAGGACGTGTTTAGTTGCTACGAGGTGGGCGCTGGCTACTAGGGGAGCTCGGTGCATCCCAGGGAAAGGACGGTTAGAGAATATTTTGCGTCCTGTATGAAGGGTTGTTGGAATTGAGGTCCCCCCTCTGCTGGATAACATAGGTGGAACGGCTACTGGGGACCTACTATGCGTTTTAGAGAAACTACACATAGCTGTTGTCCGTCATGGAGTTAACTTCAGTATTAATATTCACTGAGGCTGCGGTAGGATTGAAGGATACCTGAGGAGGTCGTCTGTATCAATCCATCCAACATTCCGGAGGAGATACCTGTCCCCTTGACAACGTAGTAACGAGAGATCATTCATGTTTGAGGTGATGTGTGATTTATGCATTTTTGTCTATCCAATAGTAGTGCAAGTAATGAACCAATTTTGTGTTTGAAATACGAAAATCCAAGACAAATGCAATTTTGGGCTCATAGAACCAAAGACCACAGTCCATACCGAGCGCCATGTTCCTCTATGATAGGAATTATAGTTCACATAGATTTCAAGAAAAAGGAAATGATTGTCTTGAAGTGAGAGGACATGAATCAAATCAAACAAACAGACATGGATGAAGACATCGTGATGAAGGCAAGAGGCAAAAAAACTGTGGTAGTACAACACAGCAAGCTGGCTGTCAAGCAAACAAAAATGCACAGGGGATGAGACGATAAGGAAAATTAAAGATAGTGAGCCCGAGGGTATCGAGTCATGAGTCAATAGTCACGGTCATTGACCAGGTATATCATGTTCGTTTCGTAGCGCGGATTGGCGCATGCAGAGAACGTCTTGAGGCGCGTCGGAGTCCAGCCACAGTCGGGTCTGGAGATTCATTAATTTCATTGTGCGCGGGGTGCGGAACACTCGAACCAAGCGAGTGTTCCGACGGCATAAGCGAGTGAAAGTGTTCATGATCGTTGGAACACGTGGAGCGTGAGACAGTAAGAAATCGTTGGAGTGATCGTTGAGAAAAGCTGGAATAATGTGACAATGGGGTGGGTCCGTTATTGTTGAATCCAGAAGCAGGAACGCCGATTTTGAAACCATTATATGACAGAGACATTTGTCTTTTTCGTGGTCTTGTGGCAGTTCAAGGAGCGGAGGGAGTCCATGAATCGCTGCAAGAGTGGACGGGACTGGGCACCGTCATTGATCGCGGGTTGAGGGTGCTGCTCAAAGCAGAATGATGTCAACTTCTCCTTGTCGTCCTTGCCGAGAGAAGAGGTGGAGCACTCTGGTGTATCAGAGCGCTGACGGCGACGGAACTGAGCTTGGAAAGCAGCGGCAGCGGAACGATCTACGTCCGAGCTGTTGATTCTGCTGTCCTTACGAGGGGGGTGCTTGGCGAGAGAGGTAGTAGAGGGAGCAACTAAGCGCAGAGTTGCCAGTCCAGACGGACGAAGGCCATCACGGCTCGTGCTAGGTCGGTCCATGCTAGCAGTGCGGAAAGTGTCTGTAATGTGTTCCCCGAGGATATCATCCGGCATGCAGGGGAACTGTTCCATTGCCTGGTCATCAAGCATGGCCTGGTGAAGCCGAGGCTGCGACTTGGCACCACGGAGCTTCGCACGGCTGCGGACCTTGCGAAGAGTGTCAATTGGCCTGCGGGAGATTGACTTGCGGCCAACGGACTCGCTGTCTGAGTCTGACTCCCAGACGGACTGCTCGCAGTGAGGGTCCATGGTCGAAGTCGATGGCCGCTCCATGGATGTTGCTGTCCATTGGCGAGAGATGGGTGGGGAGCTTGTCACTGGGCTGGGAACAGGACTGGGGCAGTCATTGGCGGGAATGAAGAGAGGGTGGTCGAAGTGTGTCATGTGAGGTTCCATGGTGACGGGGTTGATCAAGCATGGAGGTGAGATCATGGAAGGATCCAGAGGAGGCCGTGTTCCAGGGCTAGATTGCTTACGGCCGGAGCTGTGGGAGCTGGTGCCCCGAGACAAGTTGGGGAGGGTGGGAGGCTGCTTTCTCCGGCGAGACCGGGTTGACATAGACCCAGTCACATCCTGATATGCCATGGTGATAGTGGCAGTGGAGTCGTTTGATGGCTCGCAAGGAGTGGTAGGACGAGTATCCGCCGGGGTCAAAGGAGCCACCGGCGGGGGAGGAGGGGGAGGAAGAGAATATTTCGGAGGAGTAGAGGCAGGGAGGTAGAAACGACGCCGGGACTCAGGGTGAGCCTCTTGCGCGTGCTTGTAGAGCTGCTCTGTCGCCTGGAGGACGACGTCAGGGCAGCCGGGTGAAGAGTATGTAGAGGAGAAGGAGCTGCTAGGAGTGAGGTCTGGGGTAGTGCTGTATGTCTGCACAGAGCTGAACGAATCCTGGCTGCTGTGCAGGGGACTCCGCTCGGTAGAGGGAGTGTATCGGTGGAATCGCAGGCTGTTCTCCAATTCGACCTGTGCGAGGGTAGAACGGTCGGGGCCGTAATGTAATGAGTCGTGGAAGTCCTTTCCGGGGGTCAATGACAATGTATAGTAGTGGCTGTTGTCTTCAAAACTATCATTGCGCATCTCTGAGTTGTAATCCCAAGATGGCGTGTCGGCCAGTGATTGTTCGAGGTAAAATGGGTCGAGGTTTGATTCCTCCAACACCTTAGGACCGGATCTGGGGTAATAGGTAGAAATTCGCTTTCCTGGTGATGGCGATGGCAGACAAATGGTCGTCTCTGATCTGTTACTATGCAACACGTCCAACTCGCCTGGACAGTATAGATCTCCGTGAGCCATGGGTGATCGACAAGAACAAGGTGAAAGACGAGTAAAGGATCTCTAGGACCCAGGCACAATGAACAGCGAAGAGTGGAGAGAAGAATGAAGAAGGGTGTGACAGGGAGGGATACGTTTATAGACCAAAAATAACCTCCAAGGCCTAGCACAATGGCTCGGTGGCTAGACATGCCAATGCATGTAAACAAAAGACCCGCACAGACGATCATGACCTATCCGACCTGCATCCCCTTCCCTAGGGGTTGCAGCAAGGACCTCCATTGGATCCCCCCAGCAAGGGCGCGGAACTCGATCCGTAGGGCTTTGGTGAGGAAAAGCTCGAAGCATACGCTGTAGACTCTTGTCTGTGTACTGTGTACTGTGCTGCTCGTGTTGCTCATGCGCTCAAGGGGAAAAGTGACACGGTACGACTGTGATTAGACTCGTCGTGTTGCCTTCAGGTTCATCATTCTGGTCAACCAAACCCAAGCTGAGTGGAAGACAAAAGTCCAGCCAGAAAAAAGAACAAACTCGCGGTTACTAGCATCTTCATGCGCTGCACGCTTGCAGTGCGGCGCAGACAGAAGTCCGAGGCTGGGAGTGAGAAATGTGAGATATCAGCCACTGCAGTTCGGGGGCCCGGAGCCACTAACGCCGATCGCGATCTGTAAGTCTTCTCTGTCACCTTGGGACTTTTGCAACCTTCCTACGCCATCTACGTCGATGCATTCCTGGCTCATTCCTAGCAACCAACGTTAAATTCGAGCCTCAACGTTTCATTCAATTTATCCCCCTACGTCACGGCTTAGTGGCTGTCTTCTTTACGTTACTCAGTCAAATGCCTCTGATTTATTTTAGTTATAGCTATGTAGAAGTGACTTTTCTAGACTTAACTAGAAACTGTATTCCCAGGGTCAGATCCCCCAGAACCTTCATAACCCAGGGTCGGACAACCCCGTCAAGGAGCACATTGACACTGGACAAATCACAAATTTTGTGCAGCTGTAACAGTTCATTGTATTGGCTTGTCGAAGAACTTTGTTTCTTTAGTTTTATGATCGGACCATTCAGATTTCCCTGACTCTGTCGCACTGTAAGAGTCTCATGTCTGAACATTGGTGGATAACACTCCCGTCTGTACACCAGAACTGTAAACCCATCTCATCCCAAGTCGACATCTCCAACTAATCAAGACAAAACACCCGAGACATGAGCTCGGTCAAAACAATAAACCCCACATTCCATTGAAAAGTTTGACTTGCATGCATCCCGCTATACAGACGGCCGTCGCAGTGCAGCTATTCATGCACATGTATAAATATCGGCAACCCCCAGTAGTACCCCTGATCGACATCACAGGAACACTCTACCGATTCATGCACTGTTCGCGATCTCATTGCGATTAACTCGCCGGGGACGCAGTCTCTGCAGAACACCCTCGCCTCCCATCCTCGTCACATTCCTCCGCCATTGTAACTGCAGACTACGTAGATTGGAAGACCAAAATTGTCATCGCGAACTAGCATCGGGTTACATGCATGTTTCCGTCTATCGAGTACCACCCTCACAGGGATCCCAAGGATCTCCAGGGTCTCCAGGATTTCAAGGAGGGCCAACAGGAGTCAAGGCCAGCAATCGAGGGCCATCACCTCCCTCGCACTCCCTACGCCCCAGGCCTCATCCCCCGTGAAATAAAGTACAATAGAACAGAGACCCCTCCAACGATCCCTACCCAAAAGGAACCCACCCAACTTCCCCCGGAAGTCTTCTCCCAATGTTTCGTAAGGGACCTCCTTGATTGGCCAACATCCAACCCAAGGCCTGGACAACAGTGAAACACTTCAGAACCAAAACACCAAGCTCCGGATCTGAGATCATGCTGTGTCCTGCAAGGCATGTTTGAAACCTACCTCAATACTGGGTCTTCGAGACTCTGCCGGGTTTCGCTTCGTGCATCCGTAGCGTCGCGGCTTGGAGCTTCTCCCCGCCCTGTCTAATTTTCCGATACTGGGACCCTTGCAGGGTCTTCCGGCTTCGGTCTCGGCCTCTTCCTTCTACTGTTCCCAGGGGCTTGTTATGCGTTTGCATGATGTGGGTGCAAATTGCCAATGTAGCTGTCTGTTCGTGGTTGTTTGTTTTGGTGGTTGTCGGGTTGGGTGTCTTGGTGAAATGAGGTTGTATCGGGGACCTGTCTCCTCGCTTTGGCATTTGGAATTGGCATTGCTGAGCTTTAGCCTGTGTTTTAGGGAGCTTCGAGATACCTACGTCACTCTCATATTAGCTGTCGCTCTAAGGCGCTCGGGGTCAGGAGTGAATTTCAGCACTGTCATGTGATCAGCTCTAACGAGTTGTCAATTGGCAAGTGATTCCACAGGTGTGATTGGCTGCGAGCCATTTAAGAACATCTATAGAGCAGAGTACCTAGACTACGTAGTGCAAGTTACCTACAATAATAACATTTTAATAAAGAGCTTGCTACGTATCTAGTGCTTGGAAGGGCTACTTGTGACAGCAGGCCACATTTGCGTCTGGTTCTCTCCTACCTATTGCCCTCTAGCACCGAGCTCTGTTTGGCATTGAGTGGAAGATGTCGTCTAGTTACACCCTTTAAGTGGAAAGCTTACTGATGTTCGTTGAAATAATAAATATTTACAAAAGCCCCATAGACGCATGAAACGGTAGGTGAGGTACATGAATTCATGTGTTGGGTGAAGTGGAAACCGCTGTGCAATATATGTCTCCGTCCACCCCTCTGATTCATCTATGCAACTGACTCACAATAATGGTTTATACAATTTAAAAATCCAACTGTAGCATACACTATGGTTTAGACATTCACTTAGTCCCTTATTTTTTACCATTATCTTGACTACCACCCCTTTGCCGCAATAGGTACATTGCTTAGAGGATCTCACTAGGCATTCGAAGAAATTGATACCCAAGTCCGCCCATACCCCTTTTTTAAAACATATCGAGAGTCGCAGGCGAGAAAATTGGTTGTCTTCCGATTTAAATCAGGCTTGTGCAATTAACCCTGAAGGCAAGTTTCTCGAGAGTATATCAAGTCGTACACGCGCTTGATTCGAGGCCAGTAGCGATCTATGAATTTAAGGACCGGTAACACGTAAAGCTTCACTCCAGCCCAGTAAGCATAAAGATAGTTCAGCATATCCGTGTCTTTAATTCTAATAGGCGTTCATATTCATCGGGAACTATGGTAGGCTGGTGAAGAGGAATGTCGAATTGACGCGTCGTGGTTAGCGAGTTGTATGGGAATGTTTTGTGGGGACTAACTATCAATTTTTGGTGGAAACGAAGGGCCCGAGTCTCGAAGCTATTGCCCTCGCATCGATGGATTTTAGGAAAGCAATGCCATTAGCTAGCAACTTTTTTAAATAGTAATAAAGGAGCCCTGGAGGTCGATCAGGAACTGCTTTGTCATCGAGATTCGGACCCAGGGAGCCGACGTCATTGCGGGGGACTCGAGATGAACACTTAGTTACTTGCATGTACTTAATAACCCGATCCGAAGCATTCATTGAATGCTTAACTAGGTTGAAGTCTATATAGCAATTCTATACATTCAGGCTGAACATCGATCTGTCCACCCCTGACAAGCTGTGGGGAGAGCAGTTCGTTCCACGAAATGCCCAACGAGCCGGCGCGAAGTGAACCACTGGTTCCAATGGGGCCAGACCCAATATTATTGATGTTGCTGTGTCTCCCTTGGAGTATTCAGGTCAAGTTCCGGCTATAAACGGCGCGTTTTTAATCAAAAATTAGCCTGGTGGTGACAGTCCTAAATGCCCGAACTATGAAAATGACCTGTGATTCCGCACTGCCAACGCATCACTATATAATTAGGCCTCGAAGTACTAGTCTCATAGCCCAACCATGGCTGGATTATGGAGATCGCATAATTTCGCCTCACTGGTGTCCTGTTTCCAATGGTGGACTCAGACTATGGTTCTTTTCTCTTTCTCCTCGTCACTTTCTTCCTTACATATAATCTACAATGCTATGGATGAGCTACTGTGAATAATTGCTACTACATACCCCTGCATTGACCTATCACCACCGATCGTCTGTGCGGCCGGCTCTCGTCAATATCGCCAATATCGCCAATTTTCGACATTACAGAGGTGCTTTCTTAAAGGTACAGCTCTATATTTCAATTTGGACTCGTATACACATGGTTTTAGGTTGATTGGGATTGCCGAGTTGAGACCTGACAGCTGAAACATCGCCGGCCAAGAAGTTGGCATTAGGGCACGGAGGAGTCTCGACATTCCCGTCACATTCCTCATCTTCCCAATTCTTGGCCTCTTAGCTCTCGTTCTCTATTTTTCCACTTATCCATCTTTTCTCTCCCAACCAGACTAGACAGTGTTGGCGCTTCATGCGCCCCGAGACAACGTTTGCGCTGCAGCTTGAGCTGCGGCGACCCCAGCCATCCCAATTAACCAGCCACCTCCCACTCTCCTTTCTCTTCCCCAAACTCATCTCAGATCATATCGGTTTCTCTCTCAATTGCATTATTTCGTGGATCGAGATTCGAAGTGTACAGCCTTTGGGGTTGTAATCCTCTCACGAACCCTGAGTGATCGACATTTCCGATCGCGATCCCTTGGAGAGCTATCCAGCTCAGTAACGAACCACCCTCGCATTGTCTTCCAATCCACAATTCAACCGACCCTTCTTAGAGGTGTCTCGACACACCCCAAGGGCGTCTGACGAAGTTCACGACGTTTACGACCCTACACTTACGACCTTTGCGCGGCAACGCCAGCCCGCTGCCCAACGACCATCCTCTGCTGAGGCAGACCCCCAATTCCGACCCCCTAGCGCTTCCCACTCCCAGCGCACCTTACGTCGCGTTCGCCGACAACCAGAGACCCGACAGAACCTCCACCGTCGAGCTGTATCCTTAGACGTCCCTTCGCACCCTCGCCCTCCGCCGGCGCATACAAGACAAAGCTCTGTGCGACAGCCTCCAGCCAGTGGAATCGCAGCGCTACGTCCGGCACTTTCCGAAGCGCATACTGATGACAACGGGTCGACCGTAGACGACCCCTACCAGCTCCTCGACACATCCTATTGGCCGCAGCGCAACACCGGTGTCTCATCGCGCACTGCGTCTGCAATCCTCTTTGCCCTTGAGGACGCCATCCGTGGTCCACTCCAACTTTCAACTGACTGGGACGAAGTGAATGCTTCTATGTCAGACATGGTAGGCGTAGCTGGTCCTGCTGGGCCTACGGGCAATGCCCGTTCTCAGAATGGTGGAGCCCGTGTACCCCAGAATCCTGTGTCCGGGTCATCGCAGCCCCCGAGTGGGATGCGCACACCGACGGATATCATGAGACAGCGGAGGGATCGGGAGGCTCGCCGTAAGGCCGAGCAGGATGCCCGAGACAAGGAACAGGAAGAACTGGAACGACAGCAGCTGGACCATGAGCAAGCTCAAATCCAGGCTCAAGCTCAGGCCCAGGCTCAGCAATACTCTGCTGCTATTTCCGGCGATAATGCCTCCCAGTCCCGAACACGAATCCCCCGCGCAAATAGGGTTGCTGAAGGGCAGCCTGATACTGTACCCGTCACTGGGCCTCCGGCAGGTTACCAACCCGCACCTCCGACAACTGGTGCAGGGCCAATAGCCGGTCAATCTCGGCCAGTACAAGCATCTAGTCAACAGCCCCTGGGTACGTCTGCACCCCAGCATGGTCGGTCGCAGAGCGCTGCAGCTGCTGGAGCTCAGACTGGACCGAGCGGATTCTCCAAGCCTGCCCAGCCTGCACCTGCAGCGTCCTCTGCTACTGCACAATCTCTCCAACAGCCTCGGCGCGTTGGTTTCCCGCATGCATTTGAACGATGGGAGACACTTTCCTCGCACTGGGAGGGTCTCACCAGCTACTGGATGCGCAAGCTGGAACAGCACAACGAGGACTTAGAGCGTGATCCTCTCAGCCAACAACTGGCTCGACAGATTACCGACTTGTCCGCCGCTGGCGCCAACCTGTTCCATGCAGTAGTCGAATTACAACGTCTACGAGCCTCCTCGGAACGCAAGTTCCAGCGCTGGTTCTTCGACACCCGCGCCGAGCAGGAACGAGCCAAGGAAGTGCAAGCAGATCTGGACCGCCAGCTTAAAGCCGAACGACAAGGCCGAGCTGATGCCTTTGCCGCTGCTCAAACGGCCGAAAAGGACAAAGTCCGCGCAGAAGAGCTCCTCAAAGAGATGCGGCGCGAACTCCAAATCTCTAAAGAAGAAGCCCGCCGCGCCTGGGAAGAACTCGGCCGTCGCGAACAAGAAGAGCGAGACCGAACCAACTCGCTCCGAAACGGCGAACCAACTCTCGTCGGAGGCGTCCAAGTAGTACCCATGATCTCCGGCGTCCCAAGCCGCCACAACACAACCAACCGGCCCCAAACTCGCGAAGGACCGTACCCAGGCGGCCCAACAGCCACAACCATGGGCACAGATGCCTACGGCAAACCAACCGGACCCAGCACAAGCGGACGATACTACGAAGACGGCACACCAATGTCACCAACAGGCTCCGACCCCTTCATTGAACCCAAAAAGACAGACCCACCCGCCTCCTCGAAAGCCCCCTACCCAGGCCAACTCTACGCGCACCAAAACACCTCAGTGCCCTACGCTGCACCCGCAGCCTCCGAACCAGACGACCACTCTTACGTAGGAAGCAGCGACGCCGGAGACGAGGAATACGCGCATTACGCGCACGATCCCCAGGGCCACGGCCTCTCTTACCCACCCCCTCGCTCAGAGGGAAGTGAGGAATACGATAACACAGCCGAAGATGACCGCCACTATATGCCCGACGACGCCTATACCTCGGCTGCATCCTCTGCGCCACTGCAGGCTCCCTACCCGCCTGTCTCGGCTGCGGATTATAGTGGTGCTGGATGGGGTCCCGGGACCGGGTGGGAGTCTATGACTCCGCGTCATCGGCACCCGACCCGCCTCAGTGATGTCCTTGAAGAGGATGAGCATAGTCGGACTAGTCCCAGTCGTGCTAGTCAGCGGAGTCGCAGCCAGGCTAGTCGGAACATTCTTTAGGGGATGCTTTCCAGTGTCGGATTGCATCTTGATTCGGGGGTGCATAAAATTTGTGCATTGAAAATTGCGGTGGTCTTGTCGAATGATGAGATGAGGGTGCTGCTGCTTTTCTCTGCTCTTTGGATGTTCTCTTTGCGTCGGCTGTTTACCATAAGTTTGTTTTTTGACTTTTTTCCTTGTGTGATTGTATATTTGGCGTTTCATTCCCCCTCTCCCCTGTTGTTTTCGTATTTCTTATGACTCCGGTGTTGTTTATTTTTGTTTCAATGGTGGAAATACTTAATTGCCTTGCCTACCTGGTATTCTGTATATCCCCCTCTCTGTATACATTACACGAATGAGACAGTAGACAACTTAGGACCAAGGTATCCTGAATTGAGATGGTATCTTTGTGAGATCTCAGCATCAAGGAGACAAACAAGATATATCAACCAACGCCCAAACTCCGAATTCCCACTATAAAACACATCTCAATCCACCAAGTCGTCTCTGCCAACGCAGTCAAAATCCTCAAATTCACCCTCGCTATCCCCCTCCAAACCTTCCCACACCTTAACCTGTTCAAAACAATCAGCTCTAGCCCTCTCAGCCCAAACCCTCAGACACTCCGGTCCCCTAAGACACCAAAGCAAAACCTCCCTCACAGCAAGCGCATCCCGCAAACAAGTCTCACTCCCTCCACCAATCCCCATCTCATCCCAACCGAGCATCTCCCCCGTCAAAACCTCCAACTCCCAAATCTTCCCCAAAGAACGGTTAGTAAAGAGTGGCCCAAATACCGCCTCGCTGGTCACAATCGCTACATCCACAATCTGCGTCGTAGCCATATTTAAGGCGTTAAGATCCTCATTTAGGCCATGTCCTACGAGAATAGTATTCTCATCCACGTATTGGTCTAAGACATCTCGCGTCCGCCGGATTCCATCTTCCGTTACGTCCAAATTTTGATTTTGTATCGATTCTTGTGGTGGTATACCGTCGTACAGAATTTCGCCGGTTAGGAAATCGATGACCGTCATGGATTCGATAGTGTCGATGTCATTTGTTTTCGTTGTTTTGGTGGTTAGGACTAGGGCTTTCCGTATCTTGGATGGTGCGTGTGGTGGGCCGGGGTAGGCGTGTGCTGTATGCGGCATGCCGGAGTACAGACATTTGGCGTTGTTTGTTGTGACATCTTCTTTTGGGATGGTATATCCTTGTGCTTTGAGACGGGGGGTTGGGTGGCATCTTGCTAGTAGGTACTTGAAGAGTAGATCTTGTTCTAGGGGGTCTAGAATTGTTGACTTTTGGTGAACCTGACTCGATCCCTTGATGGGAGGTGCTATTTGGTTTTGGGTTAGTTGGGGATGATGTAGGAGAGATACGTGACTTACGTTGCTCTGTGTTACTTGCTGGGGTTGGCTTCACCGGATGAGGATCTTGCTTGTGGACTTCTCGCTGCGTTGCTTGAGATGTTGCTGTTTGTAATTTGTCTCTGGTGGCAATTACTGGTGTTGAGTTTGTCTTCGCTTTCTGTTTACTGTGGTCTTTGTCCTTCAGATGCTGAGCTAGGCTATCAGCGCTCATGAATTTCTTGTTGCATTTAGTGCAAGGGATCATTGCTGGTATAGGCCGTGGTGTTGGGGCTGCAGACCGAGGCGGTGCCTTTTACGGTGTTAGTTGATTCAATGCACATCATTACTAGATTCATTTACCTTTGCCTTCTTTGCGTTATGATCCTTGTCCTTCATATGTTGAGCTAAGCTCTCCGCGCTGTTGAACCTCTCCTCGCACTTAGTACAAGAATGAGCATGTCGAGCAATTTGATGATCCCCAAGGGCTTCTTTCGATTTGAATGACTTCTTGTTGCACATCGGACACGGGTATTTCTGTGCAGAAGTGGCTTTGGTTGGCGTAGTGTTTAGGGCCATGGTGATAATTTGATTGCGACACACCGTTGGAAGGTCTGTGATTGTGCATCCAAAGGGTGTTTAAAATGCTTTATATCTGGTAGAAAGAGGGGTTAAAAGTGTAAATAGGCATCTATCTAGGCATCACAGTCTGGTACGCATGCATAGGTGGTGTGGCAAAGATCCATTGGCGGAGACGCATCTATCTCCTGCGCCGCATACCCTGTGGCCCCCAACGACAAACGTCTCACGACCTATCATCCTTGCCAGGGTTGGTAGCATCACTTCATTGTATCACAGCGCTTATTATTGTCAACTGAGATAATCTGTAGAAAATGTAGTCATATTGGTTGTATGTCTGATAGTTGTCTTCTCGTAAATGATAATGAACTAGTGTCCCTGGCATTTTGCCGCCTGAGACCGCTATTCTACTGAAGGACGCCATTCCACCACTACACTAGATATGTAGGTATGTGTCCTCAAGACGCCCTCAAAATGGACCCAAAAGTCCGATAGCTTACGCAGAGTGGTACGATGCCCACTTGCTGCGCCCCTCGATGACTTTTACAAAATTTTCGGCAATCTTGCGCCACGTTTGTTCGCTGGGATGTAGTTCATCGTACCACATGAAGGCGTCTGGATTGTTGTTGTCCACGCGAACACAGTCAGTCCCATTTAGCGTACAATGGTTCATGTATCCTGTCACATTGTAAGGTTCGGTGCCATTGAAATAGGTAGAGGGGTTATGATATATATCATTCATCTAGTAGCGCGATATCGGGGTTAGCACATTTCTTCACACTACGTTGAGTGAACCCACCAGCTCCTCAAGGTCCACGAGGGCAAAATTTGCTCCTGGGAACCGTCGTTGAAGCTCCACTTCCAGCGGCATCCGGACCTTGTATATTGAATTAACAAGGGCTACCTGTTCCAGCATTCGCTGTGAGGAAGCTGTAAGGTTGGTGTATTTGTCCGGCCAATACTGGGATGCTTTAAGACCTCCAGCATTTGGCATTGCGTATTGTGGAGCAATATACATAGCTCCAAGTGTGTTAAGAAGGAAGTAACGGGCGCCATGTTTGAAAAGACGATCAATCTGCTCAAAAACACAGTCTATGTAACTTGGAATGGTGGTGCCAGGGATCTGGGAGTCGGTCAGAAAGCCGTCGGCTCCAATATCATTTCCACCGATCATGATAGCAAAGATGGTAGAGTGTGAGGAGATGTTCATGAACTTGGTTCCATCGGAAAGAGTGTATTGGCAATCCGCAATGAAGGCGGGAACCTCATATGTGGCGATGTCGGGAAACAGATCCCCAGTTGCCTCATATATACGCGGTGTAAGACTATTAGCACATACTGCTCCAGCAACAGCGTAGTTATGCACTCTCGCTCCTGTATATTGTCCGACATAGGACGGCCATGGACGCCCTCCATCCGGAGCAATCGACTCCTATGAGAACTGTCAGACATTGCAAATCCTTCTGTTCCTTGACGTGAAAATTCAAACCTCGCTGTTGGTCCAACCGACCGGAGGAAGGGTTCCGTTGTGGGCAGTAATGTAGTTTAGTCGTCCTGCATCAGACCAGCTATCACCAAACACAACCAAGTCGGCGAAGCTTTGAATGTTCCATGCATATGAAGAACGAATAAGAAAAATGTATTGGATGGCATAGGATAACATCATTCTGTTATATTCTGAGTGGGACGATAAGAAAACTTTGACCTGATTCTGGATTCGAATGTGACAAGAATCAAGAATTTATACCGCTTGAAATAAGGCTCACTGAATCTAGAGATGGGTGTTGCGGTAGATCCTATTCCCCATTGAGGTGAACATCCCGTTCCGCGGAGATATATTTTGAACGACTTGAAGATGTGTTGGAACTTAGGACAAACCAGTGTACGTTTTGGGTACTTTTAAAGTTTAAGTAGATTCTCTAGTGGACCTGGGAACAAAATTTTTACGTGCCAAGAAGCGTTTTGCTACAATTTGGACCAAAGGTATTCATTCCTACCTTCCGCAATACCCGCACAACCGCAGTTCCGGAGTCAATCTTCAATCCAGTAGCTCCATCGTGATACGGAGACAGCAATTTATGTGGGCCTGTGTACCAGTATAGAATCTAACGAATGAACTGGCACAACGAAAAGTGTTCTCGAGACTGATGTACTTACTACTAATAAGATGTAACGAGTCTTTGATCATATCGCTTCCGGGAACAGGCAACTCGTTAGTGCCCCGTCATAGGTAAAATCAGGACGCTTATTGCGATTATTGTGCCTCCCGAGGCGGATCTTCGGCCGTTCATTCGGCTGTATTTCTTGTGGCCCAACTCTCATGTGGACTATTCTCTAATACACATGATATTGACATGCAAACCACTCCAACGAAGCGCAAACGCTCTAAAGTGCTTCTGAGCCTTGCCGGGATCGCGAGAGGAAATGCAACGGGCAAAGTCCATGCAACACCTGTAGCGACTGGGGCTACGAATGCCACTACAGATGCCAGCCAACTTCGGTATCCCAGCCGCCTTCTCTCGCGCTGAACGCCATAGCGTTGCTGCACCCGCGAAATCGAAAACCACACCGGAGGAAAACAAACGACAGCATGGTGAGAACATCTTACGGTGCCTAGAGCCGAATTCTGGGGCATCATTTGCAAGAAAGTAAGAAATATTGGTGTTAAAGTCGACGCCACAGATGCACCAAGATGAACATCTTTTGATGGAATATTGGATCTCGACAATTAGCATCTAATCCAAGTGCTACGCCTGCCCTGTCTATCTTCAAAATAATCTCTCCGGAAGAGATCAAAAATCTTGCCAAGGTCTATTTTAACAAGGTCGCTCCATGTTATGGATTGGTCAACCGTCAAGTATTCTTCCAACGTCTCGAAGAGCGGTCGCAGTCAACATTGAGCAATGACCGATATGACAGTGTTTTTGCCGGGGTCGCTGCGCTCGGCTCGTTGCTTCAGTTTTTGAACGGTCTTTGAGTGAGAGATCGAATTTCCTTCGAATTTCCTTCCGTGGGAGAAATAGACTAGTTCGAGGTCGGCAGGTGGACGTTGCATGGCGTGGGGTGGCCTCCAGGAAGTTCTGAATACTACTCTAAGGTCAGTTATTCAGCTTAAGGGGAATTGGATATATATTCAATATGAACCTCAACCTACACCCCGTTGATAATGTACGGCTCTCTGTTGGACTCCACCAGCAGAAGCTTCACATAAATATACTTTCTGATGGAACAAGCTAAATCCCTAATGACTGGTATTGCAATGAGCGGGGAACCTAGTAAAAGGGGGACCAATCGATAGAATTGACAGATAAAATTGACAGATTGATATTAAGAGAGTAGCAAGCAGGAGATTACAGGATTTCGCAAACAGTTTATTACCCCTTGAGCACGCTCGGTTTGTTTCTCGGCCCGTACCCGAAACACCGGTCCAATTTACCGACACAACACCAGTCCTACAGTATTTAGGGGAAGCGGTAATATACCACTTATAGCTAATTTTAATTTACAGCTTAGCTAAAATAGGCAGAGCATTGTTTTTATTACGGGCCCAGAAACGAACTGTGTGTTCTCAAGTGGTAAACTGTTTTCGAAACGCTCTGTATGTTAAATACCCATCTGTAGAGTTGGTTCAGGGTTGATGGGTGGAAGGAGCCAATTTTATCATGTCTCGGAGGACATGTGGGTACTGGAGAGTGAGTTGAAGGTGTGTCAAACGGTGACATGGTGGTATTTTACCACTAATGATAGGGAGCTGTCGTACTCCTGAGATCTGAGAGCGCGCCAATAGCGAGATCTAGATAGATTACAAGACCCATCGTCGCATCTCAATGGAACACTTCAATACTAGCACATATCCGTCGATCCGACAGTGTGCCCCAGAGCCTCAAACAATTACATACAAAAGACGCAGAAAAGGGGGGTAAAAAGGAAACCATTACGTGACAGCTGTAACTGCCCCGCTATCCTCGACGTCCCCGGCATCTTTCCTCAAGTTTGTTGTAGACAGCATGCTGGCCTAGCCCTAATCGAATCAATATCGTTTTATAGATTCGCACTATAACTATTAGAGTGAGGTAAACCAGTATCGCCTAGAATATATAGCAGGCGAATGAGATTAGACGAAACTAACTAATAATGGGATAATTGATAGATTGGTTTAAAAGAAGAAAATAATCACTGCGTTTGAGGACAGGTTGAAGTGTCCTCAGCAAACTAAGCGAGACTCGGTGTTGCAATACCAGAGTTCGTCAAAAACCCAAAATTACATACAAAAACACATAACAAAGCGGTTATTCAACGAACTAACCGCTTGCTTCGGCAAGTTAAGTGCCCACTTCTTCTGACACATAGTAACCTATCACCACGAGCACAAATCCACCGATCTCCCAGCACACATAGCACAAAACTGGCCTTGAACCAATCCAATTGGAATGGCCCTCAAGGATCTGGTGCAGCTCACCCTATCGCCGAAAAGAAGAGGTTCTATTCGGGCCGCATCATTGTAAACCGCTCGTAGATGTTTCCTAGGTACGTGCGGTCTCGCTTGCTCAGGGTTTGAGCTACGCCGGCAGCTCTAACTCGTTAGTGACCGTTTTCAGTATCAGCTCCTCTTATAGTATGACACCCCTACCAAATTCAAAGGGCGGCCTTGCCCAAATTGTCGTTGAAGTTGGCATCATTAATTGGGCAGTTGGCTTCTCCCCATTTGACATTGTTGAGAGTGGAACGCATGGCGTTATTCATGAAGTCCCAGCCAATTATGGGCTGATACCTGCCCTCATTACCAGTCGTATGGACGCTGTGGGTGCCAACAACGGCTGTGTCCTGGTAATATTTAATCTTAGGGTGTTTCGTTCCAGGCATCACATCCTTTAGTGCCCCAGATTCCTTCTCTGGGAATTTGCCGTGCGCAGAAGTTGAAATGCCAAGCACTGTAGGGTTTGCCACTGCTGGATTATTAACCCAGACAACGACGCATTCCCAGTCATGTCGATGACCAGTTATTCCTAAAGAACCGCCGCCTTGGTCCTTAGGCATGTACCTGTTTAATTAGTAAAGGCTATGTGGAAGAATTGGCTACGTTGATAACATACCACGTATACATGATACCGTAGGCTCCATTATGCCAGCCACCACGCTCATATACCTGAGCCTTCGTCAGGTCTCGGCAGCCACCAGAGGGACTACCACTTGGATTTAAGCCTCCACTAATTTGCATGGTCAGATTTTAAAGACTAACCGAAAATCCTTTGCCAAATAGAATTGTAATTAGACATACCTCCAATTACCTTTGTCATCTATGGCAGGATAAGGTTGGCATCCACTGTCAATATACAAGCTTGGTTGAAATGTCTTGATGGTCTTGGCAGTGGCAGAGTTGTCCAAGTTTTGCGCCAGGGCATTAAGGGAATCGTGGTGAACCTCGGCGCCACGCCGCTCTAGCTTGGAATGGCCATGTTCAGCCACAGGCGTAGCAAGACTAGTGCTTGCACAAAGAGCAGCTAAGAAGAAGAAGGTCTCGGAAACACGCATTGTAAGGTGCAGTGAAGAAAGCGAGCTGGGGAGTATTTGCTTAGGATGAGGAGTTGCCTGAAAGATTCGCGAGAGACAAATGAAATGAAGAAAGTGTAGATAACCGTACTTGACACTGTGCAATATCAGGAGAATAGAGAGAAAGACATAGTCTTATATACCCATTCTGCACAGTACTCCTCTCCGTCCGTTCCCGGAATCCTCCACTCGTACCATGGCCACTTCGAGGGCATAAATGCTCCCACGTGCGGCATATTCCTCATGGAATTTGACATGTCTCAGAACAGGCTCTTGGCATGTGTACTGGTTAGGAGAAGAGGTAGACCATGGGAGAGATACTGGCAAAGGTTTAATATGAAGACGAGAGACATTATCCACATACCACGGACTCTAGAGTGGATAAATATCTCAGCCTGGAAAGCCAATCAGAAATGAGCGGCTGCTGAGGCATCGCATCGAAGAAGGTAGGGGTCTAGGATTAAATGCGTGTTAATCAACACGCTGAGGATATACTTTTGGGGCAATGTTAAAAGGACCCCCCTCTTATTGATATTCGGACCCCCTCTCCACCTGTCTAAGCCTAATTAGGGAAGGCGTAGTATGTGTATTCCACGGTGTCTTTCTTTAGTAGAAATGCACAAAATCCTTGGTAATCCCAATGCACGGAGGACCTGGTTCCGAAAATACTATAGAACTAGAGTTAGTCTATGCAGCGGCTAGCAGGCTATTTTGCGTCGAATTATTTAAAAGTTTCATATCAAAAGTGAGAAAACAAGTAAATTGTATCGTATCAACTATCTATCGAGCTCTCCGATGCTTCCTAAGCCGATCGGGCTAGGGATTCTCTCCCTAAGAAGTAGGAATCTTCGCCGGCGACGCCTAGACCGTATACATAGCCACTTCCTAGAGAGCTTGCCGGCGATGGCAAGGCTCCCTAGGCCGTAGACGAAGCTATTCCCGTCCTGTTATCACCCTGTGAGGACTGTTGTCTTCCTCTACGCCCTTTTGTTCATTTTTACTAAGGAAATACACTTTGAAATACACATACTAAGCCTTCCCTAATTAGGCTTAGACAGGTGAAGAGGGGGTCCGAATATCAACAAGAGGGGGGTCCTTTTAACACTTGCCCTACTTTTTAGCGCTGTATTCTCCAGTTTTCTTGTTCTCAGGTGGATCATTGATAATGTATGAGGCCAGCGACGAGGTTGTGATCCATATCCTGAAAGTAAGAACAGTATTTGAGTTTCTCGTTCAGCGTACGAAAAACTCAAAAGGCTGCGTTTGGTAGCTATTCGAAAATAGCCTAAACAGGACTTGCGCCGACCAATCGGCAGATTCGGAGATTACCAGACCCGGGGTGGGACTGCGTGCATTATTAGATTGCGGCTAGGGGCAGCGCGACGACAACGGCGAAGTCAATTTGCTATCGAGGTCGACCATACGCTGGAAAATTCCGGCCAATTGCAATTTTCCGTTCAAACGATTCGCCTCGCGAGCATGGAATGTATGGTCGGGAATTGCCATCGCAGTATGCACTTTACTGGCCCTTTCATTAATTAAGGAAATCCGTGTCCAGGATCTGTATGGAGTAAACAAGATCTCGATCGGTGAGATACACCGAAGATTTTCCGAGCTATGTCTGATTAATCACTGACTTATTGACGTTAAAGGTTGTTAAAACTAGGCCTCACCAAAACTCGCCCAAACCCAAATCCGCCCATGAAAACGCAACCCAAAGAAGTGGCGTCTCCAGGCCCCGACTAGTGGGACTTTATCTGTCGGAAAATACCAAAAAGGTTGTGGAAGATGCAGAGACGGTGATTGAAGATATCAGGGATCTTGTTTTATTGATGCTTACCCTTTTTGCTAGAAATAGTTGAGATATATTGTTAACATGTAGGTAGAATTTCAAACTGCTCTGGCCCATCCACAACGCGGAAAGCGGCGTGGGTGGGCTAGTAAGCCACCATTAGCAAGAAAGGAAGAGTGGGTATCAAGTTGGAGTCCCCGGATTTGTCTCTCGAACTTTAAAACCGAGACAGAAATCCTGGTGAGATACCCACCGTCACCTGAGCATTCTTGCAGAATGGGCGTTCGGGTGTTCCTTTCCCGAGGCAGGTTAAGGTTGCAGGCGTTGCACTAATCTAAGAAATCGGCAGGCCGGAAGCCACGCCTTCCGGTCCAGGCCCATGGGCCGTCCCGTTCCTGCTGCTTGTTGGGGAGGATATGCGAGGTTAATGGATCGTAGAATTTCGGTACATACTAGTGCCGAGGGAACCAAAGAACGAGTTGATTGAAGAATTATCCGGGAGATCGTTGTTGAAAGCGTCTCATACCCTCAGTTACAGCGCGGGTATTCCCAATCGGTTTACCATACAAAAACATTTGAAGGAGTGGGTAGTCGCCCAATCAGCCAGTTCTTAGTGGTAAAATACCACCTCCTCAGGATGAGACGTCGTTACGGAGTGGCAGGACCACTTGGCTCCCTCGTACAACCGTCTTGAACTTACGTCTAGTCCCCTGGCAAAGGAAATGTTTACTACGCGGCTTCGCCGATAAGTTAGTTAACTTATTTAGCCCGAATAAAGGTGCTTCAGGAGGTGCAAACAGTCCGATTAGCTCAACATCGGCCAGTTACGCAAAATATAAGTAGCCTACAAAGCCTGCACATTTTTAGTAGTTCCGGCCAGTAGAATCTCATCAGGAAATCTCATTTTAATCAACACCTGTCTTTCTCTCGCGTATGCGCGACAAACTTTTCGTCTTTCCATTTTAAAATATGCAGACTTCTATATCTGTGGCGATCGTCTGCCTCCTCTCCCTGGAGGCTAAGGCGAGGGCGTTCCGTCCTGAAACCGGTGATGATTAGGACTTCACTCACCCTTACTTTGTTGTGAAAGTTGCAGACAGAAGTTCAAAAACTGTTAGTTGCCTATGGGACATGTGTAATCAATCGGTCCCCGATATAGTCCAAGGTTTCTCAATCAGGTCTTAGTTTTTAATTCGATACCCTCCAGGTCACCTTTGGAAATATATTCCAATAACATGCGCTTGAAGTCAAGAATACCGGAGCCCCAACCAGCGTGCCGCATACGGGCCGCTTGCTGCTCGGCGTTGGCTCATCAAATGCCCCTTCTGCGTCCCCGGAAAACCAACCCGACGTGCAAGTCTCTAAGGCACTGAACCACAGGGCACGCTTTTGCACTTCATCTGTATATCTGTCTTCGGCTTCTTTGGTCTGCTCGATTGTAATGGAGTTGGTGGCTCCAGGTCGTTCGTGAGCAATGGCAATTGTGCTAGCGACAAATCTTCCCGTTATCTATACTGGGTCAAGAGACGTGCGTCTACTGGCCGAAGTGCTTCTCCAATTGAGAGCCACGTATTTCTGCAGGGTATATAGAAATATCTTCAGAGCCAATAATAGTGGTTTATAGCTTGCCAAATGGCCAACTACTTCAGTTCCACTGTCCTTTCGATATCACAAGATGTCGAGCACTATGCCCGTTCATAAATACTGTTATATATTGCTCCTCCTTATGATCCATCTACCCCTAAATCGGCACGCAGTTTGTGGATCAAAAATGTCAGCATCCAGAGGATTTCAGTGTTTGTTTCCTGCAGGTGTCGGTGGAGCTCAAGGTGGCTCATCATCTGTTCGCGGAGGTGTGATGGTGGTGAGGATGCAGTAAGCCAGAGGGGTTCGAGAGGACCGATGTCTTGCTCGCCAGAATGCAGTAGCGGCACAATCCGAGACCAGGTGACCCCGAGATCTTCGCATTGCAACCCGTCTCGAAGAATAGTAGTCAGCGAGTCCATTTCTTCCACGATAAGGAGTCGTAGCAGGCCCTGCGATATCCCGTCGCCTTGAATAGACGGGGCGGTGGAGGGCGTTGGACACGCCGTACCCTCGACCTCGGTGCTGGCCAGCGATGGGGTCAAATCGATACCCTGAGAGTGTGGTTGACGGGTGCTTCTGTGGTTTCCCCCACGTGATGAAATGCAGTGCTTGCGCACCATGCCAGCGACAGCAACACAGTGTTTCCAAATGGTGGATGAGCAGAAAACCAGGACTTCATGTAGGACTTTGCCCATAGCAGTAACAAGATTAGTCAGAATAGGAAGTGCGAGCAGCGACCAGAAAACAAAAAAGACTTTGCCTAGGCTGCTGGTGGGATACAAATCACCATAGCCGATCGTGGTGAGGGAGGTGTAGGTGAAGTAGAGGGCTATGAAATAGGACCAGTCTTGCTCCGCTTCAGATGCACGGAAAATAGCGGCACTGAGGAACCATAGCACTAGCCACGAGAGTAGGAAGAATATCAGATCTCTGCGATGCATGGCATGGTGGAAATGTGCTTTGAGATGGTGAAGCTCGCGCACCTGCGCGCCTCTGGGCAATGGCAGATCCTGGCTGTCGGCAGACGAACTCTGTGTCCAGCGATGGCGCATCTGGGCCATCTTCAGATGCAGCCTCATGTCATGCATGTCATGGGTGAAGGACAGCATGGAGCTGACCATCAGTCCTAGCGCGACGATGCCTGTAGCGGCGTAAGGAAACAAAAGGCTACGCCCAAGATGCGTGGTGGGGACGAGATTGCCGATACCAATAGTGAGAATAGTGTAGTCGGCAAAATACAGCGCATCCAACAGCGGCCAACCTTCTACTGCACGATATATGGCCGCGCCGACGAGCAGCACAGTTCCCAGCCAGAGCGACCGCAACAAAACGTCCGTCCGCTGCACCCGGCGTCGATTATAGCGACTAAGCTGAATTCGGAAAGCGCCCATCACATATACCGCCAGCAGAAGTGCCACCAGCGCATACAATCCAGCCGAAAAGACACCGTAATAGAAGGCTTGTGTATATTCACCATGGAGATGTGGTTGGAGGCGACGGTGTCGCCGCACGACAGCTCCGATGACGCTGAACAAAAGGGCCGCAGCTATCAGCCAGCCCATGACACTGACCCAGAAAACTTTAAGTTGTTTATCATGACGCCGCATCAGTAGCAGGTAGCTGATATAGCCGGAGGCCGCAATCACAAGGGAGACGACTTGCAGGGCGCTCGACCTAAGGCAGGAATGTCTAAATGTCTCTTTCCATGTCTATCTTACTTAGACAGCTTACCAGGCTGGAAGCGAGATCTTCTGACCACCAGTAAGGAGAGGCTGCTCCCAATCACTCGAAAGCGCACATATGTTGAACATCATCGCCATAACACATAGCGTGCCCTGGTCAGGGTCAGTTGTAGGGACGATGCAGCTTACTCTACAGGACTCACAGCAATGACAGGAAGCCCGGTCACAAATAGCCATCGTTGCTGAGGGTCCCTCCGACTCTCAGAGACCCCGTGCTCCCCGCTCTCGGTCGACGCCTTCCAAGGAGGCATGTAATATGGACTTTCTTACAAGAATAGCCCTGGGTAATGAGAGTTTGTTACCCAGAATTAACTGGGAAGAAGCAGAAAATCTCATTAAGAGTAACAGATTTGATGTTGCCAAGTGTAAAGCAATAATATTGACGTATGATGTCAATACTTCTCTCCTCAAAACTTCCGACGTTGGGGCGAGAACCTGAGACCCGCGGGCACCTGACAAGCTGACTTATATCGGGGTCACGGGGCCCCGCGGAGATCCCACATTATTTCGGGCTGGTCAACATTGCATCTGGGATTCAGCTATGTCTTACTTTGGAGGCCTTTGAGAAGCTCTTTACACTGACACTTCGAAGCTAATTCTACCTGGCAAGGTCAGTCAATAAACGGTATTTGTTGATGTGAACACGTACACCCCAACCCCGCTTTACTAGCTGTCGACCACACATCAGGATCATCCTCAGGATCTCAGATCTCCTCGAAATCAAGATAGAGCAAGCATATCAGCTTTGTATCTGGAAGAAGGATCGAAGGTAATACGTACATGAAGGTAGCCCCTCGGCGAGATATTCTATTTATCTTTTTGAAGAGGTAAAGCAGAAGCATTATTTGGAAAATATCTAGCTCTAATTTAGTGATTACTTAGCCACACATTTAGCAACAATACCCTAGAACTGGTTGTCTAGGGCGGCGATCCCTGAGCCTAGACTCTTAATATCCTCCATGCCTCTCCGAGCTGTGCCCACGGCCGAGAACTCATCGGGTTTACGCATGCCACTAAACAGGAGTGTTTCCAGAATGGTGAGTGGGGCCATCTTGGGGTCTTCCACGATGGCATAAATTGTTGTGGCACCCACCGCCGCATCCCCAATCAACGTGATGACTCGCATTTACTATATGCGTGGGAGATGGCGGCTCGCTTATGGCATCCGTTAGCAAACTGGATAGTTGTGCGATCTCGTGTCATTTTCCATATAACCCGTCTTCCCCTCTCTCTACCTTCCACAATTCAAGCCCGACACTGATTCCACCACCTAAGCTCTTTTCAGACCCCTCCTGTGGAGGAGAATTCAGCACTTGGACCCAATTGTTTTAAAATGGCGTCTCTCAATAACGCTGGCCATGGTCCGCTTCAGGTACCAGGATTTGGCTCAATCCCCCTGACTTTTGAACTGGCCCCCGAGGCGCGCTTTGCCCATGGGTTGGTTGAATATCGCCACTCGTCTCGGTTGACCAAGCGAGAGATGGCGATGCTCCGACTCATGTTACATATCACAGAGCAGCCTGGATGGGATCGCGCAATACTGGACTCGGATGAGACCAAGCTGGCGCAGTGGTACCAGGACGCCAGGGAAGGAACCGAAGGATTTCTTATCAGCGTCGCCACGTGGGATTGGTGCCTCGCGGAACTGCGCGACAAAGCGGAGATATGGCAGACAACGGGCCATCTCTTGATCTTTGACAACTCCTCTGCTGTGTGTCAGGCCAACTTGTCGACGAAAGTGCCACCGCGGGAGTTCCAAAAGGAGATTGCCCGGCTAGGGTCACAGCAAGGCCATGATTCCCCCCTTGTTGACCCGTCTCTATTTCCGCTAGTGTACGACCGTTCCCATGTACTAGTCCAGGGTGGAGAGGTTTCCTTGGATAATTTATGGAGATTAGCAGGTCAGGTTGCCAAGGATCTGCCGGTCCATCCGCTCGCCCAAGCCATAATACGGCCGGGGTTGGAGAGGTCCCGCATGGCTGGATGGGGAGGACTGGAGAGCTGCTGGTCGAATCGTTTCCAATGGCTTCCCTGCGAAGTGCAGTTCAATCCCCAAACGCTGAACAACAACACCGATGTTCGGATTACATCCTATGTGAATAATCTCCATCCGGAGCACCATAAAGGGCTGTACAGACACCTTGAGCGCCTCATCGCAGGTGCGGTCTCTTCTTGGAACGAGATTCTTTTCTACGGCAACACCCGTGGACGCCGTCCGCCACGCATCTTAACATATGGTTGCCAGATCCACAACCACAAGGAAGATCACAAGATATTTGACCTGGTATCCAGATGGCTCACGTGGTCTGTGGCCTGTGATACCTATGAAGAGTGGCAGGGGCGTTGTGAAGCCGCTCGCGAATATATCAAAGGGCCCGAGCCACCAAGATGGAAGCAGGCCTATTTTAATGAGCATGATATTCTATTGGAAGACATGACCCCAGAGATGTGGGACTGCCCAAAAGATGTGCGTCGCGCTATTAACTCTAAACGAAGGCGGAGAGCTTGGTTCGACCATCCTGAACCCGGCGTCTCATTCTCGTACGAACAATGGAAACAGGGTCAATTTACAGGACGCGCAATCAACCCGCAGCATGTTGGGAAGTGCCCGGATCCACTACACCATGACCATATTCCGGTGAGACTGGAGCAGAAATTTCAGCATAACGGTCTCCAGGTCGTAGTGGAGATTAATCGCATCGAACTCACATCGGAGAATCCCGTGTATCCGGGAGATACTCACTTCCACACCGAGGGGCTCCGTAATGATCATATTGTTGCCACCAGTTTATACGTAGTGGAATGCAAGAATGTAACCCAGGCCCGCGTGGCGTTCGAGCATGAGGATGAAGTCCATACGGATGAGCTCGAATGCGAGGTCCCGGATGCGCTAGCCGCTATTCTAGATGTGGAAAAGTTGGAAGATTTTGAGGAGCTGCCCCCTCGAGCACTACATACTTTCGGATCTGTCGGGACTACGGAGGGCCATCTTCTGAGCTGGCCTAATACTTATCGGTCGAAGCAAGAGTCATTTCGCCTAAGGGATGCTAGTCAACCCGGCAATATGACCATTGTCAAGCTTCGTCTAGTGGATCCGCACTATCGAGTTTGCTCCACACGGAATGTACCGCCACAACAGCATGACTGGTGGGCCGCTGCAGCGGAGCAGGCATCGGATCTGGATAAGCGCTTGCCCCGAGAGTTAGTACTTTCCGTCATGGAACAGGCGGACTGGTGGCCTATGTCCGAAATCGAGGCACGGGGCTTGCGGGAAGAGTTCCATGGTGATCATGAGCGCGCTCGAAAGGCCATTGATAATTGTGTGGGGCACAATAGTGTCCTTGATGTACCCTAGGATGTATGAGGAGCCACGGATGCGACAGATGCGACTTGTGGTGCTGGTTACGAGTGTCCTAAATGCCTCTTATCGAACATTTTATTTGCTTAGACCCTGAGAAAATTCTAGAGCGGCTAGCACCAACTAGGCTAATATGCTCATATGCGCTACCCTCTTTTCTCGGCTAGCATGACGGGGTACTGCAACCTCAGTCGGAATACTCCGTAGCTCCTCATATTTGCACACACAGATATAATCTTAGTGTCAAAAGACATCTAGTTTTACCAGTAGGCACCCGAGTTCGAAATTGCAAGGTCTCATTGTTTGGAGCGTTTGGGCCCATTGAGGCGACTAACAAGCTAATCGAAGGCACCAGCGCTAGTATAGCTTAGCCAGTTGTCTTGCTTTAATCTCCGAGTACACTCCGTGCTTGGCAGCTTGGCACCACTTAAAGTCCGTGCCTTATCTCGAATGTTTTTCCGTTCCAATGGGCTGCCAGAAGTATGCACGCTTGGATGGTCACCAAAGAAAACTCGTGGAGATCAAGTAGCTTCTCTGCCTCCCGTACATATGGACGGCACAGTCCCAAGGATGGATAGCTGAGAGACTGGAATGGGCGGAAAACCGAGCGGAAAGCCCGATAACAGCCTAGAAAGAGAATCATTGGGAGAGACCCGTCTTCCAAAGACGCCAAAAAGGATGTCTTGTGGAAGAGACTGTGAATGCCCGTGTGATTGCGGGTAAAGAATAAATCGCCCAGTTCCATGCATAGAGCTCTCTCAGGTAACGCCGCCGAGGAAGATTGACCACTACGATCCACTAGAGGCGCATAACCTCGCAGAGACGTCTCATGGGCCTCGGTGGGCTCCACAAATGTGCAATCCAGCCTGTGTTGTAGACAATAGCCGCAGCTTGTTCCGCGCCGGGCTCGGTCACATTTCTTTCGCCGAGCGCTAAATACCCGAGAACCTATGTCAGCGACGGGGTATATCGAGATCCGAAGGAAAGTGAAATGCGCGGCGTACCGGCATGTATTGCAAGCTGAAAGTGGTCTCATGTCAGGTCTGGGTCGATGGTCAGGAGGTGTTAGTCGAAAAAGGGCCGGATAATCAGCAATACGCCCGAAGTGGGGGTTTAAAGTATCTACGCCATGGTGTTAGGATTTTGCCGTCTAATTTCGGTTGCGTCCCGTCTTAGTCCGTTATAAATAAGGAAAGCCCCTCCATCCCATATTGAGCATGGTGTTAGGTGGTGCAGCTACCAAGATACCCAGGAACGCAATGGGGGTTGGGTTACCAAAAGTGCGACGTAGATTCCCCGCGGTTTGCATCTTAGGGCTCAGGTAGAGTTTCTCAAAGGTATCCCGAGGGATTGGAAGGAGAACACTCTCCGCAACGCGAATGGGTTCAAGCATCTCGGTGCCAGCTTCTAGGTCGTCTTTCATGCGTTTACCGGACATATTGTTATGTTAAGATTTGCAAAACGATATAGAAATATAATAAGTCTCAGTCGATTACTTTTTTTCCCATTCTCAGTCCGTCCCTGCTCCTGTTATATGGAGAATGCGGGGAACACTATGTGTATATCACAGCATTGAATCTATCTCGTTCCCCGATTGTATCCCTTACTCCTCCGTAAACATCTCCATGGAGCAAGGATGGTATCTACGGTCTCGATGGGCACCATAAAACTCAAATATATGCTTAGGATAGCAATAGAATCAAAGAACACAGAGCAATCCACAATAACGTTGCGGCTGGGCCCCACCGCATGCTCCAGTCAAGTATTATTGCTGTGCTAACTTATACTCCGATTTTAATCTAACTATAAAAGATTATAATCCACTTATCGAAGACGGGCTTATTATTTTTTAAAAAGAAATTCAATTTTCGGATTGCAGGGAACTCACTTTTGCCTGTACCATACTTGGAAATGGCACGATTCTATTGGGGAAAGAATGGCCGCTTAAGTCTTTCCGCAATACCCGCCTATCCGAGGACAATCTCACATATCCTCCACCCGTGCGAAGCCTAATCAATGTCACTTTGATTAATTGACATTCATACTTGACAGGTTGTCGGAAGGTTTGCATTATAATTAATATCTTATCACTAGACTAGAGCAAGTAAAGGCTCACCGTCAACCCCTGTCACGAAAGAGATAACGTTCATTCTGGAAAGTCCGTTCAGCGCCTCAGACATTTCAACATGGACAGCAACTCAAACGTGGACGATGTATTCGCAGCCCTAGAGAAAGCCTTCTCTGAGGCCGTGAGGGACGGTGTGCTACCTGGCGCGGTACTTACCGCGACAAATGGGAATGGGAGCTTTCATTTTGCTAAAGCATTTTAGAACAACGGATTCACCGGAGATCCGCTCACGACGAAGTCCATTATGGCAATTGCATCTATGACAAAGCTTTTGACGTCCATCGCCGCCCTTCAATTGGTCGAGCGTCAACTTGTCCATCTTGACCAGGACATCTCACCTCTGATTCCTACTTTGGCTGCCCAAGAGGTTTTGACTGGTTGGGATACAACAGGGCGATGTCTTACACAGAAAAGGAAAAATGTCATCACTCTTCGTTATCTCCTTACCCACAGCAGTGGCGCTGGTTATGACATGAGTAATCCAGCCCTGGCAAGGGTAACAATGTCTCGTGGTCGAGAGATAAATGTTGGCGCTACAGTCAACGAGAGATTTGGCTACCCTCTGTTATTCGAACCGGGTACCAGCTGGGAGTACGGGACGGGTATCGATTGGGTGGGTCAATTGGTGGAACATCTCACCGGACAAGAATTGGAGAGCTATATGCAGGAGCATATCTGGAACCCTCTGGCGATCCAGAGAATCACTTTCTGGCCATCTCGACGTATCGATATGGACGCCGAACGTATGCGAATGACAGTACGGGACGAAAATTCGGGACGTGTTGTTCCTCTGCAGAGGCCGTTCTTAACCGAAGGGGTTAGCGAGTGCTTTGGTGGCCAGGGGGCATATGCTGCAATGGAGGATTTCATGAAGGTGCTCCGTTCAATCCTGGCGGATGATGGGAAGCTCCTGACTAAGGATACAACAGCCACAATGTTCCAGTCTCAGCTCGGCGATGCCAGTAGGGAGTCACTTCGCAAACATATCAAGTCTTGTGGTCTCAATGCGGCTTTCATTGGCATATCAGATAACAGTCATGCATATGACTGGGGATTTGGTGGAATGCTGGCCATGGATGATGTGTCATCTGGCCGGAAGAAAGGTACATTGTTCTGGAGCGGAAAGCCGAATTTGTTCTGGGTGAGCAGGAAGCAAATGACATGATATTCAACGGAACGCTGATACGACGATTAGTTCATTGACCGAGACTCCGATCTTTGTGGCGTTTTTGGTACCCAGGTCCTTCCACCTGGCGATAAACCTGTGGCAGAGATGATACAGCTATTCGAGAAATATTTATATAGAGTTGCTCAGGCAGAGGGTCAATAGTTCCTCGGTGCCACTGGGTTATGTAATGCCTTGGGGTAGTTCTCGTGACTGCAACCCTTCTCGCTGGCTGGATCCGTATGAAGAACTACCGAAGGATTAAGCTCCTCCTTACATAGAAAATCCAACACTGTTTCTCACTTTCTGACCCTCTCTGTAGCACTGCACGGGCTCCCTAACTACCTAGGGCCGAAATATTTATCTACAGTGAGAATTGAGAAGAGTTGAGATGATGGAAGTTGACCCATAGCTTTATGAGGTGCAAATCGAAATTACTAATCATGACCAAAAGGTGAAAAAGATGACTAAAGATTCGAGGCTACAGCGTGAGAATGTCTGGAGAAGTGCCACTCATGAAGCCCCGGTGTGATGCACGAGGTCGCAAAGTATTGTCAGCGGAATCTTATGGGCCGATCAGCACGCACCAACAAGTCTGTAGTTCTATGACCCGAATTCTGCCAGTTTATATGAGGCTCCGACTAGATAACAAAACAAAATTAAAACCTGCATAATAAACAAACCATCTGTGAATCATATCCTGGCTTTATCCCACCTGGAATGACAAACCCATGCACCGTTGTTGGCTACGAATAATATTAAGATTATGCGCTAATTCCATCTTTGGCTTTAGGAGACTTCGGCAGTGAGCCAAGCGTTAGTAACCTGCAAATGTCTTGCGCTAGCTGTGAAGCAGAACTGGGAGCGGAGCTTGCAACCAGGCGAATGTCGACGGGATTGTCTCGAATCATTGCGACGGACAATGGGCCAGCCCAAGGCTGCCCAGGCTCAAAACGGGATGAGGCGGGCGAGGAGGTTACGAATATGATTGAGCTGCGTGAAGGGGATTTGTGAAGTCTACACTGAGAGACACATTGTTTTGATTTAAAGAGGGTGGGAAGAAATTTCATTTATGGCGTGACGTGGCATGCACTAGACTTCCCTCAGGGTAGCAACAGGATGGTTCCTACGCTCTTGGTACCATGATGTGGGAGTCGATCAATCGACTGCCAGATGTGTGGCTATTTACAGCTTATTTGTAAGAAACTGAGCCTCTCCCATCCCAAAACTCCAATCAGCAGGAGTATTCTCCACACAGCTGATAATGAGATCGGTGCCTGCAAGCCCACATTGTGTAGAAAGCCCCTCATGCACAAACTTGTAAACTTCCTGCTTCTGTCGATCACTCCGACCTTGTTGAAAAATTTGTATTATAACAATATTTTTGCTCCGTTTGAAACCCAAATTCGTATCCTCGCACATAAGCTCATACTCTTCATGCTGTGTCACAATCTGATATTTTAACCTCGTGACCCGTCAGATATCATCAACAGGAAAGTGTGACGTGAAACTTTGCATCCTCACCTGGTATCTGTCGCGCTCAGGAGCGCTGAAATGATCAAGCAAGGTTTGCTGAATGACATCGGCCATCTTTCTAATCTCCGTAGGCGACCTAGTGCCCTTGATAATATCGATTTTGACAAGCGGCATAATGCAGAAAAAAACTGGTTCAACAAGAAGTGATAGTGTTGTAGGAGTTGGAATTCTCTAAGGGCAATGGAAGACATCGGCACTTTATATTGGTTGGATCACTTCGAAGCCGCAATAGCCGCCCATATTGGCGAACTCTTTAAAGAGCCAAAGTCCCATGTAATGTCAAAACTGATGTCATTGATTAGTTATAGCACCTCCGGCGCGTGCGATAAGGTAACTCCATTCCCGGGCATTACAGGTTAGAAAGGATTTGCAAGCAAGAGGCTTTACCATGATGAATTCCTAGCGACGACCCGTTATTGTGATATGCGAGCTGCTGATGATCAGGAACCAAGCTGTCGGAAAAAGCTCCTAAACGGTCTACAGGAAGAACTAAGTTGATTTACAATTAACTGCACTTCATGTATATATATTGTCTTGTACTCCTTCACTAACAAAATAATCAATTTCATTTCTCCGAAATTCAACAGGTTGTCGTTTTTGTTAATTACAATGGTCGATAGCCGTTGAGCATGAACAATGGGCAGTAAAAGATGGCTTAAATTTACCTCCAAGAAACAAGTACCTTAACAGTTATTTATAGTGGTGAATTATATCTGCTGAGGGACTCCTGCGTATCACATGGTTATGCCGGCAGTACTTACATAAAGTAACGTATCGTATGATCCTCCGAATTCGGAGCTTGATGCATTCAACCAAGTAATCAGGAGCTCTATAGCTAAGCTTGGTAAGGCCAGAGCTAGGTGAGACTCAGATCACAACAGTTTGTCCTGTGGAATTGCCAGGGGCTGCAGTCCAGTATTCAAGGTTAAATAACCCGGTCTTTGCACAACTTGTAGTTTATGCATTTCTAGTCTCCGAAAACTACGTCATTTTGCATCCAATGAGCACTTAGTTAGGAAAGTCGTCACATTATCGTCATGACGTATCTTCGTTTTTCAGGTGCTCTATGAATACTAGAATGACATGTACTGAAATAGGTACTAAATAAATTTGTCGTGACGTAACTCAAAGGAGACCATTCGCGACACTACGAGTGGAAAAGGGTCTAGGGGTGCGCTTCGAAGGCTGTCCCTTGGTATATCCGACAGTAAAACCAATAACACCTAGGAAGGGGGTCGTTGTGAGTCTACTGTAGCTGGCTTCGAGAGCGTTTCACTTACCGCATGCCGGTCTACCGCCTGCATTTCCTGTCGTCTTAGATTCAACGTCGGATCCCCGACCAAGGTCATCAGCGCCAGCATGGATGACTATCGTACGCTGCAGTGTCAGATATAGTTAGCTAAAGTCCTAGTTAGTAAATTATTAGGAACTTACTCCTACGACGCTTTCAGGTCCGATTAATTTGATCATCTTATCTTGCATAGTTCCCGTTGAATTTCCATCTGCATCAGTACGGAAGTTTCCGAGATCCCCGACGTGTCTCTCGTGGTCAGATGGCGCACCGTGTGTCCGTCCATAGGGATTGACTAGGGTCTATTGTTAGGATCGATAACAAAGTCTTCCAATTGACTGGTATGAAGCATACAGTGAGGACCAGCCGAGGTGCATCCGTTGGTGTTGTCGCCAAATTCATGGATGTGGAAGCCTCGCTCGCTATTAGGATCATTTCCACGAATGTTCCAAGTGATTGTAGTTGGCGCTATCTCATCATATTGCTCGAAGGTGATAGTACCCGAAATAACAGAATCGCCTCGCACTGTTGCAACTATTCTATAAGGTGAGCATAAGTCTTGTTTTGGGTTTTGGGTTCGTTAGAACTAGGTTGCCTACTTGCTTTGACCATGTTGGATTTGAATATTCTGCGCTTGACAATGCAAGCCGCTAGTATCTGGACTATATCAGCCTTTGTATTTCATAATTACAAATGATAAATGCCTCCGTACGTCAGTCGCGGAGTGTGCGGATGGTGCGGAACTCGTCTTCTATGTCCCCAACCAGCGCATCCACCAGAGTTCACACAAGACTGGTTTCTTTGTCTCCATTTCCCTGTTTTTGCTTTATTGCGAACTGTAAACACAGATATTCCGAGGCCTTGCATGCGTCATGGGTTTTCGGTAGCATATTCAAGATGGGTGCGGACCATATGTATTCCAAAGTTCCAAAGTAGTTCCCCAGAATCGATCCTGCTTTTCCTCCGTATATTTGAGACGGCTTTTCCTGTCTTGGTCAGTTCTCACTTATCTCGTTTGACTTCTCTCCTTTCTAGAGCCCGATTCCAGGTTGAATTCAAGCGGCTATCGCATATCAACCGAACGCGGCTCAAAATGTCGGAACACCACAGCTTCCACCATATCTATCCGTGGACAAAAGCGCCATTGATAGTCTCAGCGCCTATGCGAGATGTCTCCGGACCAGCGCTAGCCGCCGCAGTGTCAGCAGCAGGTGGCCTAGGATTCATTGCTGGCGGGGAAGATGTGTCAGGATTGGAAAACAAGCTCAGTGAGGCCGCACGCCTTGTCGCGGAGCACAAAGCTCGCCGGGGCTCTCCAGATGATAACTCCTTACTATTTCATAACTCCTCATCACTTCCAGTTGGGATTGGGGTCATCAATTGGGGAGCGGATTTCAACGTCGCTCTTCCACTTATCGTCAAATACCGCCCCTGCGCCGTGTGGCTTTTTGCACCTTCTGAAAGTGCTTCCGATCAGATCCCATGGGTGCAGCAAATTCGTGAGCAAACAGATGGCGATGTCGCAATCTGGGTTCAGGTTGGGAACATTGAAGAGGCCTGTGCTGCTGTGGCCGAGCTGCAACCCGATGTTCTTGTGTTGCAAGGTAGCGACGGAGGAGGCCATGGGCTTGTCCGATCTGCAAGTGTGCTTTCCCTTGTGCCAGAAATGATCGATAGACTTCAGACCAAATTTTTCGACGGCTCATCGAATACTGTTATCCCGAAGATCGTTGCAGCTGGTGGTCTGGCGGACGGTCGTGGAGCCGCCGCAGCGTTCACCCTTGGGGCTGAAGCCATAGCTATGGGAACACGCTTTCTCGCCTCTTTCGAAGCAGATATCCCGAAGGAGTACCAACAGGCCATTATTGAGGCTAAATATGGCGGGGCTAATACTGTTCGCTCGCACGTCTTCGATTCAGCACGTGGAACCTCACAATGGCCGAGCAAATTTGAGCCTCGGGGAGTCATCAACCGAACTTACACGGAATTTATAGCCGGTAACACCACGGAGCCCGACAATTATCAACGATACCATGAAGCTTTGAGAAATAGGGAGCAATACGGACCTAATGGTCGCATCGATACGTTGTGCGGAACCAGTGTGGGCCTCGTTGGTGAGGTACTGCCAGCTGGTGAAATTGTCCGGAAAATAGCAAGAGACACGGAAAGGATTCTGCTAACAGATCGTTGGTCCAAATTATAAGTGGGACTTGGCTTGCTCATCTGCAGGTTTCAAAGGAGAAAGATTGCTCCAAACTGTTTCCTAAAGCATTGTGGCCGATGTGGAGCTATTTCGAAAAATCTGCTGCACTTAATCATTGTATTAAATTAGTTCTATTTAAATATGCGAAAGCTAGCCATGCCAAATAATAGAGTGCACTGATAAAATGGTCAAAAACATTAGACCTGCTTCGGTCTTGACTTATGGCATAAGCCCCATGTCAGAGATGCAGTAGTTGGGCGGCCGAGTTCCAGCAAATCCTCGGTGTTGCATGCATCCAGGCGTTACCAGCTGCTGTTCCTTCATAATATCATAAGCGAAGTTGTTTGAATTTACATGAAGGGAGAAATGGACAGAACGGAGGATTGGTCTAAACGAAAATACAAATTTAGGGTTACGAAGGTCAAAATTGGCCCAACGAGCACAATCCCGTGTGCGCTCCACCATGAGGCGGTTATTCGAGAAAGATCTATGAATTATCATGACAAGGGCATCATTGAGGGCATAGCCTGGAGAAAGCAGAAGCTGATAGTCCGGTACCAACTTGGCGGCTTGGCAGCCTGGAAGGCCATCCCATTGCTTCTCAGATAGCCTGGGAACCTGCCTATCCTTTTCGTAGAATTGCAGAGTTCTTTCAAAAATCTGAATGACTGCGTCAGCGGCCAAAATACAATTCTCATGCGGTGGCTGGGAGCAGACATAAATCAACTTACAATTCTCAGTGCTCCCTTTGCCCATACTCTGATTACTGCTGCATCCAGGCTGCAATGCAGCCAAGATGCCATCAACGTACGATGCGCCACTCCATCTCTGATGAACGAGTGTCTCCACATCTAGGTCCTTCTCACGGGACTGAATTAACTTCACGTAAGCTAGCATGCCGTCACGCTTGAAGGCACGAGAGAGCTCGGTTGTAATTAACGCATTAGAATGTACACCTGCTAGTGAGACAATCTGCAAGATAAATCTGGTTCGGTCATTAGTGTTAAGAGCGCCAAAATGGACAAGGACGCTCATACCCATGTTTGGCCAATTCCCACACAAAAGACTTGAGACTCTCTTCGTCAAACCCTTCTCCTATCCAGTTAAATGACGGACTGAGATTGTAGACAAGCTTCTTGTCGGAATGAGTCCTTCTGATATTCCTGGCAAGCTCTGCTGCCTTCTTCAGATCTGGCGTGCTTGTCTCAATCCACAAAAGATCTGCATACGGAGCAAATACCTTTGCTCGCTTCGTCGCTGCAGGAAAACCGGCTCGATAGTGATAGTAGCCTTCGCGAGTGCGAGGGATCGCACAGGACCATATGACCGGTGACCTAGTGTACTTGGCGGAAATAACACGGCGCTGAGAAATAGAAAGATCCGGATTTGCCTTCACTTCACTCCAGTAGGTACCCCGAATAGATTGGGACGTGTTCTCAACCGACATTTGTGCGTCGACGGCTAAGGACTATCAGTGCTAGCCCCGGGTTGTAGCATGGCTTTCTTACCTTCATCGAAACTGACTAACGGATGATCCTTAAGCCATTTGAGCTCATAATCGTTAATTTCATTCACTTCGGCTCCTCTCGCCTCCATCTCCATGAGTGATTCTGCAAGGGGTGTTGTCTCTTTAGTAACGCCAAGGATGAACTCGTGGTCTCGCGTATCGATCGTGCTGCTGATAAGTCTTCCATTCTCAGAATCGGTTCGAGCACAGAGTAGATTCTCGGTACCCATCAAATCCCACTGGAAACGGACAGCAACGAGTCGTTGAATGTGTTCACTCATAGGCACAATCACCTTCCCGGCCAAGTGACCACATCGCTTCCCACCGTGCAGTTGATCTTCGAAATGCACAGCTGCTGCACCACTCTCTGCGAACAGTTTGGCCAATTTCATCACACTGGTAATGCCACCATGTCTATTGAAAATAATTCAGCCCTCCCATTCCACATAGAGGAGTCCCAGTCATTACCCTGTGTCGCCATCCGCAAAAATGGGCTGCAGGAAGTCAACGTAAGGTATCTCCTCACGCTGTTCCACAGTCAACTTTCTTCTCTCATCCCAATGTTTCCTATCATGAAGTTGTTGTGCTTTGAATATGCGTTGAACCTGATTCGGAACGGTATTGTAGGGGTAATCCCCGAAGTCCGGAGAAACTTCGTTCGAAGTTGTAAGCAGCGAGGAGCATGCCCAACCGGAAATATAGACTGCTTCTTGATTTGAAGCTTGTTGGGTCATCTGCACGGGGTCAACCACGCCCACTTGCAAAAGTTTATCTGTTAGCGATCTCTTTCAACCCCCCTCCCCCGAACCATAAGACTTACTGGTGTGAACAGGGCTTGCCTCCTCTTGTCGCTTGTTGAGCAAATTAAACAGCTTTCGCGCCATGACGGAACTCGGGTACGTCTGTTTCAATGAGCCTCGCTTGGTTACAACATCGGCAGCAGAATAAGGTCGCTTAATCCCTTGAAAACGGGGACTCGCCCACCACCGCTCGACTTCGTTAATCTGCTCTTCATGGAACACATCCTCGGCTCGCCCCGCCTTACAGATAGTTGAAAGAAGCTGATAGTTATCACTGTATGTAGTTGTTGAATGGAAATGTTTAATGTATTTTGGTGGCCATGACATCGAGGGATTCCGTCGAAGGTGCCTGGAAACGCCGAGAAATAGAACTCTCTGAGTGACCGCAACCGGGGCTGTTCGCAGCATTGTTGGATATCTCAAAGGAATTCCACGACTCGAGGGAACGATATCACATAAACGAAAAGGACATTAAATCTTTCGATCTCATTGAGTGCAAAAAACGATGATGGTCCTTTACTCCGCAAGCTCCGCAATCTTCATTCCCCCATCCGCAATTCCCGCAATCCGTGAAGGTCTCGAGGCCCCACCACTTACTTCACTCTCAACCTCGGCCCTAGTAGTGCTCCTGTCCATTGAAACCCTAGATTATTTGAAACATCTGTTTTGTGAAAAGGGGGAACCCAGAGAGAAATAATATTAACTGCAACGGTAGATGCGGCTCTGCGGACAACTGAGTCAGCTAACTTGAGTGTCACGGCTTCCTTTCGCGGGGATAATAGAGGCAAGTTCGAAATTCACAAGATAATTGAAGCAGGGAAGAAAGATAGACAGAAAGTAGTATCTGTCGTGTAGATATGTAAACAAAGGGCTTGTGGGAGGGAACTGTCTCGGAGAACATCTTCCGCTACAGATCAGGAATTTATATAAAGGTACAATGCATTGAAGGTATGACGAAGGAAAATACCTACTGAAGAGGGAAGTTAAGAGCCGTCAGCAGCACAGACAAGAAATCCATTTAAATTTCTCAACCATTTGCGAAAAGCCTTTCATTGAAACATATCACTTGTTGGCCTGAGGACCATCAGGGACAGCGTCTAACTCGGGAGTATCCTGGCTAAGTATTTGAGTAATCGCATCATAAGGGGCTGGTGCAACCCAAACGAGATCAAACCGTAAGCCTGGGTATTGGACCTTGCCAAGCCACCCCGTACTGGGTGCAAATCCTTTGATACCAATAGCTTTCGCAATATCGGAAAGGTTATGATGTTCCCAACAAATAAGGATATTACCTGTTCCCCTATACTCCTCCACGGCCTTAGCGACACCTGCAGCATCATCTCTGTCAATAGTAGTGTTGACCTCGACTCCCAAATCCTGAGCCAGAGGTTGCACAGTTTTATACGGGCGTGCCCTAGAACCATCTAGATGCTTTCGTTAGCTCAAGACGATCCACGAAATTCTAGGTTATAAAAGCCAGCGCGAGGCTCGGTAACAGGTGAATACCACCAAAAAAAAGGAGACGAGTGCTCAAACCTTTCTTAGGATGTTGAGCGACAATATAGCCGATATTAAACCCACTGTTCTTTCCGAAAAATTGACGAAGGCGCTGTGCTCTTGCTAGTCCCTGACTAGAGAGATTATTAGCGCCATCAGCTGGCTTTTCACCATGCCTAATAGCATAGATAATCGGTGCGGCCTGCACAGAGATTAGATTCCTTAAGATACAGATACATCATAAGGAAGTGAAAGCTTACCATCGTAAGCTGAATTTGAAATCGGAATTCAGAAGGCAAGAGGTTATTTCAGCAGAAAACAATTATTGGGCCTGCTGGGAGTTTTTAATGGAATATATGGTGCTTTAATAAGGAGATGGCGTAGGAAAACGTACGTGGGCGCATAGACGACGTCACACAACCATGGACGACTGGCTCTAGGTCCATCGTGGCGTTAATCTATCAACTTCATTACAGCCAGCTCAGGAATGCATTTTGTGAGGTGTGCCTTATTCTGTGTTGAATCAGGCTCGAGTCCTTCTGCTAATCTCCACTCTAGAATTTTCCATAATGGATTTCTCATGGAGAATAGACCAGACAATTCAACAATTTTCAAGTACTGCATTACTTACTCTTTGCACGTAATAAGCGAACAAATTCGCCCATGATAATTGAGACCAAAAGACCTCTGAAGAGGAAGATAAATTAATTCACCAAGCTCATTCATAATTATATTGCGTCACGATGTTTGTAGTACGCAAGGACCATCCTGACGCGCTGACGAGTATGGCTAACCTCCCTTTTACCTGGAACTTTTAGACCACGATGCCGAAGCCGCCAATTTACTACGAAACTGCCTAGCAAAGCAGAGACAAACATTAGATCTAACCTATCCGGACACTCTATCCAATTCCGAAGCATTACTAGAATAGGAAATGGAGGGGGACGGGAAACGGAGCGGGAATGCGAGACGGAGGGGAAAGGAAAACGGATGAGCTGAGTATGAATTCCTAGATAATGTAGATACTTGAGAATCAAAAACAACATGTTTACAAACAATTTCTGTTTCATGTTTAGCTCCCCAGAACCATCTTGCCATTATTGATTGACTGAGTGTATACTGCGGTACGCACAAGGTTTGACCTTACCACTTCAGCGGACCTTGCTGCTAAGACCGGTGACGGTTATGATAGAAACATATCGCACTAACGAGCTACGAGTGACAACCAGGTGGCAGTATTGATGGAACGAGTATCTGAAGCAATTTATGACAGGCAGCCTTACAAAATACGTCTTTGGATACGACTCGATCTTGAGATTAGGCTAAGCCAGGTATAAGTCAGTATGTTTCATTATACGTTCGGAGAAAGAATATCTGAGAGTAAAGTGGTTAAACTGATTTCGATTCATCCTGTAACCCGAAATTTCTTGCATAACCTAACTGACACTACCTAATCGCTTTTCTCATAAAGCGAGAACCAAGGTAACATCCATGGATCCTAAGGCGCATACTCCAACTCGGTGTAAATAATCCAATTATACGCTTGGTCGGAGTAGTCATGGATACCAATATGATCATACCCAGTCGTGGAAGTCCAACAACATAGCAATACCCTGGTACTCTTTGTCCTCATTTGACAGACACAACTGGACTTATGTGACTGTTCTCGATCTTCTCGATCTTCCCTGTCAATTTGGGCGTACCAGACGTCTCAAGGTGAAAGAGACCCGCGTCCTCGATATTGCCGCCGTAGAGAAATCGTTGGGCTGTATGGGGCTGGAGATTGTCTGTGGCTGAAAGCCCAAAAGAAGAGAGGTGGAGGAAGCTATCCATTCTTGAAGTTGCAAAGATAAGCTTTATCATCCTAGCTCAGTCAGATAAATACATTGGATCGGCGTAGGAAACTGAACGAGTGGCTACGACAACCCAGATTGAACTGGAACTGCTCGAAGTCCTTAACCGATAGACCAGCGCCGCAGTGGCCAGAGTACTCTTCTCATTCTTAATACATATCACGGTATGGCGTCATTCTGCTGCTTTTTGCCTTGGACCCCTTGGCTTCCATCACCAAGCTCTGCTTCACCATCTACCTCACCCGGGGCTCCATTCTCGCTTTCGGAGACCTGAACTCCACAGGCCTCCTTCAACTCTCGATCCAGGGCCTTTGTCAATGCCCCTAGTAACCATTCAACCTCACTCTTATGTCCCAACAATGGGCTCTCCTTGTCGATCCAACTCCAGTCATTGACCGCCTGTGCCTGTTTCTTGTTGATTTCATCGCCAGAGATATTAGGACGATTATCGCCGGCGATTAGTCCGAGGTAATACTCCCATTCTAGGTAGTCGAACTGCCGAGATGGAGAATTGGTAGCATATTCTATCATCTTGCGTACTTCCCGGAAAAGGAGGTAGTGATAATGGTAGATATTCTCAGCAACGATGTCGCCCCGCTGATGAGCGTGTTTTTCCTTCTTTCGCTCTTCTGCTTCGAGGTGGCTGCTGACATGGTTGGGCGCAGCTGAGTTGTTGGGGTTTCCAGTAGCTGTACTGGTCTGCTCTTTGGACGATCCTGTCCTTTCGCCTGTCGTCTCTTCAAGCCACCATCCGAACAAAGAGGTATTAAACAGTTCTTTGATCCTATCGACGAAAGAATGATCACCAGGCAATATAGTAATCTCGCCAATGAACAGCGTCATATCACGAATAAACCGAATAAGAGTATCACCAATATTCGAAATAAGAATGGTAATAGTCGGAACAGCAAGCAAAGACCAGAAAACGAAGAAAGACTTCCCCAAACTACTTATCGGATAAATATCCCCATACCCAATAGTAAGAAGAGTGGTGTACGCAAAGTACAACGCCTCAAAATACGTCCACTGCCGCGCCGACTCAGAGCGCCAGAAGACCACGGCACCAATAAGCCACATAGCCATCCAAAGCGTAAGCGAAATCAAAAGCGATAGCCACTTATGCTGAGCAGTTGCCAATTCTCGCACTTGATTCATAGCAATGAACTCTCTCTTCCGTTGTTCGCGCTCACTCCGGCCCTCCGCCTCGGCCCTCTCCTTCCCCAGCGCAGGTACAACCCTATGCAAACAAGACCGATCCGAAAAGGCCTTCTTGATTAGGAATTTGTGCGTGCGGGCCGTGAGCACATCACCAAACTTCTGTCTCCCCGTTTCCAACATTAGAGTCCGAATCGAAGAAATGATCAAACCCAAAATGACAATGCCCCCAACAGCATAGGGAAACAATAGTCCACGACCAAGGTGTGTAGCCGGCGCGATATTGCCAACTCCAATGGTAAGCAAAGTATAATCCGCGAAATAAACCGCATCTAGAAACCGCCAGCCCTCAACACGGGCATAGACAGCTGAACCGCCGAGCAGGTAGATGCAAAAGATGATCGTCTGCAGCATGAGCGTCCGCTGGCTAGTCGTTAACTTGAATTCACGACTATAGTGGCCCTTCCAGGCACCGTACCCGGTGACCAGCATCAACGACGAGATAATGAAGTATATCCCCGCCGCAAAAGCACCGTAGAAATAGGCCTGTGAGTAGGTACGGCCGTCATTCTCTGGTTTGTACATGAGTACGCCGAAGGGGATGAGGATTGCTATCAATAATGCTGATGAGATGTACCAGCCGATTATAATTATTGGTTGCGCGATCTCGAAGCGGATGCGTCGGGCCATGTTTAGGGATAGGGCGAGGTTTGCTGCTAGGGCGAAGACTAGGGATACTGCGTTGACGGCGATGACCCTATTTATGTTCGAGGTTAATATGGGGCATCTGTAGTAAATGGGAATCGTTTGATTATCGTACCATTTTGGATCTGGGACGTTTACTCCGCCGGTGCTTGTGAGGTCCATTCGCCATGGTTGGGATAGGGAGCATATGTTGAAAGCGCTGGCCATCGGGCCGAATGTGCCCTGTTGAAATTGTTAACATTCTGATTAATGCAAGCGATAGTGTGGAAGAAACGCATGGCAGGAGTTGACATACAGCTGTGAGAGGATATGTTGTACTTGCAAACCACCACCGAGCAACTTGAGGGTACTTCGCATCTCGAGTTGTTGCATCTTGATCCGTCTGGTCCTTTTGATTGCTGGAGGTGTGATCAAGAGCCACTGCCTCATCAGCAATAGCGTTGTCGAGGCCAGGATCATTCATCGTAGCTTCCTTTGATCCGAGTGAATCTCATTCAGGCCCTGACTAATTTATCACGATCATGCAGGGAGTATGGAGCAAGGATCAAAAGCCCCGAGTGGAGAGAGGTGACATTGTCCATCGGAAGAAAGCCAGGGACAGGTCTCCATATGATCAACCGATGTCAGTGGCATAATATTCAACCAAGCTATTAAGACTAAGTGACAGCGCCGTCATGATCCTGCATTTCTTGGTCCTCGGTATATCTACGTCATGTCACGTGTACGGAACTATAACTGTCGCAGATGGAATACGAGAGCGAGAAAAGTATGTGGATTTGCGTTGTGTACAATTCAAACCATCCAGTGGAAGAGAAAATAAGATAGAAGGGAAGCTCAAACCAAAAGCAGCATCAAGTACTTTGGGCCTGGGAAAAGGTTCAGAATCCTCAAGATCGTTTCTGTACATCGCACCCACCTACTGCTATACATTGAACAGGCAGAGCACGGCTCAGCATTCAAAGGTTGTCCGTACCATGTATCTGACTTTGCAGATGGGACAAGGTGAAACGCCGAAAAGTAATGCCCAGAGAGATCGTTTATCAGGGAAGAAAAAAGAAAGAACAGAGTCCGTAACTCCATCCCCAGCCAAAACCACATCGCCGTGTGTATGGATGCGTATTGGGGAGATAAATCGTGATCAAATTTAGCCGAAGAAGTGAAAAGGGTATCGCAGAGCGTCGAAAGAGCCGGTCAATCGTTTCAAGCGTGATGTGACACCACAGAACCAAGAAATTCGTTAAACTGGAGAATGGTCAGCTTAACCCCGAAGACAATCAGTCTATAGAGTACTTACTGTGAGGAGCCCCAGGCATCAAAGATGAGGGAACCGGGGCATCGTTTTGAGGCGATGGTCGACGAGCGAACCGTGGATCTACGTCTTCGTAGTAATTTGTACCAGCGTAACTACCTGGCTGAGGCGATCCGTTTGGCCGCGGTGACAGTGTCTGACGGTCATTGGAATTCCAGCCCGAACGAGGAGGGACGTAGGACTCAGGTCGGCTGTACATGCTCGTCGGACTTTCCTGAGGAGCATGCCGGCCGTCAACCGAAAGTGCATGAGGACCGCCGCTAATCTGTTGGCTGGGCTCAGGCGCATCGTAGCGTCGGGATTGAGGCTGCATTTCAATGGCTTGACCCACCGTCTCCGGTGACACGGCCATACCAATTGGACCTGGAGAGGGCTGGCGCATCGGACCCGGTGATGATTCATAGACGTACGGATCATTCTGGGGAGGCGATACAGGCCGGCCATATGCATCGAAGGTAGTAGGGGCGGCGGCATAGCCAGCGGGTGGACCCCGGGGTGGCATCATGCCTCCGCGACCTCCGCGGGGAAGCGAAGGTCCCATGTAACCACCTCGTTGGCCAGGAGAAGGTCCGCGAGGTCCCATATAGGGTCCCCCGCGTCCATAGCCGCCCCTGGGAGGATAGCCACCGCGTCCGCGTCCGTTGAAGCCAGGCGGCGCACCTCCCCGTTGAGAGCCCATGCTGCCATTCGAATACTGAGGACGGATTCGGGGGTCGGAGGGATTGCGTGTCATCGGACCGCCACCATAAGGACCTTGGGGTGGCATGTTGCCTAGTTCATCTTGCGCGCCGTAGGGGGTTCCGCGACGATCTGGAGGTGGCGGCACGTCGTTCAGAGGAGTCTGCGAATTGAGAGGGGTCCGGTCATCGTCGCTGTCACGGCGCTCCGTGTTGAAGGTCGCGAAGGTCGGACCTGCCTCGAAGGAGGGAGACCCAGTTACAAAGGCTTCCTTGGTTTCGGAAGCGGCGGGAGCAGGCACCGGAGGCGCAGTAGCATTCTGTCGGTTGTAATAGTTCTCTCCGCTCATCTCAGCATTCTCCGCGATCCGGCGCTTCCTTGCTTTGCGGCTCACAAGGGTCCGGCGCATGGCACAGGTGACCACCCCACAAGAGACCAGGATGATGGTCGCCGCCAGGACGATCCAACCACCCCATCCTAGATGCGGCACGAAGAGCAAGATATCCACCAGGAATGCCAACAAAGTTACGAGCAGTGTTGGCAAAAGCAGAATAAGGAGCGCCAACAGGAAGCGCGGCGAGTGGGAGGGCGCATGGAAGTGGGCCGCGGCCGCCAGGCAGAGACAAACGAGGGTCAGAAATGCGGCGACTGGGTGGATGATGAGGATCGAGGAGAGGGATTTGCGTGTACTGGACGGGAGATTGAAATCATCGCCGGTGCTATTAATATCATCTGCGCGAAACTTAGCCACAGCCAACAGGCAGAAACGAAAGGGAGCGACGAACTGCTGGTGTATCCGACATGAATATTGGTGCAGGCATTGCCTTTACAATATCCAAAGACACCGTAATCGACGTCCTTGAAGGTCGCCAAGGGAATTCCCTTGATAATGGGGGTTGACAGGCACGAGAGCAGTAGCAGCGCAAATGCGATCAGCAATAGGATGGTGAGGGGTGTCGCGGGCTTGAGCAACATGGCGAGGGGAGGCGACAGCGCGCACCCTTAGAGTACGCCCTTAAGAGAACCTTGATCTCCCTCAGGCCAAAGGGAAGGATAATCAAACGAGTGGTAATTTCCAGAATAGCCAACGCGGGGACTCGAAATGGACTCTAACCCAGCATTGGCGCAGCAGCCGAGAGAAGAGGGAGAAGCTTTTCGCAGCAAAAGAAGTGAAAGTAGCGAATGAGGGGAAAAGCCAAGGAATATAGGGAATAAAGGAAAAGGAATGACAAGAATGACAAGGGTTGATAAATGAAAGCGAAGCCGTGGATGAGGACGGGCGCCTCAGGCCGTGGTCAGATGATCCCCTCTTTCTCTCTATCTACAACTACTCCTGTTCAACCTGTTCAACCTCTCTTCGATATCCTTATCCACGACTTCCATGGCTTTGGAGTTAAATGTGGCTGAGGCTAAACGCAGCACAGATCCCGTCTCCAAAAACTGGGGGGTTCTCTCCCAGCCAATGCAGGCTCTCATTCGCTCTATGCGGTTGAGGCGTCGCTTCGGGGCAGGACTGCCCGTGTCGCCAAGTCCGGGCGCGCGGCGGAGTATTCCCCAAGCTTCTTTGAGCCTTGAGAACCTTGCCATTGGCTTTAACCAGATAATCCGGCAAGTCTAATTGCAAGCGAAGACTTTTCATGTCGGTTCCATCCACCGTTGTTCCGCGGGACACATCGCCACCAGCGAACTTTTGAAGCTTATTCCGTCAAAGATGGCGAAACTTGCGAAATAGAGGCAGTTGGTTTCAGGTAGCCGAGTCTTGCTGGTGAAACAAGATCCGTATCTCTGAAATTTGCGTGTACCAGAAATTATCTAGATCCATCGCAATCCTTGCAACTTCGCAATTTGCCATCTCGATATGTCCACACGGCACAGCAATCTAAGTAGCTCGCATATCTGGCCCCAAACGCTTGGACCCGTAGTCTGGACTCGAGAGCCGTTAAGGTCCACTCGATCAAGGTGAAACAGATCCACCTTGAGATCGGACTTGATAACTATCAGCCGAGATAAAGATCGTCTTGTGCGCTTCAGGGTTCTTGTCACTTGGACAGACAGCAGTATCTGGAATGTGAATTCATTCGGCCAAGGCAAATTAAGCTTATTTCGTGACATGGACCACGTCACTCCCCCATCCGGGGGGTGCTCAGGTGGCATTGACCACTTATACCCCGGTCACACCACAACAACATAGCTCCGAATACGGAGACACAAGCCACCCCCACCGGTAGTTACATGCCATGAGGTTTTGATCATTTCTTGAACTACGGGGGATGTTTTTTCTTTGGATCTGACTAGGCATTTCAACAAGTTAGAAAGTATCTGCATTCCAAATCTCAAACGTTTTCCCTATCTAAGAGGCAACCGATCCCAAAAATGTGCTTCAGCAATAATTTCTGGGTAGTTTTCCTGCTGCAGTTGGTGAACAATGACTTTTCGGGAGATACAGTGCCTGCGTAACCCACTTGATCACGTCACGTCTAACGACCATTCAGTTATATCTAAAGACAGCTAGCACCCGAAAGGGCATAATCTTTTGCACTTTTAACCAGTCTCATAATCCTAATCCCGATCACAGTTTACCAAGCCATGTGAGTCCTGTTCGTCAACATCAAGGCCCACGGAAGCAGACTGATCTAAAAGGGCATGTTAGACTAGCCATACCACCAGCCTCCCTATTACTCTTAAATATCTCCTATCAAAAGATGCGCTGCCTGTGGAGGTTCTTCAGATGGTCCAAACGGCAGAAACCTGAGGACGAAGAAGGGCAACTGCCACTACAGATCCGAGACAGAATGATACTGCTTCAGGTAAATCTTATGGAGCGGAACTTTAGGGAGGAATTTTGAACAATAGGCCACAGGGCGATGAGAATGAACCACTTGTTCAGGAACGCTGTGTTAGAACCGGGATTGGGGGTGCTGGAAATATTCGCAAGTCCTGCTTCCTTTTCCTATTATAGGTCAGATGCACTTCACTGTCCGTCACTGACTTTCGAGTTGTGCGAGCAGGGTCATCGTGCGGAGTGGGCGAGCAATACATACCGGTGTATGCTGAGTGTTGTTGCGGACCGGTTTAAAGTTGGATTGGAACAAATGGTCCGGGGAATAAAATGACGAATAGACATATGAATCTACCGGAGCGTTGGAGAGTACCTTGCAATTATTGATGAAGTTGGCATGCGACTACGTATTGACCGGCACGAATTTCTTCGCGGCAATGGTGGTGTTATAGATTGGCTGAGTGGGAGCAGTTCCAGATGGTATGAGGTGTTACAGCTCAAAAGATAGCCACCCTAGGGAAATTCCAGGACGTATAGATACATATGCACTGTGTAGGTGACTTTCAAATTCGACAGCGATCACAAGAAATTTACTTATCTTAGTATGTTCCACGTCAACTCGTACCTTGAGATAGCAATTCGTAGCAGACGAGCCGTCTGGCCGACAGAAATGAAACATGAGGCACCATCCGAGAGCGACTAACACGAATGATTAAAACAAAGTTTAAGAAATATTGACCAGCAGCCTGGTGTTTCATACGCTGCCCTGGCTACAGTCTTATGTTTTGGGGTTGTGCCCGAAGCCTTAGGGCCCAGCCACTTACGCCAGCAAGGGAGAGAAACCAATTGTATCACGCTGCATCATCATGCTGGGAGTTTGAGCAATTGTGCGAAACTGCCCTGCTTAGTTATTGCTAATAGCAACAAACTAGTATAGTAATTGTTGGCAATTATCGATTTGAGGTTCCGGAGTGGAACCTGATTATCACTCGGTCTAGATGTTACATGGCAATTGGGAAGAGCGACAGGAAGCAGCAACACGATAAGTAAGCTCCAAAATTATCATGCGATCAGAAAATCATCAATTAGAAAAATGATCGAGCTGTCGGGTAGATCACAACGTACTTAGGTAGAGCCAAGCTTCCTAGGATGTGCTGGGGTTCGGCCCGATAGACAACCCAATACACCCAACCAATTTCAATAGACTCGAATTTTGATTTGATATTTGAATCTGATTCATCGAATTAATAGTGTCTGAGTCGACGAACCCCCATGTCTCATTTATCCCTATTGGTCTGTTGCTTGACCGCAGCCCTGTGTGTGGCTGGGGAGGCTGGGAGACATCAACCCAGCACAGTGACAGACAAAAACCCACTGGGCAGCGAGTGCTGGTCCTGAAAATCCCTTTGCATCTCCAGGTCGAGGAATGCTTCTGGATTAACATCGCGCGTGGTCTCACTGTCCACATTCCACAGCCATGTCGACCCCGGCGAGAAACTTCAGCCTGCGCAACGTTAATAGTAGGTGCATAAAACCCCCCCCGCCCCGCTGTCTTTCCAATGCTCCAAAGTCTCATTCAATGTCGATTGACTTTTATATAGCCAGCAAGCCCCAGCTTCACCGAATGGACTCTCAACAATCTATTGCTGCATCAGACGACTACTATTCATTCTCAGACCGAGCTTCCTCGAGTCCAGATAGTCGAGTCACAGTGAGACGATTCCAGACTCCAGACTCTCAACCATCTTCTCGGGGTCACTCTCCAACCATGCCGGCACATCCCTTTCCCATGGGGGAGTCGAGTCAACCTGCCCAAGAAGATCACGAGTCACCGCGTCCACCAACATCAAGTACTGTCCGCTTCGGAGAGGACAGGGTCGCTCAGATTAGTGCCAAATCAGATGGCACAGGATCCGATGAGACTGCTCGTCGTGTGCCCAGTGACTACGCAGGACCAGCCCCCACCCCAGGCTTGGATGACTCCCCATACGTCCGGTTTGCAATCGATCAGCTCACCCAGGACAGGGCTCGGGGAGTTTCAAGACAGGACTCCTTATCTACTACGACTACAGGAGATGAGTATCCAAATAATCAACTCGTATGGGACGAGGGATTGGGCTACTTTACCCGCACAAGAACGCCTTTGAGGACACCAATTCGACATGAAACGCCTCCAGTGAGACCATCATATACGTCTCCTTCGCCGCAAGCTTTACCACAACGACCTGTCTCGGTAGATCCCGAGTCTTTTGTTGCCGTTGAGCCACCAGAGCAGGGTTTACTGTATCCGCCCTTGAACTACTTGCCTGTGGTGCTGCGGCCGTGGGCTTTGGCGCTGACGATATTTTGTTGTCTGCTTATGATTGCGGGAGTTGTCTTCTGCAATATTTGGTCTCATCGTCACCAGGGAATTTGGGATTACCAGGGCCAAGGAGGTGGCCATTATTTTGTGCTGCAGTTCCTACCACAAATCCTCGCCGCGCCGATCATCATCTGGTCCTTTGTCATTCAAGCTGCAGTATATCGCACAGCACCTTTCTCCATGATGGCCGCTGAACGACAAAAAGGCTTGGTTATTCAAGCATTGCCTATCCTGTCGAAAAGCTTTGTCTTCCCGGATTTCTCCCATTTCAAACATGGTGAACCCCTGTTCGGTTTCTCCTTGTTCACAATTTGGCTGCACAACTTCTTCGCAATTCCTCTTCTCAGCTGTCTCTTTCAGGCAAAGTACTACATTATTGATGGAGAAGGGGTCTGGAGATGGGCCGCAGTTGAGTCTGTTGGCTGGACATTGGTCGCATTATACGGCGTTCTCACAATTGGCATGGTGTTACTGTTTCTGCGCTTCCTTCGCAGCTGGTCTGGTCTGATGTGGGACCCGGTCAGCCTGGCGGATCTGATCTCGCTCATCCAGCGGTCGAATATTCTCCATGACTTTGAGCGATCTGAAACTCTTCCCACAGTGCGAGACTCGCTTGATCCTCGTGTTCTTCGGTTGGGCTACTGGAGATTGTCGAGCAAGCCTGAGGTCTTCTACGGCATCGGCGAGGTGGACGCCCCAGTTCGCACTCCTTCACTTCATCAGACCGGCAAAAGCAGAGAGAAGCAGCCACATGGTCTTGCCAAAGTGTGCGTTGATCTCGAACACCAAGGAAACGATCCAGATCCATCTGATAACTCCCTCTACTCGCCATTCGCCCGCTATCGCTGGACCCCGTGGTTCCTACGCAAAATCTCAGTATTTATCTGGGCTGCAATCGTCTTCGCCTTGTTTATTGCCTTTGTTGCTGTCAGTTTTATCAACGACGCGATCAAGGGTGGATTCCCACCCAAACTCCCGACCCTCCCATCAACAAGCGCATTCTCCTCCTCCAACTTCCTCTACAGCTTCGTTCCCGCCTTAATCGGCAACGTCCTCTTCCTCGCCTGGCAACCAATTGACGTCTACTTCCGCGCCCTCCAACCCTACGTCGAGCTCTCCTCACCAAGCGGCGCATCCGCCGAACAAAGCATCCTCCTCGCCTACCCATCCTGCTATCCAATCCAAGTAACAATTCTCGCCCTCCTAAACCGCCACTTCAAAGTCGCCTGGATATCCCTAATGTGCCTGATATCCCTGGCAATCCCCATCCTCGCCGGCGGCGTCTTCATCGCCCTCTGGTACCCCTCTCACGACGACATCCGAATCTCAGCCTTAATGCCAGCATTCTACGCCCTAATTGCCTTCTGCGCTTTATACGCCATTTCCTTCCTGGTAATCTGGCCCGGCCGCCGCCGCTACCTGCCACACGATATCACCACCCTGGCTGATATGATGAGTTATCTCTACCAATCACCGCTTTTATCAGACAAGATCCTCCGCGAGCCGAGGAGCAAGACTGATCTTGTTACCCGTCTTATTGTTGCGCCGCCTTCGGATCGCCACTTGCCGTTTTATGGCTTTGGGATCTATGTCGGTCGTGACGGTAAGGAGCATCTCGGTATTGATCGCTTCCACCGTCCTGGTAGGAGTGATATGCTTATTACTACCGGGACTATGAAATGATTTTTTGTTTACTGTGATCTTTAGCGTGTTTGTCTTGTAACGTTGTTATGATTTGCATCTTTGATTATGAGCCCATATTGATGCTTGTTTGCGAGCGCTATATTGCCACTATGCGACTACTTGTGATGCCATGTTTCGGTATATTTATGAATGTTTTGGGTTTGCTTTGCTTTTTCTAGAATAACACTTGCATTTTGGGCGCTGTTGCATTTTATCTATCACTACCATCTGATATCTCAGATGAGCGTTGTGTTGTATAATCATATTAGATAGAATATTCCGAACCATAGCATAGAGTCAAATCGAATCTTATCCGAATCTACCTTATTTCCTGAATTTGTTCCTCTCTATTACATAAACAAATCGTTAAATCATACGTCAAGGGACATAAGTGTGAATACAGTGTCGCTGATGAAGATCTGAACAGACACGAACCCCCAAGCGAGTATACTGTTTCGGGCATTGTTTTCGCCCTACTTTGGCCTCTCTTTTCTCACCTCTTTTTTGCCCAGTTTGATAACCTCAGTTTCATCATGGAGAGTGCACAAATGTGGGGGTGTGAAAGGCCTTATGGCCTATGACTGTACAACCAGTCCCTGTCAATCTATCCACCTAGCCAATTATAGCCCGAAACCAAAGTAGTCAATCATTTCTGAAAGTAAATAACCCTCACCCGATCAATCTGCCCATTCAACCAATCAATCTGTTCAGAAGGCAACCCCAAACCGCCAGCCTGGAGATTCCTCAAACAAGGCAAAACAAACCAAGCACCCATAAGCGGAGCAACCTGCCTATGCGTCTGAGAAACCGGCCTCGTCTCCGCGAACGGATACTCAACAAGACCCGTTTTCATGCGGACAGATTCAACTTGACTTCCAAGGAAGAACGGTACACTTGTACAGATCTCATCCGCGAGGCGGTGCGCAGTAGAAATAGCCATCATTGTTTTCAGGCCTTGTAGATCTTGAGATGGTGTCATGCGGAGACAGCTGAGGATGATGCTCTGGACTAAAATGCGGCAGTCGCGGTATGTGTTCCAGGTTGAAGCAATCCATATATCCGTGTAGCAGTCGACCCGGTTTTTGTAGATCCCAGCGTTGTGGACGGATTGGGGGATTATGCTTGCTGCGACTGGTGTCCAGTGTGGTGGGACTAGGTGAGCCCACGCTGCGAGATTCGTGTCGATTTCGATCGCTTTGGTTAATAGAGATGTGACTGTTGCTCTTTTCGGTGGTTTGTCAATTATTCCCTCCCATGAAAGGCGAAGGTTGACGATTTCTGATGCCGCTGAGGCTAGGAGTGGCCGAGGACCTGAAGAAGGTGCTGGCTGGAATAATGGCCAGACTTTTGGGGTTGGTACTGTGGGACTAGTCAAGCCTCGACTAGTTTTGATCTTCATTTTGGGTTAACAGAGAGCCTTCAGGTGTGTGAGGTCAACATACAATTTGAGCTTGCACTGCGTTATCAATTGTCCTTGATGTCGCTGTTTGTAATCGTTTTGATTTTCGGTTGTTGATGAGGGCAACAGCTCCTCGGAGGTGAGCCTTCACGGGATTCTCCCAGTCTTTCATGGCAACAAACTCCTTGGAGATTGTCAGTTCAAAGGGGTATCCGCAGCCGAAGGAAATCTCGTTGACTCACCTCATACGTCGAGAGTAGAAGAATAGAAAGTAAAATGGAATCCAGATCACTATTCTCATCTTGCAAAGACTCTCGGATCTTCGGCAATGCTTGAGTGAAATACTGCTCTGATAATCGAAGCAAGGACCCCTGGCCGGTCCAGGCTGCAACGGAGAAGAAAGCAACTGCCAACGTGCTAACATAGAGATGAGATTGCGGTTTTGCGTCCGAGAAAGCCACAGGCAGGATCGCCATGAGTCCATTCCAGATATGAGGATCTTTCGGAAGATAGAGGTAAGAATTAAAGAAAAGCGGTACCACAGCATCTTCCATTGGCTGGTATAGATCAGCAGGACCCAAGAGCGGAGGCCAAGATGTCATGGTCATTGGCCCTTTTGCATGTAGATCCACAGGGCCTAATACCAATTGCTCCTTTGCGGGTACTACTTGATTCGGTTGCTCTATAGTCTGCGAGTTAGAGCGCGAGCGAGTGCTCGTTGCAGGGGAACGGCTGGCTCTTGTTTGTGTTTTGAATGAATTCGTGTGATCCCTCAGCATCAAATCAAATGGGTCTGGATAGCCAGGACATTCCCGTTTTGTTCTTGTACATGCATTGCAGTGGGGACGTGTTTCATCGCACTTGAGATTGTGAGAATGACGATACTAAGTGAGAATCGGAGGACGAGCTACCTTGATACGTCTCTGCCGGCAATTTCGGCATCCTGTGCTAGGCTTTCCGCCGTATACCATGGCTATCTATCTGATATGTTGCGATCAATGGAATGTCTGCATGAGCTGTGAGATGCTCTTGGCGCGGATGTATCATCTGGCCTGTATCGAGGTATTTGAGCTTCATATGATACTACGGTGAAAATTCGCCCCAAACCAAGTGGACAATTATTGCAACGTCGTCAATTTATACAAATGTTAATTACAGACCGTCAGATTGTGAGCCAGAAGTCAAGTCAGAGGCGACCTGATCACGTGATGGTGATATCTCATCTCCGCCTCGGATTTAACACTCTCCAACAGTCCGATAGTCCCGCGCAGATTCAGTCGTCTCGAGCTCTCCAGGTGATCAATTACCCAAGTACAGTGCACATTGCCCTTGTTTCCAGCTCCAAGACAGCCATCCTCTCATTCCTTAAGCTGTCCACACACCTCCATTACAAAGCAAAGCAAACCTCACCCACATCCACACATCCTCGCCGACACAATGGTATCATTCTTTGGCTGGGGCTCAAGCCCAAAACCCTCAGAGAGCCAACAAAAGCCCGAAGAAAAGCCAACCCCCGAACAACCCCAGAGGCCAGAAGAAAATCCCACAACGCTCCCAATGCAATTACCCCGACCCCCAGCGTCAGAAAACACAAACTTGAAACTCCTATTCGGAGGAATGACCTTCTTCGCGCTCACAGTGCTCGTAACAAGACGGGCATTCAACAAAAAACGCATCGCGTGCATCCCACCATTCTACACAAGCTCGATCTACCACCAACCCCACTCAAACTCCGCAATGGATGCCTTCGAAGCTTTGAATCTGGCTACGCTAAACGTGCTGTCTTTTGGTATGATGGCTGGTGGTGCTGCTGGGTATGCGTTGAATATCAATGGGCTGGATGATATGCGGAGGTTTGTTAGGGCTGGTTTGCAGGGTGGGAGTGATACGCCTGTCAAGAGTGATGAGGAGTTGGAGGCTGAGGTTACGGAGTGGGTTAGCAAGGTTCTCGGTGATCGGTTCGAGAAGCAGCTTGAGAAGGAGAAGGCGAAGAGATTGGTGCAGTTTGAGCAGGAGAATAAGGAGAACTGAACTGAGGTTCTTTGCGTTGTTTGTTTTGTTGATACTACTCTACTCATGATCTCGATACCTTGTACATTATTATGCATTTGCTCAGCATAGCCTTTACTGTACCATAGTGGGAATATTGCTGCGAGCGTCACTGCTCCTGGAAGTCATTTGGATATCAATTCTAATCGTACATTCAGTCGGCCGGAAACCTCCCTTCTACGGCATCATCACTGATTTATCTGCTCGTAGCGCTCGCGGGCATTATTCTTGGTCTTCTCCAGGAACTCATCGTAACGGCCCCGGGTGTTTCGACCGGCTTCTTCGGTTGCGTCGCCTAGCTTTCCTCCATGGGCACCCAATCCCACACCCTGGGCGTAAACCTCGGTGGCAATTGGCGCCGTCAGACCGGTGCCTTGGGCACCAAGGCCAGAACCTTCCGACCATCCCATTTTGCTGAGTAGAGAGGCACCCTTCGAAGTCGACTGCACGGGGGCTTCATCCTCCTTTGGTGCGGCTGGGGTTGGGCGGCCAACGGTGGTGGATGGTCCGAATGCCTTACGGCGTTCCCTTGCACGGTCTCGGTATTCATTCGTAGGCTGCTGTACATCATTGGCAGGTTGCTGAATAATGCCATGCTTGATAAGCTTGCTCATGCCGCGTTCCAGACATTCTGGCTTCAGCAAATTCGCTTTGTGGAGGGGACTGAGTCGTTCATGCCGGCGGACATGGGCAAGGTCTTTGAACTGGCACAGGCACAGGTAGCAGCAGTAACGGTTGGGGTCTGCGTAGGACTGGGGTGGCGGAGCGGCTGCATCAGTTGCCGGGCCAGCCTGTTCTGGAGCAGTATCAACAGGGTTTCCGTCGTCATCCTTGGGAATCCCGTGGAGCTCGGCATGGCGGTTGCTCCAGAATTGCAGCTGGGATGGCATTGCGAGCTTTTTGGCGTTGGCGCTGGCGCTGGCCGCTGCATCCGCCTTTCTTTTCTTGGATTTCTCTGAATCTTTGATGCCCCTTTCATGTTGATGCGAAGCGGACTTGTCCCCCTTCTGCTGCTCGTTGACGGCATCATCTTCCTCTCGTGATAGTGTGAGCTCATTGACAAAGCCTTCGTCATCCCAATACATAAGCTTCAACGCTGGGTTGTTTAATGGGCTGAATGAATAGCGAGCAGTGCTGGCCGTGGGGGTCATGACTGGAATAAACACTCCGGCATGGATGTAGCTGACCATAACAGGCTTTGACGAGATGGTGAATTTTTCGAAAGATTTCAAGCGTGTCATCGCAGCTTGGGCATCCTGTATTAAAGGGTTAGAAGAGAAGGTGCGAATGGGGCGGGGGCGGACGAACCAGTATTCCTGCAAATTCGGCGAATCCATAGCGCCAGCTTTCATTGGATTTGCGATCACGTACAAGCAATACACGGCGGATGGAGCCTTCGCGTGCTCCAAGATTGCTATCACCTGTTGTGGAAGCCACCTTTGCGCCTTTCTTCTGAATGCCGGAGGAGTTGTCGTTGTTTCCAGATGGACGATACAGTTTGGCCACGCCTTTCGCAAGCAGTTCCTCCGTGACAGAGGGTTCCAGCCCGCGGAATAGAAGAAATTGAGACGGCTGACTCTCGGGTGCAGCATCATTATCACCGTTGTTAACTACCTTGGGAGCAGGAACCCCCAGGATGCCAGTTGAGGCCATCTCTGCTCGCATGTCAGTAACCAAGCGATGGGTTGAAGGGGAAGAAAGGGAAACGCACCGGGTCGCGGGGCGTTGCACTTAAAACACTTCAGGCGCGTGGCATAGTTGACGATAGCACACTGGGGGGTTTAATTTAGCGCCTTCCACGTTTAGCGCACCAGAAATCACATACCATACGACACATCCAATCACCTTCTCCCTTTGCCCGATTTCGGTCTTCCCTCTCGCGGCTGTACGCGATGCGTACTTTGGTACTGCCGTCGTTGGGACCGGCACTTGGTCCATAGAGGTAAATCCCGCGGTAGTTTCGTTCAACGAATGCTCGCGATTCGTCGATCGTGGGGAACCGCAAGAAGCCCAGCTGCTTCGACAATTCTATCGAGTGGGATACCGTGTTAGACATGATGCGATCCAACAACGGTCTACCGATTTCACTTACTCGTCTGGCGATCACGAATGACTCGAATATCCTCGAGGCCATCAACATGATAGGCAGTTTTGAGTTCAGCTGCGATCTATTCACCGAGCGGGTCACTGTCAGCACCTTGCCGATGCAGGTGGTCATCGGAGACCCGTTGTTCCAGCTCTTGGCCGCGAAATAACTCACATCATTCTCGGTCATGTCCACTGGGAAGTTTTCCAGCATCACTTCCCGACTTTCTTCACCAAAGTATCCGTGACCACGACGGGGGCTGCGACTGCGACTGTAGCTCCTGCCCTCATATCCCGGTGATCGATATCCCTCGTGATCACGGTCTCGATATCCATGCCTACCTCGACGAGGTGGCGATCGCGAGGTTCGGTGAGCGCGGTCATCTCGATCATGACTGCGGTGGCTGTCGCGGTCTCTGGAGTACTCGCGCCTGCGGTCTGCTGCCGGTCTGCGGGGAGGGGAGCCAGAATGGCCTTTATTGACCAATTCCAATCAAATTCATATTAGCCACAGTTCGATATACTTGAAAATATTCTTTCCTGCGGGGCATGTGTCTGGATTAAACACCATTACCGTGCGGGGAGGAGCTTGTACCGCCAGGTGAACGCGAACGCGAACGATCATCATACATCCGGCCATCCCGGTCGGCACGGGGAGGATTGGGCCTGCGGCCCTGGCCGGGATGATGTCTCTGATCAGAGTATGGAGGCGCCATGGCGGAGCACCATCTGGGGAATGAAGAATGAAAGAATGAAAGCTAAGAGTGATGTGGAGGCGAGATGCGCCTTGGAGGCTTCGATAAGCCGATAACGTCAAAACTTCACCGCCCGACCTTGGATCGACCCCATCTGTTTGCTACGCATCTCAAACCGGTGTACAGCGAGGACAAGGGGGAAGCCTACAGATCTATTATCCTGCTCTGCCAGTTGTTGACTATTCTTTTGAGTGTCCTTGAGCTGTGGCTGATCTTTATGAACTACATGCCATGACCTGGAAGTACACTTTCAACATCCACTGGATCTATGAGTTATTCAGACTCGGCTGTTGGTTTTGGCTTTCTGCTTCCTGTGTCTGTATACATGCTTGTGAAGGCATAACGTTACTTGTATAGATGTGCCTAGGAAAGTATCCTACACCATAGCCACTATCGGGGTGGAGAATCTCCACCGAATCCCTGAGCTTCTGATTCAACGCCTGCAGACCCCAGTTGGCCCATCAGAACATATCAATCGCCCGATTATTCCCCGCTGCCCCGCGGTCTACGTGGACCAAGCTACAGGTGTTCTCAGAACATATATGAACGTCCTCGTTAGACATCGTTTTATCTTCAAACATATCTCATATCTCCCTCTACATTTCCATTCCCATCCTCACTCGTAATTCCCACCATGGCACCTGGAAACTTCACCAACCGTGCCTGGTGGAAAGAAAGCTCAGTGTACCAAATCTGGCCCGCATCTTTCAAGGACTCAAACAACGATGGCATCGGCGACATTCCTGGTATCATTTCCAAGCTAGATTACATCAAAAATCTGGCCATAGATATCGTCTGGCTATGTCCATCCTACAAATCACCCCAGGTGGACATGGGATACGACATTTCCGACTACTACGACATCGCTGATGAATACGGCACTGTTGAAGATGTCGAGAAATTGATTCAAGGGTGTCACCAGCGGGGTATGAAACTGCTCATGGATCTGGTAGTCAACCATACCAGCGATCAGCATGAATGGTTCAAGAAATCCCGTAGTTCCAAAGACAACGAGTATCGGAACTGGTATGTCTGGAAGCCGGCCAAGTATGATGAGCAGGGGAATCGTCAGCCGCCCAATAACTGGGTGTCGCATTTCCAGGGTACGTATCAATTATTCTTGTCATAATCCTCGGAATGTACAACTGAGATGTGATGCAAACTAGGGAGCGCCTGGAAGTGGGATGAACATACCCAGGAATACTATCTCCATCTATATGCAGTTGAGCAGCCCGATCTCAATTGGGAACACCCACCAGTGCGCCAAGCAGTGCATGATATCATGCGGTTCTGGCTGGATAAGGGCTGTGACGGGTTCCGAATGGATGTGATCAACTTCATTAGCAAGGAACAGAGCTTCCCCGATGCTCCTGTCAAGGATCCACGCACACCCTGGCAGTGGGGAGACAAGTGGTATGCCAATGGCCCACGTCTGCATGAGTACCTGCAGGGTCTAGGTAAAATCCTCAAGGAGTATGATGCATTCAGTGTTGGCGAGATGCCATTCGTCACAGACGAGAAAGAAGTACTTCGGGCAGTCCAATTCGATCGCAATGAGATCAACATGATCTTCAACTTTGAACATGTCGACATCGACCACGGCAGATACGACAAGTTCGAGCCTGGGAGCTGGAAACTTACCGATCTTAAGGATTTCTTTGAACGCTGGCAGACTTTCATGTATGACAATGACGGCTGGAATGCGCTCTATTGGGAGAACCATGACCAGCCACGATCTATCGATCGCTACACCAACGCGGCGGAAGAATATCGATTAGTCGCATCGAAGATGCTGGCTACTGCCCTGGCATTGCAGGCCGGTACACCATTTGTATACCAGGGACAGGAGATTGGCACGAGAAACGTGCCGAAAGAATGGGGCATTGAAGAGTATAAAGACATTGACTGTCTAAACCATTGGAACAGGTATGTCCCTTCTGCCAGCCACCAAATGAGATGTCTCTTCTCTAACACTTCTACGGACTACCCAAATCCGACCCAAAGGCCCTAGAAATCGCACTGCAGGAATACCAAAAGAAATCTCGTGACAACGGCCGAACCCCAGTCCAATGGTCCGCCGCCGAGAACGCAGGTTTCACCGGACCCGGCGTGAAGCCCTGGATGTCCGTGAACACAGACTACCCGCGTGTCAACGCCGAAGCCCAAGTCAAAGATCCCAACTCGACATACCACTACTGGGCCACTGTGCTGAAATTGCGCAAGGAGTATCTCGATGTCTTTGTCTATGGCAACTTTACACTTTTGGATAAACCGAGCCAGGAGTTCTTTGCGTATACACGCCAGTATAACGACCAGAAGATTTTGATTCTGTGTCATTGGACTGAGAAGACGTTGGACTGGGATGCGGCTGGCAACGGGATCACTGGTGTGAAGAACGTTTTGCTTGATACGTATGAGAGTGCTGGTGCTGTTTCTCAGCGCTTCTCTGGTGGTAAATGGTCGCTTCGACCGTATGAAGCCGTTGTCTTGCTTCTTTGAAGCTGTCATCTTACCTCTTTGAGGCTGGGCGGTTGATAGATAGTTCACCAATTTGATTGAGCGGACATTTCGGACATTTCCATTTCATGTAATCAATTGGAAGCAATTGAAACAAGATAATCAGCAGAGTTGCAAATATAGGTAGCAAGTATAGAATCCACCCCAATAGCTCTCGGCATTCTCCGCACACCGGGCCCCTCTTATCCATCCCCGCAGCGATAACGACTCACCGTCACTCTCTCTCTCTCTCCAACAAACATACACTCTCTGTCTTTCTCTCAATGCCAATGACAACAAAATGACAACCCAAGAACCTACACCCCTCCCAGCACACCTGGACCCAAACACCTACCCAAGAACCTACACGGACACCACAAAAAACATCCACCTAACCCTAACCTACGCGCCCCTAGACGCAACAACCCAACTATCCCAAACCTCGTCCCCAGCAGCCGGCGCAAACATTCTCTTCCTTGGAACAACACGCGACACCTTCGAAGGCCGCTCCGTTAGCCAACTCAGCTACACAGCCTACCCACCGCTAACGCTCAAGACACTAGCAGGGATTGCGGAGGCGGCCGTTGAAACGCATAAGCTGGTGGGCGTGAGTATTGCGCATCGGCTAGGGACTGTTCCTATTGGCGAGTCTTCTATTGCTATTGCTGTTAGTTCGGGACATCGGGGTGCGGCGTGGAGGGCTGGCGAGGAGGTTCTTGAGGCTTGCAAGGAGAAGGCGGAGATTTGGAAGAGGGAGGAGTTTGTTGATGGGGGGATGGAGTGGAGGGCTAATGCTGAGAGAGATGGGGAGGGGAGGCTTTTGAAGGGGGAGGGGATTTAGGGTTTGGTTGGTTTTGGTCCTCGGTGGCTATGATGGGTGTGATGTGCTGATGTGATGTCCTTGGGTTACAGATTGTGCATGTATTAAGACGACCACTTTCGGGACGTATTCGGTGTTATAACGGACCTCTCCGTCCGTGGCCAACAAAAAGGAAATCAATTGCAGCTTCGGGAGTAGGGTATTCAGATATTCGAATGGCTATATTGTACATAGATACACGATACACTTTGCAAAAGCGCTTACTCAGTCTTGAGCGGCTTGCCCTCGCGCTTCCAATCATTGATATGGTCAAGGATTACCTTGGAGGCAGACTCGGGGGTATCCTGGCGACCAATACACTCGACGAAGTCATTGTCGGGGTCTGTGTATTTGTTAGCATATCGAAGCTTTACCAAAAAGCCACCTCATTGACTCACCCATCAGGTAGAAGTAGATACTGTGATCCACCAAGTAATCCTCGCCAGGCTTGACATCCTTGGGCGTGCTGAAGTACACACGGTACTGCTTGCACACGTTCTTGACCTGCTCGTAGGTACCGGTCAAGCCGATGATGCCCGGGTGGAACTCCTTCAGGTACTCGCGCAGCACCTCAGGTGTATCACGGACAGGGTCGCAAGTAATAAAGACAGGCATGAAGAGTTTGTCATCCTTGGTAGAAGCCTTAACCTTCTCGATGATCTCGGCCATCTTGTCCAGCTCATCGGGGCAAATATCGGGGCAGTGAGTGAAGCCGAAGTAGACCTAACAAAAAAATGCGGTGTAAGCAAACACATATACCAAGCCGGTGATGATCCGTATCCATCGATGGAATTGACTCACGAAGCTGTATTTTCCCTTCAAATCCTCTTCCGTAAACTCCTTCCCATCAAGATCCTTCAACACAAACGGACCGCCAACCTTCGGCCGCCCAACACCCTTGCTCATCTCTGCCATCCGCTTCCGCTCCAGACGAGCCTTCTCAACCCGGAAGTAAAGCATCATACCAGCACCGGTAAGGACGAAGAGTAGCGCAGCCTTCCACGAGAACGGACCGGTGTTATGACGCTGACGCATCTGGCCCATTGTCTTGCCCTTAGCTCGAAACGCAGATGTGGAGAACTTGTTCTGGGCAGAGAACATGCTGCGCATGCTCTGTTGGCATCGTGGTCGCTGTTGGGTGTAGGCGCGGCATTGGGGTGCGTTGTTTCGGAGGAGAGGGAGGATGCGTGGTGAGGGGGCAGCTTCAATGGCAATATTTCGGGTTGCCCGGCTGAAAAGCCCTGCCAATCTCATTGTGGAGGGCATTCTGTTTGTTCGGGGTGTGGTTGGTAAGAGGGTCGGTGGTCCGCGGGCTGGTGGAATTCGAGAATCTCCAGATCGACACCTGATTGGGACTAGCGTTGCTGCCTCAGGCAGCAGACCCACCTTAAATTATATCCGTCGCGATGTTTACATCTGGTCATGTGTAGCGTGTGTAGCAGATATTTATGTCCTGTAAATAGTAATTTGATCATGGACAGATTCGAACCCTGACGTGAAGCGGAAATAAAGTGGTGTTATCCATGTAAACTAGAGTTAGTACCCCAACCCGAGGTCCCTGTGGCGTAGTCAGGGAGAGAACCCCATCTCCTTGACGCTGTCATTCGTGTGCCCCCCGAATTCCCCTTATTTCTCGTCATCTCCCTCCTGGGGGGCACCAAGGGCCGTGGCAGGGGTGAAGTCATGGTCCGAAGGGATCTAGAGGGGTGGGGTAAGTAGTGAAAGACTTACTGCAACCATCCCTAGAGGTCAATTTTTTTAGGCGTCTGCTCCATGATTGTCTTTTTTTCCTGTCTTTAAACCAAGTCATGCTCTAGTCTTGCTTGTCTCGGGTGCATGTCTTTTGCTCGACCTCTGCTGTTGTCGTGGTTCAGGTCTACACACTGGGACTTGAGGCTCTCTTTCCTGTACACGGCCCTTCCCTTGGGCTACATCTCTCAATACATATTAATTTACCAGTAAAAGCTGGGTATAATAATTTGCAATACTTATGCAGTTACCAAAGGCATCCAATAAACATTGCAAACCCAACAACCCAATCGACCACCGTCCCTCCCGACAAGAAAATAATCAACGCAGTTATTCAAATCTCAGCAGCTTCCTCAAGCCATTTCTGTGCCATCTCATCAAAGTCAGGACTATACAACCACTCCAAATCAAACGGCCTATTCTCATTCTCCGACGGACCCAACCCAGGATCCCTAGGCATACGACGAGCATCAATCTGAGCATTAAGCTCCAAAATCCGATCAACCCGCTCCTGACGACCGCACTGCCATACCTTCAATCCACGCTCAAGTTCCTGGGTCTTACACCGCGCCAAGATAACAGCGAAGGTATAAACGTCCTCAAAGGCCTGATTAATACCCTGGCCAGCAGTAGGCGGGATAGCATGCGCAGCATCACCGAGAATAACAACACGAGAGTGCTTTGAAGTCCAAGTATCCAATTTGGGAACCACATAAAACGGCCACAGATTGATCCTATCGAGCGGGATGTTTGAGACAGCATCCTGCACAACTTGCGGGAAATCCTCCGCGCCTTGTCGGAGGAAGTCGACACACCACTGCTTATCATTAAGCAAGGCATTCCAGCCCTCACGATCAAGTTCAGGTGCGCGTTTCGGTTTTCCAATGAAAGCTTCAGAGCCATCGCGGAGTTGAAGTGCAATAACGAAAGCCCCATGTTTGGGATTCATGATCGTGACCGGGAGATCGAATCCCTCGGGGAGGTTCAACTGTGCAGTCGGCACAGCCGCATTCACACCGACAGCATTAGTGAACATCGGCTCAAGGTCTGGGTAGAGATATTTCCGGACTCGGGAATGGATACCATCCGCGCCAACGAGACAAGCCGCAGTGGCAGTGGTGCCGTCTTCGAATTCCCAAGATACATCTGTCTCAGTCTCTGTGAGGATATGGATGAATTTCTTTCCGTAGTGGATTTCGATTCCGAGGTCCTTCGTTGCGGCGAGGAGGGCGTCGATCAGTTCGTGGCGGTAGATGCGGAGTGCGTCGTAGCCGTATTTCTCTTGGCTTCCGAATTCGTAGGAGTCTAGTGGGACTGTGGTGCGGAAGCGGAGGTCTTTGAAGTTGAAACCGCGGGTTTTAATGCCTTTGTATATTCCTACTGCGTCTAGGATTCGGAGGGCGTTTGGTGAGAGCATTAGTGCGCCACCGATGTCTAGGGACGCGGATCGGGATTCGTAGATTGTACATGGGATGTTTTGTTTGTGGAGGGATAGTGCTAAGGTGAGGCCTGAGAGGCCAGCACCTATTATAGCGACATGGTTTGAGGTCATTTTATCAGATAAATGATTGCAAGAGCTATGTTGATGATTGTTTTGCTTCCGTAGCTTGGCCGATGTCTCCCTCTATCATGGATCTGGGGTGCTTCTGGTCTTTATGTATTCCTCTTTTCCGTGCATGTCCTTGATGCTCTCGTAAGCTGATATGAAAGTGGGAAGCCTTAGCTTGGCAAGTATATGGATCCGGTTCTTCGGATCCGACGGAGATAACATCGCCCGTCCAGTGCAATACATCTATATCGCTCCAACATGCTCCATCAAAAAGCGTCGTGAGCACTAAAATAGAAAGCGAATGGTTTTGACTGCCAGAATTATTCGGTAAATATGTTATTTTATTTTATTCTACTTTTAACATACGAAAGGTTTTATGTATTTTGGTTGTCCAAATCCACTCAATCTTGTAGAAGCCTGTGAAGTAACTGAATCTACTCGAAATATATATCGTGAGCTTGTCTCCGCAAGTCATAAACAACAGAACCAGGAATTCAAAGACTTCCTTTTGCATCATCAAGAAAATTCATGTATTTAACTGCGTCAAAAAAAATTACAAATATTACATCAGACATTCCCGCATTCAACCCAAACGAGCCACCCAATCCAATATTTAAACAGCCTCAGGGAAAGGGTGAGGGTTCTTAAGAACACTAGGCGCCGAAGAACTAGCCTTAGGACCAATAAGATGATCAAAGGCAGGCGAGTGCTTCACGCGAGGGCTCATATCCTCCAAATCCCACAAGTAACCAAGAGTCTTCAGGACAGAGGTAGCACTGTACGAAGAGGACTCTCCAGTAACGGGATCGGTACCATAGTTCTCAACATAACCGCGGGGAGCATAGGGGGAGACCAGCCAAGTGGGCATACGGCCACCGAGACGATCGAAGTTGAGAGTGTAGGGCTTGCCGTCCTTGGCGGTCTCAGTGTAGGTCTTGTCGTCAGGGCGGACCGCAAGAGGGGGAGCGACGTGGTCGAAGAAACCACCTGTCTCGTCGAAGGTGATGAGGAGGAGGGTCTTGTCCCACTGGGGACCGGTGCGGATGGCATCGTAGACCTGCTTTAGGAGAACTTGGCCGAAGGAGACGTTGCCGGAGGGGTGCATGGAGTTGGTGTTGAGACCGCAGCATGAGGGGTTGATGTAGGATAGCTGGGGCAGGAGGCCAAGGTAGGCATCTTGGTAGAAGTTCTCGAGGGGCACGACGTTGCTCTGGGCGTTCTTTGCGGTCCAGTTGAAGAACATGGAGTCGGGCAGGAATGCGCCGTTGGTGCCGTCGTAGTTGCGCCACGAGATACCCTTCTCAGAGGCAACTTGGAAGATGCTGCTGGTGTCGATACCAGACACATCAAAGCTCTCATCGTTCTTGCCGTGGCCGTCAGGAGTACCTGCGACGGCACAGAGACGGTTGGGGTTGGTAGGCTGGTTGACTGTCAGATTTTCGTCTAGATTGCCAGCCAGGGAAAGTACTTACACCCGGGACACAGGAGTGCCAGTAGTTGAAAGTCGTGAATTCATCAACCAAGTCAACGAGAGTGGGGATCTCATCCTCGGAGTAGTATCCCATAACCTCATCGGTGGCCCGCTGGGCAGAGATACTGGGATAGGCCGATATCTGGCGGTTGACAAAGCCCTTCAGGTTGGCAGTCAAAGAGCCATTGGCAATAGCCTCGTTATCGGGGTGGTAAGTACCATACAACTCGAAGTTGACACCAGTAACCGAGTGGTCAGGATCATGAATCACAGAGTCGTAGTCCTTGTACTGGCTGTACCACTTCTTGCTGTTGGTCTCATTGACATTCTCGGGGTTCCAGAAAGGACCATTGTTGACAACATTGTCGAGGCCATCCTTCTTCACACCACCCAGGATGTTGTCGAATCCGCGGTTTTCCAGCAAGATCCAGACAACATTCTCAATCTTGTCCTTCATGTTGGCAATGGACTCCTTTGAACCGGACTTGTACCCAAAGGGCTCCTGGGGGCCCTTGGACACGGCAGCGCCGAGGGCACTACCGGAAAGACCGAGCAGAGAGATAATGGCGTTGGTCTTCATCGTGCCAAGAATTGAAATGGACAATAATGCTTGACTGAGGTGCGTGCGATGATCACATTCCTGGATGGGACAAAGCTTTTATATCCCTACCTTGACACAACGTGCATGGAAAAAAAAGGCTTACCACCTTGGGGGAGTACATCCTCTCCCCTCCTTTACGGCAAATGAGAAACGAGCATTCAGACCACATGTTCCCGCGGTCAGCTTTCACGGGTTGATATTAAATTGCCCAAGGCCGGACGAGTGCCTAGCGCGAAGACCGGCAAAATATGGCATAGCCTTGTGGAGTGATCGGATTATGCCGTTGCTTCCTGATATGCAGACGTTCTTGTCAATTGCTAAGCAAAGATTGGCAAGGAGAGGAACGTGCCTGCCGAAGTATAAGAGTGAGTGGGTCCAGAAGAGCTTAGCCCCGCAGGTACACCAATCATAGTTGCTTACTGGGGCTCTAATTTCTGCCAAGTCACCAATCACGACCGATCCTTGGCGCATGCCTTGCACTAAGAAATGCTTCGATATGCAGGGAAGCCCGGAACAAATACCGATGCATATCATCGCCTAAATGGGAGACAAGCTCTGACACGTGCAGGAAGAATAGGCAATAGAATTACAACGCTCATCTCTATTAACAGTAGTGGAGAGGTCCGAGTTTCAAAAAACATCTAACATCCAAGCCCCCGGGCAGAGAAGTAACCGTTTAGCCTTGACACAATAGAAGGGCCCTCGAAAATCCCTGCAATGTAATGATCAGGTCGCAACAAATAAACACCATCCTTTGTCAGTCCGGACTTAGCATACTGCTCATCCCATTGGAAACTGAATGTTTTAATATTCATCCGCTGGGCCCATGCGTCAACAAGAGGCCGGGTCTCTCCGTACACATGAATTTGCCAGCCAATATCCCGCAGCATGGAGAAGTTATCCCCCTGGTCCATTCTAACCCACGGAAGGCGATCGCCAGGCTGCACAACCCCGGCTGCACCTTTTTGACTCAGACTGCTACCCCGATAATTGCAAATGAGCTGCGATCCTCCTCGGAAGATCTGAGTCTGGGCATGTTCAAATTTCACAGCCAACGGGACAAGATAGGGAATCAACCAGTTCCGAAGAATGTGCGGGAATATCCCCTTCGATGTCAACGTGGTGAAACCCGCGTCGGTGGATGTAACAATCTTCAAAGCAAAGGCGCGACGTTCGGACTCGTAGGATTCCAAGAGCTGATGTTTGGCTTCGTCTTCCATGTCCATTTTCAAGACAGTTGCAAGCTTCCATGCCAGATTGATCGCATCCATAATACCAGTATTCATTCCCTGCCCACCAACCGGACTGTGGATGTGAGCGGCATCACCAACAAGGAAGGCCCGATTACTCCGGAATTTATCAGCGACGCGGTGATGGCTGCGGTAAGTAGAGAACCAGTTAACCTTATCGATCTCCATATCCATAGCCTCCTTGATCTGAGGCCGAACATCATCAAAGGTAATTTTGTGCTCTTCTTCGGTTGATTCATTATGGTGGGTGTCATTGTTATCCGGGATCGTAATTCCAACAAGTCGAACATGCCCTTCTTTGTTGTATGGCACAATCAAATTGAAAGTGTCATTCGAAATCATCAAATTCCCTTCTCCATTGGCGACTTCGTCCCTGGTTTCGATATCGGCGATATAGAAAAGTGGTTTATACGTTTCACCTTCATACTTCGCACCAATAGCGTGACGAACAGCCGAATGTGCCCCATCACAGCCAACAATAAACGACGCATCACAAGTCTCTGAGATCCCATCAACCTCCCGGAAAAGAGTCGCCGAAATGCTCGACCCATGATCCACAAACCCCTGCAATTTCATCCGTCGCTCAACATGGATCCCGAGATCATTGAGTCGTTTCTCTAGCATGCGCTCATGTTCATCTTGTGGAACTGTCAACATGAACGGGTATGGAGTCAACTCGACGCCGAATTCACCAAGCGGGATGCGTGCTTTGTGTTGTTTGTGGACCCAGAGGTTTGTCGCCGGGAGTTTGTACCCGATTTCTAATAGGTCGTCGGCTAGGTCGAGTTGGCGGTACATCTCTATGATGCGGGCGTGGACGACGAGTGCTCGTGAGTTCTTTGCGGGGCTTTCTGCTTGGTCGATGATGCGGATTTTGATTCCTTGTTTGTGGAGCCAGAGGGCGAGGACGAGGCCTGTTGGGCCTGCGCCGGTGATTAGGACTTCTGTTTGGGGTTTCATCTTTGGATGGTGCGCTTTGTCGGGGGTGTTATGATGTATGTTGGGGGTAATAGGAATGGTCTTCTAGATCGCGGTCTGAAAACTATTAGACTTTGATAGATGATTGAATTGGAGATTTTGGATTAGTATAAATGGCAGACTGAGAGCTCTTTAAATAACATTTCCAAGACTCCATCATCACCTGTTCTATGAGCAACAAAAAAGCAAGAAGTGCCTCAGTTGGCACTCGGCCTTTTAGTCGCCGACCCCGAGCATTATCAGCCCCCACGCGATCGGGCGTCACCACCCGATCGCGATGTTCCAAGGTTGGCAGTATACCGGATTCTGGCAGAAATTTGGGTACCTGAATAAGACTAGAGAAATTGTAATTTGTATTGTTCGAACTTGAAGGTGTAGGATTGAATATTGGAGAATGGTTCTGAAGACGACCGCGTTCAGGTCAACCCTCGTACCACGATAGAGAAAATCTCCGACGATCTGATCTAATATGCAAATCCTGGCAATTATATTGCATCATCTGTCAGACTGGCAGGGAATTGATTGAGTAGAGTATCCCATTCATTCCAATCAATCGGGCTGTCGCCAAGCAAGTACTCGAAACCGTCAGCCTCCGGGTCAAACCGTGCCGTCCTAAAGTCGTGTTCGGGTTGGTCTTGTGACGGCCCATTCTCCACAGTCACGATATCCCCTACAGGTTGTGACTCATGAGTGCCTTTCGCGTTGGCTAGCAATGTGGCAACGATTGTTGGACAAGGCGTTGGAGTGCGATGATGTTGGTTACACTCTTCAACGTATGCCCGCCAAGCCCTTACAATCAAATGTTGGATCGCCCTATGAAGAGGTGTTTGGATGCCCTTGCTCTCGCGAAGATTGCGAGAGTATACGTTTCCTATCAAGTGCCAGACTTTGCTTTTCTCTTCTGGGTCGCGTCGATGTCGCATGTCGGAGAGTATCAGGATAATAGCATCCCATGGCACGTGGTTCACCATGTGCCAGGAGTACTTTTGTACAGCAGAGCAGGTTTGAGCGTAGTCGGCATGTTCTGTCATCTTCAGAGCGTGCTCAAATATGATGTCTTTCTCTGATTGGGGGATGCAAGAGGGATCGGAGTATTGACGAGGATGATGTGCCATTAGTCGGGTGTAGTGTATAGCCGAACTTGCCATCATGGAAGTTGCGATATGGAGAGGAATGGATTTATCACAATGGCGGAAAAAGTTATTCTCCATGTGTGCTTCGAGTTCATCAATTGCTTTGTCCTTCTCACTGAGGGTCATTGACGACGAAGTGAGGAAAGCCCATGGACCAGTATTTGATCCTTCAGCTTCTTTTGACCAACGATGAAGCCATTTTCCGAATGCACTTCGAGCGAGGCAGAATATCATTTCTGTAGGTCCTTCCTTTTCATAGGCTGGCTCTGTCATGCGTGGATCAAGATCGCTATCGTTTGCGTTCATTGGCGGTTGAACATCGATTGCTCCTGGTAGGGGCGTTGAAGCTACACCACAGAATTGTGCAGATGTAGCGTCTATGATCATGAGCTGGAACCAGATGCGGCGACGTATCTCAGTGTCGAATACTGAAATGCCGTGACTAGATCCATCGCGATGGATGCCGATGCGCTGTGCAATCCGCGTTGCGATACCGCATAGAGTCCAGATGGTATGCGGGTCAGAAAACGAACGCATGCATAGCTATCAAGAGGTTAAGGGAAGTTTCAATAATGAAAGAAAGGGTGACATACTAGATACAGCATAAAAGCTTGAAGAACCATCGAGCTCGAAGTTCGAAGGAGCGATGCGTTTTTGAAGGCGAGTTGAGCTCCTCGCCTGCACTTTGATAGGAGAGACTTTTTGCTTTCTCCAAATGATTTTTCAACATCCGCTGCTTGCAAAGAAACCAATGCGATGCAGTAAATGGAGAACATCAGTGCCTCGAGCTCCCTGCTTATTTTGGGGAGATCACTCATTGCCTCCAGAATCTGTTGCTGCACAGTTGGGGCATGTATGATCTTAGTGAGAGGGTTCACATTTTCGAGAAATGCCTGCCACAGCTTGAAGATGTGCAAGGGATTCGGATGCAATCCTGTAAGGCTTTCCCTGGTCGCCGAGGTCGACAGTAATACGACCTCGTCGCCAGCATCCTGATCAAAGTCATCGGCGGCGCTATCCGATACATCACCCAATACGTCTGCTGCATCTGGGAGCTAGAAGAATGGTCAGAATTGATATCAGTAGAAGCCCTAGGAGTCCATTTACCTCATTACTAACACTTGTCCAGAGATTACTACACGTATATCATAGGTTAGATGAGCGTCGAACCCAATGAGAATACCAACTCACGTGTCGAGATAGACAGAATTGCCATCTTTCATGATCATCCTCCCAGATCCACTTTTCTTTGTGGAAGCCTGGCCCATTCTCCCTCGGTTCGGAGTGACAGAGCCACTGCCGTCGGGATCATCGCGTCTAAGAGATTTCCCGCGTCCCTGAGACACGCTCCCAGTCTCCCTCTTGCGACGACGAGGAGGGGGTGGAGCCCGGTAGATGCATTCCACATCCGCTTTTGAGCAATTTGAACATGGGTCTTGCCGGTCACATTTGACCTTTCGGTTGTGGCAGACCACGCATGAATTCGATGTGGGCTGTTTTGATGACGAATCTGCACTCTGATTCAAGGGGTCGGGGCCAGCCATCACTTCAGGGCCCTTGAAGCAATACCGCTAAGACATGAAACATTGAAAATATTTGATGGATGAATCACTCTTACTCCCGATTCTTGATGGAATGTAATGCCGTGGTAGCCGTACAGCCCTGGACGACTCCAAGATCCTTCGACGCGGAACCTTCCGCCTCGAGACAAGTTGCTGCCTCGAATATTAGGCTTCTAATCCACCATATTACCCACCGTAGACATCATCCCAATTTCGCTTGTTTCAAATTTGATTTATCTGCTCGTTATTCTTCAGGGTTTCTACTTGGCGAGATCTGTAACTATATTTAAGTTCTTGTGTCTGGGCATCACTCTACTTGATCTCATGACTACGCCTCCATACCTGGGCATTGAGAATACGAGCACCCAAACTGGTTTTTCCCCACACATTGTGCCATCTTTTATATAAGATATTAAAGATAGCCCAAGAAATATTTCAGGTGATTCTTTGGGTGCGTTAGCCATGCCACATTTTCTCGATCGAGTTCGAACAGTCCTCCGGAGAAGCAAACGGAGCTCGATCTCCGTGGGACCAAAGGAGTCAATATGGGAAAGACTTCCATCTGACGTCTTTGTCGCGATCGCAGCCACCTGCAATCTAAAGGACATTGGCTCCTTGTCACTTACCTGTCGTTTACTGCACGATCGGGTTGCCAAGTTGGAATTTGCTATAGCTTGGGCATACATTCAACTTCGCAAGCAAAAGGGCCATCACGATCAGTACATCTATGGAGGTTTGTCACCTGGAGATGACATTCACTTTATCTCTGAGCTGTTCCCTCCACCACCGCCAGAATACAGCACTGGTATGGATCATGATAACGCGGGATATTCTCTTGGCTATCTTGGTGATTTGCATCGTTGTTGGAAAACGTGTCTTCGACTGTCTTACCATTTGGCCGACCACGTGGTCGAGCATCATCTAGAGACTGATCCATTAGCTCAGCCTTTGTGGTCCTCGTCCAAGACAGAGAAGGAAGTTGTCTACAGCAAAGCTGTGGCATCGCTCCAAGCCAAGCTTTTGCATCCGATGTATGGACCCACTGTACGATCCTTGGCATACTAGCACTGATTCAAAATGTTTCTTTAGAGCATACGCTATATTCTTCCTTGAGTCCTCTGCCTCGTCTTCTGATGATCCTGATCATCACCACCATCATCCTCACAGCCTGGCCTCATCGGTTCGGAGGCAACGGTCAATTCTCCAAAAGGCGCCTTTCACAGATACTCAGATATTCCTGTCGACTCATCACTGCATGCAACTCCTATTTTTGACTATGCAGCGCTTGATGAGTCCGGAAATTCCTCATTCAACATCAGAAAGCTGGGTCAGTTTACTTCTGACTACATCCACCATGGAGAGGATCGTCCAGTTCTTTGTATCAATATCGAAAGACGACCAAAGAAAACAAAAAGGTCCGCATGATTCCGCATGGTCACATAGGAAGGAGTTTCTGCTGTCGATGCGGCGAGATCTGAACGAGTATATGGCATCTGAGAGCCATCATGGTGAGCGAACGCTCGAGCCAAAGTTGAACCATATCTGGTTCCATGCAGCGCAAAATGAGATGGATCAACGAGGGGCCATTCCTCATACTGTTGAAGAAACGGAAGTGCATGTTCTGCATGGTTCTGTTGTGAAATTGGAATGTACTTACTGTTATGATGCTTATGATGAGGAATAACTGAATACCATCTATGAGATTAAGGTAACGGATTCCAAAGTATATCAATTCAATTACATCAATAATTGCTTAAATTTTAAATAAATACAAAGAGTTTGAAGATCCCGATCGAAGTGCTTGCTATGGCCGTTCGTTCATTAACCTGCTTATGGACCCTGGATCTCACATCGTCAACCATCCACAACACTTTGTTGTCATCATTCTGGTATCTTGTTTTTCTCTTTTGATCGAGTATATAACTGATAACTATATGTGAAGCAGTAAATATTAAAATGCCATACTGATATAGGCGTCTAAACGCGCTAACCGCTTCTGTTCGGTCCCCGGCATTTCGGCATCCGAATAGACGACATCCGAAAGATAAGTGCCTGTGAATCTCAACTTGCCACCTTTGCGCGAGTAGTTAGTTGACATTGCCAAATCCGAAAATCCGAGGCGTAAACCTAACATGTCTGCAGTTAGTCCCTTACACCCCTTTGGGCGTTGAAATGGCGAGAGCTATACTGGGACACCTGGCTAACCATTAACTAGTGCGATCTATGTCATACCCGAAAGGTAACAGACTCGGACAATGTGATATAACATACGCTCACCTAGAACACACGTCAAGGTCAAATGCGATCGCCTAGATCCTTGCATGAACTGCGTCGACGCAGGCGCAGAATGTCTCCGTCAACGCCAGGCACGAGTTCATAGACCACGAGTCTCTCGGTATGTTGACTGTCTTGTTTGTCCACAGAGTAGACTGCTGACACAAATCAGGATCGAGGCATTGTCTGAGAGACTAGCAAAGCTCGAAGAGTCAAGTGGTAAAGACCTACCAAACTTCCCAGCAAGCAACCATGCTGCTAGCAGCGCATCTTCATCACCTCGAACCAATCCTATGGGTGTCACCGAGGTTACTTCCAACAGAACTTCAGAGCCAGCAAACGGTAGAAAGAAGCGATATGTACCATATGATTCGCAAGAGATAGCTCAATTCGCGCCACCAGCAAACAAACGCCGCAAATCACAAAGTGTGTTACAGCAAAAGACTCACCATGAGACACATTCTCCTGGGTCAACACACCATGCCAGCGAAGCTAGAGAGTATATTGAGCATGAGCTACAATGTAATCCAGCTCTATCAAAAGACCGGCGCACCGCACTCGAATCAGCGCAGAAATTCGTCGGCCAGCTGTCAAACCCGACACTGCATTGGGAAGAGACAGGGGCTATGGATGATATGACCATTGAAGAAAATATAGAAGAGCCAGTTCTCACCCCGGAGTTGCTCTACATGATGCTACCAGGTCAGCCTACAGTAGGATACGAACGAGCAGTACTGACATTCCTATAGGGCCTGACAAGAAGACGACCTCCCAGGGAACAGTTTCCTGGCCTGATCACATCTCCGATAAAACCCTGGAGCGTATGGGACTTGCTATCATTGAAGGAAATGAATGCGAGCAAGTACTCCAACATTATCGAATCAATGTCTGGATCAAGGCCATGGGTGTAATATCGAAATTGGCCCCTTTGATCGCGAGTGAGGCTTTGAAAGTTCATTTTCGAAAATTGAAGAAGCGGTATGAAGCAGCTGCACTGGAAATGCTGAATCAAATTCCCCTGGCAGCTGCGCCTAGTCTTCTCTTGCTTCAGTCGTTGATGTCTGCAGTATGTTCCCTACCTTCCCTTACTCCTACTGACATTGAGCTAACTATCACAGACACGCTTGATGCAGTATCTGGGAGACATGTCACGCTGCTGGATGTTCACGGCATTGGCTTCACGGGTCATTGTCTCTCTCAACTACCACAACATCACTGATCCTAATCCTCGAAGCGACATTGAAGAAAGTGTTCATGCTTGTGTGTACACATGCTACTATTTCGACAAAACTCTCAGCTTGCTGCTACTCCGGCCGCCAACATTGCCAGATCTCAAAGTTAAGGCAACGGAGCTGATCCATATTGATCCGGATCTACCGACATTCGCTATGATCACGGGAATAGTTGAATATGCAGAGTTGAAAAACGCTTTACTGGGTGTACTTCTTGATACCAAGGCGATAGAGGACAGCGAAAAGGCCAATATACTCTCTGACCTGGTAGCCCGCGCACATACAATTCACTCTAATATGCAAATGGTAAGTCACCAAAACCTTCTTTGGAGCAACAACTAAAGGCTGCTTTCAGTTTCGCCGTCTCCAAGAAGAAGAATTCTCACAATCATGGGGTAACCTGCGTCGTGAATGGCTATCAATGGACTTCAATTACTATTCAGTGTTGACAACAATCATCCAAGCACGCTCCTCAGTGTTGAAATCCCGCCTGGTGTGCGAGAACTGTTTATATACAGCCCGAGAATCTCTGACTACCCTCAGAGCGCTACAGGAAGCCTTTTCGAGCCAGGTTAACACTATTGACTCTTATCCATATTTTCTTACCTGGTGCGTACATTATAACGAAAATTCACACAGCCCTAGAACCTAATGCGCCTTTACAGGACAATGTTACTATTCCCTCTAGCGCCCTTCTTCGTCCTATTCTGCAATGTGATCGCAACATCAAACGAGAAAGACTTTACAATGATCAAGACTATTACCGATGACCTACACCAATTCGCCGAGGCGAATGCTTCCATTGGGAAGTTATACAAGCTCTTCGCCAAGTTCCTTGATTTGTGTGCGCCGCTTATCAAAAGAAATCTTGAACGAGCTCGCTCCGGGCAGCCAGCTGTTGCGGAGAATGTAGCTGGCATGTCCGAGGAACACCAGTTCGAGACTCAAGATGATGCATTTGGCCGCGCTGCTGCTGAGGCTATGGTCGATCTTCAGTCTGCCAATGTCACTGGGGTGCCACCTAATGCTCCGAGGTCCGAAGGGTGGGATGATAGTCTTGTTTGGGAGTTGTTTAATAACCAGCCCTCGTTGGGATGGGCGGAGTCTGAGCTGTGGGACGTGATGGCGCAGTTTGATGGATAATGTAAGATAATGTAGCGAGAGATTTTTGGAAATTATTATTACGACAAAATAGAGCGGATTCAGAGAAGTAGTTCATGGCATTTATCTCATGGATGGATTGAATTTGATTAGTACATGAGGTATATTTACTCGTGTAACCCTTTGGGACACAGTCCCAAGTAGAGGAAAAATGAAAAAAAAAGAGGCAATGAGTGTGATGGTCTAGACATTCCAGAGTCTAGCCAGAGAGAAATGGCAATGCTCAGCGAGTGCGGACATGCAAAAGGCCCGTGATCTGTCGAAAACTCACGGGCCAAGTATTATAATACAATATGAAGAAGGGGGTCGGTCTCATGTCTATCATGAAATCAGGACCCAGAGGAGGAAGAAAATCTAGAGTTGCAGTCAGTAAATATCCAGGGAAATGCGAAGATGAAATATGGTTGAACGTACCATCAGAATACCAAACATCTTAGCAATGAGCCAGCGATTGCCGGAAACACGCGTCCAATACTTCATTAGTTCACGCTGGGCGCCTTGGACGTTATCCACGACGTCTTCAGTGTTGGCATCGATACGCTGTATCATTTCTGATTGTTCGCTGACCATCTGCGCCAATTGGCCGAAGATTCCACCCAGTTCACTAATGGTTCGCTCGATAGCCTCGATAGCTTCGCCTCGTGCTTGGACATATGTGTTGCTTGATTCTCCCTCTTCCATGATCATCAACTGTTGATCGGATTGGAATGATGGGCGTCCTAGAGGGGAGGGGTTTTGCGGCTCCAGGGTCAAAATATCCGAAGGGTTGCCCTGATATCCCGGTTGGGGTGTTCGTCGCCCCGATGTATTGTACAGAGGAGAATCCGAGCGCTGCGCATCTAGAGCAGTTTGTGATTTGGACGATACCGAGGACACAAAGTTCTCGGTTCGTGTTCGGGATGCTTGGATGTTCTTTGTGCGGACCTCGAGTACCTCCTTGAAGCTGGCGCCTACATCGGCCAGCTTTCCCTGTAGCATGACGACGACCTGGAACAATTGTCAGCAACCGCCTGTACGCGTCTTTGGCCTCACTTACGTTGTCGTTGTGCTCCCCTTCCTGATCCGTCTTCGAGCGGTTGGACTTGGGATGTTGCGCGTGGGTGAGTGCCTGAAGCGAGGCAATATTTTGGTTCAGGGCAGCCAGGTCTTGCTTAATCACATAGGTCAATTCGGAGATCTCGACTGGGCGGTCGTCGAAGAGCGTTTTCCGTTTCGCCACTAAACCCCACCATTAGCATTTCACTGCGAAATAATGTCGGGACGATACTCACATTCAGCCAGTCGCTGCAGCTTTGCCATTGTTCCCGTGATGCCTCTGCCGATATCTCGGGCTCTCCGTGCGAACTCCGACCTCGCTACCTTGGCATCCTGTGCGCCAGGGGGTGAGGGATCGGCCTGTCGCCTTTGCGCGTCTGTTAGCAAGGCCTGGCGCTGTGAGCCGACTTTCGAGGTGCCCATGCGCTTCTGGGCCTGGCCCAGGATGGCGCTGAACTCGCTGGTGCGATCTTGTATCGATGGACCGGCCATTTTGCGAGGCGGAAGCAATGTGTGAAAGATTGGGTTGGAAGAGAAGCTAACTGTCGTACTCAAGTAGTAGCTGCTACCAAGTACAAAAACCGATTAATGCGTGTTTCAAAGGAGGGGCCGGATTCGGTCTTGAAGGTGAAGTTGAACTGATCTATCTGCAGTCGATAAGGGGCGAATCTTGGAAGACAAAGACGTGTTCAGTTTCAAGTAGCTCTAAAGTGAGCTGAAGGAGAGACAAGAAAGCAAAGGGCAAATGGTCTCCAAGGCAAATGAGATGAAGACTGAATCTATGTGAATTGCCCCGTTCTTCCACGTACCCAAATCGGAAACGTCAACGTCACGTGCCACCGCACCGCCACAGCTCCAAAGATCTTGAACGCATCTGGTGTTCAGGGGACTACATAGCTTCTCTTTAATTTATACTTGTTGGTCTTGTCCCTATAGTTGCGCTGTTACCCCTGTTCTCTCGTTTTTGTGCATACACGTCATCTCCGTACAATCTTGTTTCAAGTCCAACCCTCCACCTAACGCTGATCGTCGCCGCCTTACCCAACGCCAGCCAGATCGCCACCTTTGTCCTCCTTTACACTCGCTGGTGTTGTCGGACAGACCTCAGGTATTCGAACATAGTCCTGTTCCTGTCGTTATTCAACTCCGAAGCCCTTTGTGTGTGCTTGCGCCAACTTTCTGGGAACCACCAGGCAGCAGCCGATGCTGGTAATCGAGCTCGCACCCATTCTTTGACCCTACGACTCTCCTAATGGCCGACCCTACTCAATCGCATGGGTTTGGAGCTCAACGGTAAGCCCAGTCTCCAGTCCCCAGTCGTACAAAAATACTGAGACATACTTTAGCCCTTCCCCGCCAAACAACGTCCGTAGTCCCCTCTCTCCAGGCAGCGGCAGCAGCGCGGGTACCCCGATCTCATTCCAACCGAATGTTAATCGCTCCAAAACGAAACGATGGGTCGAGGCTAGACAATACTCCTATGACGGAGGTGACTGGGGCTCCGACGACGACGAGGAAGAAGAGGAGGAGGCGCCGCCGCCGGTACCTCGGCCTCCTTATGCCACCCACAATAACGGTAGTTCGTCCGAGTTGAGCTCGAGGCGTCTATCTGGTCACGTTGGAGCTGATGATTCGACTGCAATTGATGGCAGGGGCAGAAATCCTAGCGTAGATCAAAAGACCCTGCCTTTTGTCAGGCCAGCTGATCTTTATAAACGGATGCGCGAAGAGAAAGCAGCTCAGGGCGCGGCTCTCAGCCCCCAGGTATCATCGCCCATGACTGATGATAGTCGCAAGCTCGACGGATCTGCGCTGTCGCAAACACAGGGGGCCAACCCCTCCATGGGTTTGCCAGAAGTGAAACGTATGTCTGGCTTTGCTACCGATTTCCTAGGAGGCGTAGACCCCGGTTTGCCCAAGGACGCAAGCTCCGAGTCCCAGTCCCAGGAACCTTCATTGCAGCACAATAACTCATCTGGATTCCGATCGGTCGTTCATCAGGCGTTTGATGTCCCAGAAACCCCTCAGTCCAGCGGCAGTATCGAGCGGACCAACAGCGACGGTACTTCCGTGGTCAGCCCAATCATGGGTGGTCGTAACATCGACGAAGACAGAACACCAACTATTCCCGAGGAGCCTCATGAAACCGAGAAGGAAGCTACGCCCGACGGCCCTGTGTTCAAACCCGGTCACCGCCGAGACCTGAGCCTTCCTGATCGGGACAACAGTCCTTCCCGCACACCCCAAGTCGAGCACACCCCGACAGGACACTCAGCTTTGTCTTCTGTTCATCAACAACTCCAGACTATTTCTCCAGAGTCAACCACCTCCGGATCCTTCCCCCAAGATCCAGCAATGCAGCCTTACACAAACGATGGGCAGGACTTGCCTGCCCCTCTCAAGTTCGGCAGTGCATCGGGCCCTGACAGCTATCGTGGCGACATCCCGACTATTGTGGGAGCCGGAACTTCGCCAGAGGACGGAGACAACGATCGCTTGAGGGAAGAAATCATTCGCTCTTTGAGCCGGGAGAACACCCCATCCGAGGACCCTGACCCAAGCAACCAACCCCAGTCGCAGCCACCCAAAGAGTCCATTCCCCATCAGTTTGAGAAATATTGGGATGGCCAAACCAGACCGAGCCAGGAGGATGATCCCAAGGCTTTGGTGTCGGGGACTCTTCCAGACAGGACGGAACCGCATCCTTTGGCGTCCAGAGACCCATATGCAGACGGTCCTGGTTTAGCTAATTCTTCGTCAACAATTGTCGATCAACCTAGAAAGAAGTTGGGAAGACGCTTCTCCTGGGAATCTTCGGATACGGAAGAATCTGAACCTCAAATTCCCGGCAGCTATTCCTCCCCTCCCCCTCTGGGTACATCCATCGCTACGCAAGAGCCTGAACCTATTGCTGAGGATGCGCCTCCTGCATTGGAAGCGGCGCCACACGACTACTTGTCATCTGACAATGAAGGTTCAGATGCTCAACGTACCGTTGAAAAGCCTCGGCTTTCAATCATCCCTCCTGTTCCCGAAAACGTATCACCACCAGAGCAAGTTATGGGACCAGATCCTACCCCACCCCAACCTCAAGTTTTGTCGAATGTCGGTGGCTCTTCTCTGGATGAGTCTAAGCTTCTGGGCTTCCGCGATATTCTCGGTATTACATCTGTGGACCAGCGTATCAAGTCATTCGAGCACACTCGGGACCAATTCTCAACCCTTGACTCTGGCTTGAACCACTGGCTACAGTTTATGGTCCATGAACACCCCGAACATAACGATGTTGTCCAGCAGAGCCAGAGTTTGTCCGATATGCCACGCGCCTCGCCTTCCAGAAGCAGATTCCCCAAACTGACCTCCCTCGGAAATCTCGGGTCGTCCTTGAATCTAAATGATGGCGCACCAACTAGCGCCACTCATACCAGACGCCCATCGGGTCATATTGGCACTGTGATGAACAAGCAGAACGTCGGAGAACGGGGCAAGGAATTTCTTCACACTGCTGGGGCGTTTAGTGGCAAAGCAAGCGGAGCTGCCAAGGGCCTGTTTGCCAAGGGCAGAAGCAAATTCCGACCCAGTGGAGGTTCTGACAAGGTAGATTCCTGATTCTTTTTCTTTCGAGGCTATTCATTGGGGGTTCGCACGGTAGTGCCCGTCGCTTTAATGTCTCCCTTAATTCTGCACTGTTTCCTTCCCTTGATACCACGATGTAATTTCGAGCACTTTGCATTGAGCTCTAGAATGCGACACGATTGATGCATCTGACCTTCCAATTTCAATACCCCCAATATGTTCCCGTTCTGATGTTGGTAATGCTGTAGGGTCAATCAACACCGAGTGCTCCTCGCCGCAGCTTTCAGTTCTCCTTACCATCAGGGTCTGGTGAAACTGGTAAACCTCGCCGCAATTCTGCTTCGTTTGGGAGCCTACCTATCTTCAAGTTCGGAAAAACCGGGACTGGCTCTGAGTCTGCGACAGGATTGGCCGATTCCTCTCTAGTTGCTTCACGGAATGGAGATAACACCCGAAAACATGCCCGAGTGGCCGATTCGGGGGATTACTCTTTGTCACACGGCGTTGACTCGGCTGTGCAACCTCAGTCCTCTTCCAACGGAGTTCTTCCTCAGAATGATCCGTATCGAAAGTCTGACTACGCTGGCCAGTTAGAGCAGGAAATGATAGCTGCCCTTGGTCTTTCGCCCACGGATTCTCGTCAAGAGCCAAGTCCTTCCACGGCATTGGATTCAAGCCAGACTAACGGTGAGCACAAGAGGCCTACGCGTGAACTCTCACAGCCAAAGGAAACTGCGCCTGTCCAGAAGCCCGTTGCTCAGAAGCCAGCGAAGGCAACCACGTCAAAGAGTTTACCGATGGTTCCCTATGAGCCTTTTGTCGTCCCTCTTCCGGGTTCAAATGACTCGGAGGATCTACCTAGTCAGGTTCCACAGATCATTGCTCCGACAATTCGTCCGGTGTATGACGAAAGCATCAAAGCTCCATCCCCTCCCCCAAAGGACACCGGACTTGCACCTGATGGCGTATCCCAACGCCAGCCGTCAGTCTCGACACTCGGACCCGACGAGCAACCCGGTCAACGTTCATCTCAAGATGGTCTCGATGGGGAACCTCCATCCCCCATGGACCAGCCCGAGAACGAGACAGATGGTATTGGAAACAAGATCATCTCTCCGGAAAGAGCTCATGAGAACGTTCCTGGCAGCTCTCCTCCATCTGCGGAGAACAATACCCATGGCTTTGAACCTTTTTATACGTCGGAAAATCCAAGCTCTGCTCAGATTCTCGAATCCAAGAGGAAGACCATCAGCGGCCTTCCGCCTTCTAATCCAGGAGTACAAAGTCCCTTGAGAAACGAAGTCAGGTACTCGCCGGGAACCCGAAGCAGTATGCTCAGCTTTGGAAGCTTTGGCAGACAAAGCGGTAATGGCAAAGGAACCCGCCCTTCTACACCCGCCAACGGTCTATCGCAAGCTTCACAATCGGGATCTCCGGTGCAAAACGAGGAGTCTACCTTCGGAAAGTTGAAAAGCTTCGGGAGGCGGCGACGCGCCTCGGTGGGAGATCTCTTGTCTGGAATTCAACTTCAAGGGATCCAGAGTCCACCTGGAGGCCAACGGAAACGGGCGCTTAGCAGGATTAGTGTATGTTGTGTCTATATCTAGTTTTGAATTCCTTTTCTAACTGGAGCAGGGCCTCTTCAATCGTCAAGACAGTGAGAATTCCGAGAGGAAGTCGTCCGATCTTACTAGGACCGTCTCACAACCATTGGACAAGAATCTACCTTCGTTCCCCCCGGTAAACAGAAACGCAGACAAAATTTCTTCCACTGCGGACGACAAACCACCAGTACTCAAAGATCCGTTCGTCGCAAAACCTCTACCAACTGAGCCCCCCGAATCAATGATCCCTCCACCCCCACCCCCAAGCGACGCGAAGCCTCTACCTCCTGATACTCACCAGCGTGCTAGTATCTCACTCCCGCCTAGTACTTCAACCAACACCCTGGGCTCTGGTCGGTTCTACTCACAGTTTCAGTCTGGTGCTATAAATGAAACTCCAGTTGGTTCTCAGCATACCAGGACACTGAGTCAGCCTCTCCCAGGCCAGTCCCGCTCACCGTCTCCCATGTCAATCAATGAGGGTAGATCCATGAAGCCACTGTCACCGCTTGAGGAATTGCAAGACTACCAGACCCAAAACCTGCAAAGGCAAGGGCAGGAAAAGCATGAAGCACGAGACTCCGATGAAAATCAAGAAGCGCCACTTGGTACACTGAGTGAGAATAAGGAGCAGGAAGAGCAGGAGGAGGAAGAAGAAGGCAGATACGAGCTTCCTACAGAGACAACTCAGGCTGGGAAAGAGCATCCCTCACTCGAGCAGCCACAAAATGTGCAAATCGAAAAGCCAGAGCAGCAGCACGGTCTTAACCCACAACTCAGTGTCCGATCTCGGAAACCAGTCGGGAATGACTCGACCGCCTCGACCGCCGGACACTTTGCACCGCGCAACATTGCCGTCTCAAACGCGTCTGTGGTCTCATCCATTCACCCTCATCGCAGTGAAGGCGAAGCCCGGGTAGTGAATGACTCGCCTCAGCCTGTGGAACTTGCCGTTACTGGTGATGACTCCAGTGAAGAAATTGTTATGTCTCCTACGGCTTACCCGGGGCAGGAGTGGACACCAATGCATTTGTAATTGATGTTTGATTATTGAGCGTTTGATGTGATACCCATCTACAACAATGCCCCATTCGTCTTGTTTATATCGAGTTTACTTTTCTCGGCATTTTTTGTACAGTTCTAGGACAGAAATCATTTATATCGAGGTTTTTATGTAGAGTTGTATAGTGTCATATGTTCTTATAAAACCACCTCATTTTTTGGAGTGCTAATCTCCAATTTCTAATCCACATTTTTCGACAAATTTTGTATGGTCACGAAAGACTACATCAACTTTTTCGATGCTTTTGGCAAATATTCCTCTTCGTATTTATCACTTTTGTGGTAAAGTGTGCGCCATTTTCTGAGACAGGTATCTATACACTGGCGGGAGATCCACCGGGGCCGGCCTCGGCCTCGGGAGATGCTGCTGCGCCAAGGTCATATGTTCATAGTTTATACCGAGTAACGTGGGAGGGAGAGAATATCAGGCTGTGTTATGGTAGAGCAGAGCAAAACCTGAAACTAGGACCCTAGAGTATATCGAGAGAAATATGCACAGGAACAATCCCCTGTCTCCTCGAAAGACCTTATTGTGCCAGAAAATTAGAAGTCACAGGGCAAGCTAAGACATTTCTTGCCAAGGGATTGATATCAGGCTCCAAGAGAGCTAAGATTCTGTCCAGCCCCATAGGAAGGTCCACAGGGGCCTGGTATATAAGTAAAAATATATGAAATTTCCCACTTTTTAGCGACGATGTCAAGACTGTAATATCCGGCACATGATATACATCTCGATTAGAACTGCTTATGCTAGCCATTTGCCATGATGCGGAAGCCCGCTATACAAGGTGCTATCGCAGGTGGGAGCTTAAGCATATCTGCGAGCGGATCTGTCTGGCTGCTTCTCAAAGGGCTGGTATGCGACTAGCATTCATCGCTTGGGGTTGATTGCTGGGCCTTGTACTGAGAGTGGGTATTGGAATTTTTAGATATGGCCGCCTGCTATTGTCGCTACGTCTGTTTGACTCCTTGCTCTTAGTAATGCTTCCTGGGACGACACCCAGGTCTATATAGCTAGATGCTGTGTTGTAGCAGCATTCGGTCTCTGCTGGCCAGAACGCCGGTGATTCGATCACCCGACTCTACTAATATAGGTGTACAATGCAGTCTCATGGAATCATAGGGAGTGTTACTATGTGGGAGATGTGGGAGATTTCTCTATGATAGAGGTAGGCTGGTGTCCCATACACCCACCCACCTCTCGACCCACTAGTCTATACAAGCAAGATCAAAGGCAGTCTAATCTACCCTTCGAAGACATTCTGGTTAAGCTCAATCCCCATGTCCGAAGCCATATTTTGCATCTGAGCCTCAATATCATCTTCCATCCCACCACCCAGATGCAAAAACTGGCGCACCTTGGTGAAGTAGAAGTAAATATCAGTAGTGAACAGCACCATCCGGAAAATGAGGTGCCGGCCAAAGTTGCGGATCTTCTCAGCCAGCGGCAGATCCGGCGATTCGATGAGCGCGCGCGAAGCCCAGATGCCTGTGATTTTGACGCGGTTCACGGGCGAACCCAGAAATTGGTTGTTGGCTTGGACGATGCGCAAATTGCGGCCGATGAAAATGAGCTCTTTTGGCCACTTAGTCTCATCGCCCAGGATTTCACGGATTGCCTTGCGCATTGCCTGTTGCATCTCGTAGTGTCGCTCGGCGCGTTCGGACTTGCTTAGTCCGGTGATACCGCGCTGTGTCGACATGTCTCCGCCGCGGTAGGGGCGCATTAATGTCGCTGATGCAAAAATGTCTGCATTGTTCACGCCCCAGCTATTGGCAACCTCGCCCAGCGTACGGTTATCAAAGGTCAACAGGGCCTTCCAGAATCGGGCATATTGGTGACGGAATCCGGGGTCCATGTGGATGTACAGGCCGTGGTCGATCAGGACGAGCTCCGGCTTTCCAGATGGCTTACGGCGGATGAATATGTTGCCAGGGTGTGGATCACAGTGAACCCATCCCCATAGGAACATCTGGGCAGAGAACAAGTCTACCATGGTAGTCATCACATCTTTTAATGACAATCCCAGTCCGCCGCGGTTCTTGTAACCCCTCCAGTAATCGCGCTCAGGTTTGACCTTGGCAGCCTGCGGGTTCTTCTCTTCGGGAGTACCCTTCCGGTCCAAGGGTGTCCCGCGGCAGCCTGGACTTCCTTCGCGCCAACCACCGCGCCAGGGGCGCGTGATGGCATCTTTGTCCCAGAGCCGTACGCCTTCCACCCATTCGGCAGTCATGACACGCCTTGAGCTCAGCTCACGGTACACCCGAGGGATGTACACGCGATCGCGCAGGCGGGGTTCAGCGGCAACTAACTTGGCCATGTTTTCCGAGTTGTCTGCCTCATTTACAAAATCCGTCTCAAGCGAGAGCCTCTCGCTCACATAGGGAACCAGTGTATAGAACGGAATATCGAACCATTTGCTGTATACCCATGCCACAACCCTAGAAATCCATAGTCAGTAAATATCATCCCGCCACTGAACATTTGGCAACTTACTTGAAAGCCCAGAGATCCCAGGCTACTTGCTGCACAATCTCCCGCTTCTGGATCTTGATTGCAACTTCCCGGCCATCCTGCAAGCGAGCCCAATGGACCTGAGCAACACTCGCACTAGCTCGGGCTCTGCGCTCCATTACACCTTTGCCGGCCTCGCCCGTAAACGAGACCCCAAAGACCTCCTCGGGTGACTTGCCAAAGTCCTCACGAATGACCTTCTCAACATCCTTCCAACCATTCTGAGGCGCATCATCAAACATGCGCGAGAACATTTGCTGAAACTCAGGCGGCAGAATCGCAGATTGCATAGCGATAGCCTGGCCCATCTTTAAGTAGAGACCGCCATTATGCCGCAGCAGGTCTGATAACCGCTCAGCGGTTCGAGCGTGCACGGCAGCAATAGAACTGGCGAGTGGAGGGTGCGGACGAAAGTTGATTTTGTAGTCGAGGGCGACAAAAAGACCGAGGGAGAAGGTGCGGGCAGTGCGGGTCAGCGATGATGCGTAGAACTGCGAGTCAATGCCGTAGATCACGCCCGTTGCCAGTGAGACGTAGACAATCCGGCGAAGCCATTTGCGGGTTCGTGTGTAGGTCTTCGCTGCGGTTGGTTTGCCTAGGGAGCTTGGAGAGGGTGGTACGAAGGGTTGAAATTGGCCTGGGTGGGCGTATCGTCGGGGTTGGGGGCGCCAGATGGAGGGACGCAGGGCAGGCCGCAAAGTGCGGAGAAGTGTCGCGGACGCCATAGAGAAATCAGGTCGTTTGAATCACTGCATAGTGTTGTATTATTGAACAGGGCCTGGAAGAGACCTTCGGGGAATATCAAGGCAGGGAGTAAGATCCGGAGGTCGAAGTTCGGTCTGTCGTCATCCGCGGTGACGCCGCGGAGTCGGAGTTAGGCGATTCGGAGATTATTCCGTAGTTTGCTATGCTTTCTTCTTCTTTTCAATACAGGACAATGATATTATTGTGGGATTATGTATACATATAGGTGTCTATAGATTATCCAATTTTCAATTCGCCATCACAGCTCATCATGGTCAAATGGCCCCAACTGGTCGCAAACGGCAGCATATTCTCTCATATTGTTCGGGATAGTCTCTTCCCACAGCTGATCACTCTCCAAAAACTTCAGTTGCTCCTTGCACGAGGCATCCGAGGCCATTGGGATTAGCACAGGCAAATGCTTGATCGAAGCCTTGAGGAAATTGCGCTTGAAGCAGTTGCCAAAGCCAGCCAGAATCTCCGGGTCGGAGCAAATATGTAGACCTCCATGTAGCATCGGACTGCAGTTCTGCTTGATAGTGACCGCCACGTCGTCACCCATCTTCAGCAGAGCATCTTCTTTGTGGGGGACATTCATGCGCTGCATGAGGCTGCGCACGGCGGGGACGAATGTGTTGTTTCGTGTCCAGAGATCCCAGTGCGGAACTGTCGGTTTGCATCCTTGGTCACAGATTTCACTCTGGAACTTGTTGAAGAGGTGAGTCGGTCGGCCGACAAGCGCGGAGACGACTTTGAAGCATGATGCGCCGATCGCGGAGACGGGGGAGATGAGGAGGACGAGGAACAAGAGGAAGCGATGAAGGGAGAGGCGCATTGTGCGAGAGCAAAGAGTGAAAACAGAAGAGAAAAGAGAAAAGGGAAAAAGTTGCGATTGGAGCGAAGATCATTAGGGGCCGAGATGTGATCCCCCGCAATAAGTTAGTGGAGACATATAAGTTGCTTATTTCAGCTGTCTACAGACTTGTATTTGCACTCTGTTCGCAGTTATCTGCTCCCATATTTATCATGGATCTCTTAAACCCAGTCCGCCATGATCCTTTCAGGTATTTGCCCCATGTCATGTTCCTCAGACCTCGGCGGTAAAGCGAACAGAGACCAAGCTGACACATGTGATCGCATATGGACAGTGAGGAGAGCGTGGATATTCCCGCAGTGAACCTCGAAGAGGTAGACTCACTGGAAGCCATTGTCATCATCGACAATGAGCTGGATCCGCTCTCACCCGCCGCGCCAAACACGGTGCGGGTCACTGGAAACCTGGGAACTATCGCGCTGAGCTCCCGGCATACATTGACTGATCGTGGAGAGGCATGCAAAGAATTAAGACTGGAAGATGTTTGCTGCGCAGCCCATGGCCTGTCAATCCTTGTGGTAAGCTATCTAACTCTGAAGTGAACATGGACCCGCGCTAAGCATTTGATAGACAGCCACGAAAGGCGATAAGAGCCATACTATTCTTTTCGATGCTGGTCCTGAGGAGGATGCATGGGAACGAAATGTGAAACGGCTCCGACCAAATCTCTCCTCGGTGGAAGTAGTCCAACTATCTCACTGGCATCGAGACCACTCCGGTTTGTGGCCATGATAAGACAGCACATGAAGTTGCATGTTCACTTATCTGACTGTCAGCCAGGCGGCCTTCTGCGAGCGATCCGAATGATAAACGAGGCCAGACAAGCAGAGAACCGCTCCGACGAACTCGTTCTGGACTTGCATCCAGATCGACCGGTATACAGAGGTATTGCTCTGCCGGAACATATCATATCTCTCGAAGCGGACCCGACCTTCGAGGAACTAGAATCCGCAGGTTCCTTCGTTGACAAGAGAAGCGAGCCACATACCGTGCTAGATGGCTTCTTTCTCGTCTCAGGGGAGATCCCACGAGTCACACCTTACGAGACAGGTCTGCGAAATGCAGTACGATATGATCCCGATGAGAACGATTGGTTCTCTGATGAAAGTATTACCGACGAACGGTCTCTCATCTGCAATCTGAAGGGTCAGTGGATATCTATCCCAGATATTGAATATCAAGTACTAACACACCCTCTAGGCAAAGGTCTGGTCGTGTTCACAGGATGCAGCCACGCAGGCGTAGTAAACACATCAAAACACGCCGTGCAACTCACCGGTGGAACAGTCCCTCTCCACGCTGTAGTTGGTGGATTCCATCTCGCCATGAGCGAGCCAGATCACATCGAGAGCACCGTAACCGACTTGAAAAAGCTGGATCCGGCTGTCCTCATGCCAGGCCACTGTTCAGGCTGGCGAGCCAAGTTCGCCATTGAGAAACACATGCCTGGCTCGATGGTGCCGTGCACAGTAGGGTCGAGAATCGCGTTCTGATTCCTGTCATTTTGATACATCTGATACGACGTTTGTTGGACCTGTTCCTTGCAGCATCGTGTCTCCACGTGGTTGCAGGACGCAGGGCCTTGATCCGAGACAGCGTGGCATGGGTTGCTCAGTGCAACACCTCTAATCAAGGTTGATCAAGGGGCTATTTCGTCATTGGTCCTCGGCATAGCTTGCTCTTTTGCATTCCGATTATCTTGGACATCACAACCTCTCCTTGCTGCGTTTCTGCGAGATCGGGAGAATGCGGGATAGCTACTGGTGACTGGGTCTAGATCAATGGTAATGATTACAATACTGGTGATGTTAGATGAGTGGAGATTGAGATTAGGTGTAGACATCAGTCTTAGCAAGCTGGGGTTCAGTGATGTTCCTGGCCTGGTAAAGAGTGACTCTAGAGTCAGTAGCATGTTCGATGTACATATATATCCAGGTTAGAAGCATACAGGTATATCTAGGAGATGCACGAGTTGAAATAATGGTCTCTTTATATATATTTTGAGAATATGTATGTCTGCTAAATCCTTAGCCTGCGATATATATCCGACAACACAACATATATTGATATCAACCACTTGTCCCAGATAGAAACAACCCATGATATGAAGAACGCTCAACAAAAAATGATATCGGCTGTAAGTAAGTTCAAGCAAAAGTGACAGTTTTACATCGCACATATCTACGCCTGTCAACCAGGTGTACAAATCTTGATACAAACTAGAACATGCACATCAACTCCCATTTCCAACCTATGCCTACGTCCTACTATAGGATAATCACACTGCAAACCTCATACCAACAAATACAGTGTAACCAGCACCAACAAGCAAGCTGAGCTCAGCCGGACGAAACCTGCAACCCACAGCGCGCTGTCCTACAAAGCCAAGATCCCATGGAAGTACAATATCTACCGAACAACCAAGAAACCCAAGACTCTCGAACAACAGACCGCTATCTTGGCCGGAGGAAATAAATCCCTCACTGACACTGTAAGCACAGACACAAGCATGCGCCCGATAGCCCAAGTCCAACCACGCTGCCGCTTCCAAGAGACAGAACACTATACTCCAATCCGAACACGTACGTCCCGAATGTAACTCCGATCCCGTCTATAAGTTACAGGACGGAGTACAATGTGCCAAGTACATGAGAGAGCAAGCATGCACACTGCCCCCGCCAAGACGCGAACTTTACAATAACCAACCCTTGCGCCAGTCTTCCCTCTCCTCTCCACCCCCACGAAGATCAGATCCCACACGGAAATGCACCCTGATATCACCGGCTGTACTCCGTATCGAACTCTGAATGGCAATTAAAAGGGGGGTTGGGTTTCGGCGCAATGCTCGCCAAGACGATAATGCGGGAGGAAGGGATGCACAGCTCGTCTTGGCGGGGTTTGCTTGGAACTCGGTGGACAGGTACGAGAGAGAGAAGTAGATCAGCCGATCAAGGAAGTCGATAGGAGGGGTAGTTGCAATTGGCATTGGATTGGCATTGTTTTACTCCGTGTTGATTCTATACAATAACTTACAGTAGTGTCTAACCTTGTACATTGCCAAGAGGACTTTGAATAGTGTCTGTTTTGTTTTTTAGGGAGACGCTGGGCGCCAAGAATGATTTGCCCGGAGAGGACAGGGATGAGAATGATCTGATTTGCACGCTTGATTTTGGGATCTGGTCGGGGGGAATCTTCTCTCCCTTTTTGCTACGACCATGTGATGTATTCATTCCCTAATTCTTGATTCTTGATTCTTGATGGGGTAAGACATATCGGAGCATGCATGTCATCGAGCCCCCAACTAATTAGAAACTATTGACAGTTCGGGACCCACGATGAGGACATGTACAGTAACATCGGGAAGTCGATCCTCTTCCCCCCTTCCTTTTGACACAAAATAAGTCTCATAATTGGACAATGCCGTGTATCCAATTTGCTTAGCCAAGGAAACCCAAAATCTCAAATGCAGACTGTTGACACTAGAGCATTATTGCCCGCCCCCCTCGTACATGTATTGATTCGGATCTTGGCCTGCCAGTTTATCGTCGATCATGCAGTCATCGCCCCCAGTGTGGCAGGGGGGAATACATCATCCATCCATTCACAGTCGCGATTGCTATCTATAGATCCCTCCGTCTCTGCACGCCAGGCAGCATGGCCGATCACCACCCGCGTCCCCCGAACCGAACTCCCCACGAATTCATCCCTGCCTTTGCTTGGCAGGCATGTACATGGGACGAGGGATACTATCATGTCTCAATGAACCCGGGTATACGGTACGTGTAAATCTAGAATCAAACCCTATTCCAGTCTGTATGCACCCAGCCCCAGGGTTTGTATCAGGCACCGGCAATAGTTGGCAATCGACACAAGGATCAGACGCAATTCAACGATGGCTATGCAGTCGATGCGCTTCTCAATACACAGATCCACCGATGATTATCTCGTAGCCTGCCAGGCAGAATTATCCAACAATAGAAACAATGCTTCAATTCAGCGTATCAATCAAGTCGTCACTCTCGCATCATGGTATTCAGTATGGAGTATAGCCGATCACCATTGCCCGAGTGGCAGTGACATTGGCAGTATCAGGACTGTCGCAGCCCA